ACCATTGACATCTGGATATCCTAATATTGGCGCACTTTGTAATTTCTTCTTCAGTTCAATAAAAGCTCGGTCACACTCTTCTGTCCATATCCATTTGCTATTTTTGCTAGTCAAAGAATGCAAACACTTTGCAATATTAGCAAAATCTCTAATATACTTCCGATAGTAAGATACTAATCCTAGAAAACTCCTTAATTCTGTGACATTCTTTGGTGTTGAAATATTTTCTATTGCTTCAGTTTTAGCAGGGTCTGTCTTGATTCCACTTTTAGAAACAACATATCCAAGAAATGACACCTCTTTCTTGAAAAATGAACATTTCTTTGCTTTCAACCTCAAATTAGCATCTTCCAGTCTATCCAATACTTGCTTTAAATTCTCCAAATGCTCATCAAAACTTTTTCCATAGACAATGATGTCATCCAAATAAAGTACAGCTACATTCCACTGTAGACCACTTAATACTCTTTCAATTATTCTCTGAAAAGTCGCTGGAGCATTACATAATCCAAAAGGCATAACATTGTACTGATATACACCCCCCTCTTGGTGTAGCAAATGCTGTTTTCTCCTTGTCCTGATCTGACATCGGCACTTGGTGATAAGCCATATTCAAATCCAAAGACGAAAACCAAACAGATCCAGCCAATGCATCCAAATTATCATCTATCCTAGGTATCGGATATGCGTCCTTTATCGTCTTCGCATTCAAACGACGATAATCCACACAAACTCGCCAACTTTTATCCTTCTTCTGAACAAGAACAAGTTGCGACGACCATGGACTGCTGGATTTCTCAATAATTCCCTGATCAAGTAGTTTCCCTATTTCTTGATCTAGAATTTCCCTTTTAAACAATGGAACCCGCCGCGGCGCCTCCTTAAACGGCGTTCCGTCACTCAAATTTATCCTATGCTCACCAATGTTGGTTCTATGTAAAACTCCGTTCGGGTCAGCGAACACATTTCTCCTTTCCATGAGAAATTCCTTGAACTTTTCAGACTCTCGAGAATTTAAATTTATGATTCCATTTTCATAGACTGATTTCAGGTACTCTGGTAATTCTTGAGTATCTCCCTTGCTAATTGTGGCTATAACTTTTCCTTTGTCACAAATTGGTTGACTCACATATGCAACAGGTACAAGTAATGCTATTTCAGTATGCTTCGGTACTGTAATTGCATGGTCCTCTGGATTATATAATCGAATGTAAAATTCTCTATTGCTTGAATCAAGAAGTGTTCTGGCAACTCCCAATTTATACGAACTAATGAAAGTTTTCAAAGGCATTGGTATTCCAATTGTCCCATCAGCACTCATTACCATAGATCTCACAACAAATTCATGTCTCCCTGGTATGGTAAAAGAATCCTGATTATAAATTTTTCTCGTTGGACAAACTTCATTCAAATCCTTTTCTTGATCATATGTAAAACTCAAAGCACATTGTTGATAGTTCCAATTACACTTGAACTTCACAATAAAATCTTCTCCCAATAAATCATGTGTGACTCCTCCAACAAAAACACGAAATTCAATATCAACATCCTTCAAAGTAAGAATCATTTTAGCAGTACCCAGAAGTTTTAGTTTACGTCCATCGGCTGATAAGAATTTACTTTTCACTCGCTCTAGTACAGGATGATTATCCAAAGGAATGCTTTAAAATGTTTCTTCAGTGATGAAAGTTTTCCTCGCTCCAGTGTCAATCTTCCATGTTAATGGTGTTCCCTGAATTAAACCATTTACCAAAAATCCATTCCTTCCTGGAATTAAAATGTCAGATGTATTCTTTTCAAAAACATCACAATAATCACTTTCATTGAGCTTCATATCCACAGAATCAGTATTACACGCTTCCTCATGAGCTCTGTAATTAACTACTCGTAAATCACTGTGAGTTAACTCTTCTGTACTAGGCCTATTCATATCAGCGACCAACGCACGGCCTACTGCCTCGGTCTCCCGCTGTTTAACTGTTTCACGGTTTCACTTATTGCACTGCTTATTTTCCCCTTGTTTTTGACAGGACAATTCCTTAGAAGATGTTGTGTAGAATTACATTTGAAGCAAGCCTTCTTCACATGTTGTCTCATATTGTCAAATCCATTACTCACATCATTGGGCTGGCTAACTTGATAAATTCTGGGCTTTGTCAAGGTTTTCGGATCTCTGTTTTGCTGTTCACTAATCCTTATGCATTCCTCTTGCATTGCAGCCGTTACCGCTTCTTGTAATGTCTTAGGTCTGGTTCTTCTAACTGCAAGCCTAAAATTTTCCACCTCACTACAATTATCAAGGAAAGTCTTTAGACTACATTCTTGAACATACTCTCGGCTTTCAGGGTGTGCTGTTCGATACAAATCCTCCAGACATTGAGCAAAATCCCTATACGATTCACCTTCCTTCTTTCTTCGTAGTTTTGCCTCTGCAACATAACTTGTGTCCAAATCTATACTCCATGGCTTGTTTCAACTCATCATAGCTATTCCTTTTGTCATCTGGTAAACCATAAGCATATGTTTCAGCCTGACCACGTAAATCAGTAAGTAACACTCTCCTCATACGATCCAAGCTCCAGTTATTAAGAATTGCAATATTTTCAAAATAACGAATGAATTCACACCAAATTTCATTTCCATCTCCCTTGAAAGTTCTTTTAACATTAATTTGATAGGATGATTCCTGGCTCCCTTTACCATTCACTCTAGCTATCCCTGGATAATTTCTCTGAGTTTCCATCCCTTTAGATGGGCTTTCAGTACTTTTTGCCAATTTCACCATCATTCCAATGATTAAGGAAAATACTTCAAATACTCCTCCAGACATGATGAATTCCTTTGTCAAACACAACAGCATGTATCCCGGAAAATAGCGATACAAAGCAAACACAATAACACATCCAATAATACACACGGATATCCAAAATAATGAAACTAAATTTCTGGATCCTTGTTTAAAACACTTTTCCTCCTGAAGTTCATAACTGTTCATTGGCTGTTCCATGTGTGGAAATTCTGGAGCGAAATTTTCACTATTCTCAAATGAATCTTCCAAACGACGACGTATGTTTGTACTTCGTAATTTAGGACTTCTAGCTGGGCTTGAAAATAATCCAGGAGTTTGTTTGTTTGGAGATTTGCCACAGTCTGTCATTTCCATATCAATTAAAGAATACGAAGTTTCATCCATTTTCAAAATGTTTTACATTTCAATGGTACGCTGCTTTGTATATGCTTTAATCCTGCAGTTACAAAACGGACATTTTAAGAATTCACTGATTTCTCCTTTTTCCGTGACAAGTGAAAAACGGTTCTCACTCACTTTAAACATACAATAACAGTTTGGACACTCCTTTTTATCGTGAATTGTAATCCTTCCAATATGCACTAAGTTTCCATTGTCGTCATAGTCATACACATTTGCGAATCTGTATACATCCATAACTATGAAAAGTATGATACACAAGTCACATGTAATAATCCAGTAAAATGAATTAAATAAATCCAAAGAAAATCAAATATTCAGAATCACAATAATCCAACACATTTGCAAATTAAGGTCCGTTTAGATCCATTTTGATTCACAATAAAATTCACAAATTATCCAAAGAATCTAAAGAATCCCACCGCTGCCACCATTTGTAGCGTTTCCGAGTAAATCCTTTTTCACATTCATATTTTTGGTAGCTCCTGATAATATTTCCTCTTTGTAATAAAACACAAAATAGTAGTAAAACGTTTATTAAATCCAAATGAAAGTAAAATATAATCCAATCAATGTTATAAAGTATAAATCCAAAGAATTGAATGAAAGGCACTTAGAATAATTATTCCAAAATAACTCAAGTTAAATTCCCATTATCAAAATCCTCTTCCAAATTACTCCCAATAAAATCTCTAATAAAAAATCTCTCTCATCATCCTAAAAATTACCCCGCTTATATAGTTTATGACTCCTCTCATTGCTCCTCTTAATCACCCTGAACTAAACTAAGGTCAAGCTATCAGATCTAAATGCTATAAATCACTACTATTGTATAAAGCCTCCTCCTAGCCTAATTAACAGCTCCCCATGACCTGTTCGCAGTCTGGGTTAAGACATTGATAAACAATCTAGTCTACGAATGAAAGTAAAATAATAAAAACATACTAATATACTAATTAAGAAAAGTAAATGTAAGAAAATAATAAAAATAAAAAAAAATTATGCTACAATAGCAATTTGCTGGCCAAGTAACCAAATTACATTATAGACAAATCAGTTTGACATACATAATATGTATTTACACCACCTCTGTTGATTATTCAACAAAATCCTGACTTACGATTGGTTGGAGTCTGTCACGTGAAGGAGGTAGATTATTTATACCCAGTCAATTGTAAATCAATACCAGGTCGATGTAAAATTATTTTGGAACACTTTGAACAACTCAAATTCACAAGGTTAATATTTTCAGTGTTTGCAGTTGACAAGGTTAAATTTATAAGTAGAGTAATTATGAGAGAAACATTTTCTTCTTTACTGAAAACCTATAACACGTACTGTTTAGTTCATTATTTTAGCACGAACACATTACAAAACAAACACAACGTGATGTCATAATATGCACAATATAAGCGTGATGAAGCATGTAACAGAGAAAAACATTTATAAAACACAGATAATACATAAATGTTTCATCCGTGGGGTAAATTCGTTACATAGTTTTTTAGTGACAGAGTACGGGATGATACCTAGTAAGTAGACTCGACTCCGCCTCGCCAGGCATGAAATTTACTAAGCAGGTATCATCCCGTACCCTGTCACTAAAACACTATGTAATTTATAGTCTGTGCAGTGCAAGATTTGCCTTATTATAACATGTATAAAATGATGTACTATTGAAGATATGGCATTTCATTGTTAAATGGACATGATCAAAAGGTGTTTGTAAAATGTTGACCAATTTATTCTTGCAAAATTGAATAATTTTGTATTTGATTTGTTATTTGAACAGGTATAGAGAAGGAAAAGAATCCACATATATCAGTAGTTAACATCTTCCACCTACTCAACTCTAGATAGCTGTGCCTGATGTATGAAAAGATCTCTGTGTGTTGCAAACACTAGAATGGGTAGGAGTGAATGAAAAAATTGTTTTTTAAGATTAAAAAATGAGGGAGTGATCATTCATTTGATTCTGATTGTGGTGGTGTGAACTGTGAAGGGGGTGTATTTAATTTTTTGCTTTTGATATGCACAGAATATGAAATGTCAGATTATTTTATTTCCAAGATCACAAGAGACAAATTATGACAGATTATTTCGTTTCACTAAAAAATTATACGTGAGGGGAAAAAATCTTCATTGTATGTATATATTTCAGTTTAAATATTCTAGGTCAGATTAATCCCAATATCTATTCTCAGAATCAAATAGTCCTCCCTTTACATGTAGCTTTCTAATATGATTATAGAAAGTCCAGTTGTATAATATTTTGAAACTTCAATAGTCTAGTAGTCAATCCTTATAAATTCATGTATCGGAAACTGCAAAGGTGTCAAATTCATAAAAGATTGACAATAAAGTAACAATCCAAGTTTTAAATAGATATTACTTATTTACATGTTTACTATATATATCCATGTACACACCATTTAGACATGAAGTTTAAAACTAAAATGAAATTTATTTTCCAGGCTAAGAATCATATTAATGTGTCAAAGCCTGAAATCTGCATGGCACAGTTGTTAGAGCAGCTCTCAATTGTCTCAAAGTAAGGAGCACTGTGGAACATGGAGGCCAGTCCTTTGGATGAGACTGTATAAACTGTGTTCCTCTGCTGCAGTAGACATTGGCATGAAAAAGATCCCTCAGAGCTCAATGGCCAAAAGTACCGAGTAATAGGTTTAAAGCTGCAGCCCTTCACCAGCAAGTGGTAGCGTCTTCATATGAGTGAAAAAAATTCTTGAGAGGGACATTACACAACATACAAACAAAGCAAAGGCTGAACTATTTGCTTCAGAAAAGACCTACACCTACAGTGATCATTATTTGAACAAAGTATGTGACCAAAAAAGCTTGCAGTTGAAAGGCAAAGAAAAGAATTCATTATGACAGGAAAGCTAGCTTTTATAGAACAGACTGTACATGCATGTAGAAACTATTGTCAAGGTTAAAGAAATAATTCTGTTTGACTAGGACAAAAGTTCTCTTTTTTGATAAGTGTTTTATTTTTAACTGGTGTCCAATATCTCCATATGTTGTACATTTTAATATTAATTACATTGGCAATTAGATTTGGCCTAAAATATGTCATTGTAATGTCAGTCTTATTGTGTGGCCTTTTTCTGTTCATATAAACCTTAGTGCTTGAAATAGACTATGAAATATAGGAAATGGGGATGTGAATAATTATATAATTATTTAAGGACTTAATAATGATTATTTTATTATTTTATTTATAATATTTATTCAAACATGTTACAGCAAAATTTATTTAGTGCAAACACGGATATAGCAAATCCATGGATATAGCGAACTTTTTTAGATCCTCAGCTATATAAATTTAATGAATTCGTTACATGGATATAACGGATTGTGGATATAGCGAAGTAATTTTATGGGTCTTAATGACTTAATTAAAACCGAGTTTCACTGTATATATTTAAAATTAAACTGAATAGTTTCTTTATTGATTTTTTAGCCATCATCACATACAAATGTGCTTTAAGTCAGATTTTGGAAAAAAGTCAGAGGAAATTCAGATTATCATATCTTTTTTTTTCCAATTCATGTACAAACCAATTTTATACTCATTCACAAAACTAAACATCACTTCTTTAAAATGGAATTGAAAAACCAAATTTCTAATTATATCAAGTGGGATTTTATAACATTTTTTATAGTCAAGATTGAGGAAAAAATAGGCAATTTTTAAGAGGCCAGAGGAAATTCAGATTAATTATGTGTTTATTAGATACTTGATTTAAGAAAAAGAATAAGCATGTACATGATGTATGAATTTGAATTTTTATTTTAACATGTTTTATATTTAAAATTAAACTAAATAATTTTTTTGATTGATTTTTCAGCAATTATTATAGTTAAATGTGTTTTATGGGTCAATTTTTGAAAAAGGCCAGAGGAAATTCAGATTATTATATCTATTTTTCCAAGTCATGTACATACCAATTTTTTCCCGCTTTCACAAAGCTAAACATCACTTCTTTAAAATGGAATTGAAAAACTAAATTTCCAATTATATCAAGTGTGATTTTATAAGATTTTTACAGTGAAGATTGAGAAAAAATAGGCAATTTTTAAGAGGTCAGAGGAAATTCAGACTGTAATTATGCGCATACTAGATACTATCTATTAAAAAGAATAAGCATGTATGACTTTAATTTTATTTTAACACATTATTTATTTAGAATTAAACTAAATAATTTTTTGATTGATATTTTAGCAATTTTTACAGATAAATGTGCTTTACGGTCAGTTTTTGAAAGAAGGCCAGAGGAAATTCAGATTATCATATCTTTTTATCCAATTCATGTACATGCCAATTTTTTCCCTGTTTCACATAGCTAAACATCTCTTCTTTAAAATGAAATAAAAAAATAAAATTTCCAATTATATTAAGTTTGATTTTATAACATTTTTAATAGTCAAGGTTAAGGAAAAATAGGCAATTTTTTAGAGGGCAGAGGAAATTCGGACTGTAATTATGTGCTTATTAGATATTATTTTTATTGGAAAAAATAAGAATAGTATGTTTATGCACCAATCTTTTACATTATGGCAAATAAATTAATTTTAACAGCAATTAATAAGTTTTTTATGACTTTCTTTAATTTTTGTTTAATTTTCTAAATGGCTTTAAACTTTGAAAACATGGTCATCTTCAGGGACTGTTGCCATGGAAACGAACTCATGTACATATATCAAAATTGTTGTTCTTTGATCAAGGAACTTGTCCTCTATCTGTTGATACCCATTTTATAATTTTCCAATTACTTTTTTGTCAGGTTCACATATCCTTAAAGTAGCTCTTGCATTTAATGTTCATGAGGGCATTATTTTGATAACAGTATTTTTCATCGGAATGTATTGATACATATAATGACTGATCTTGAGCTAGTGTTATTTAGAAACTAACCTTAGAGTTTATAATAGTAGAAATATATCAACGAAAAGTTTAAACTTAAACTCAAATGTTTTGTTTATGGACATCATGGATAAAAGAGAGAGAATTTCACTGAACCCTGGAATAATGATGAATGTGAAACATAAAAGTGAAGTGAGTAAAAGTACTAGATCTTAAATAGTTTAAGAATTTTAAATTATTCTATTAATGAATATGTTGATAATTTTCTTTTTATAATTTCACAAATTGAACTTCAAAAGACCGACGTTGTGTTCATGTTTTATATTTTCACTCTGGGGTATTTATGTACAATTGAAGTGGACTTCGACAAATTCCAAAATCATGCTAGATAAATAATTATAACTGTTTTCGTTTCTGTAGTATAAATCATTAATCTTAAATATATTTACAGCTCATGGTCGTCAGAGGGCTGCAATACAACTAAGTAAACAATCACGTGACCAAATGTGAATATGACCATTTGACAAACTTTGCTATCTTGATGCAACAATATGAGAATGTAAGGCAATATTTGATTTGGTGTATTTTATCATAACTTGTTTATGACTTCTCATTAATCTAGTACAATATACTGTATTAGTAGAATTTTTAGCATTTTAAAATCGCTAAAATTACATCTCGCTAAAAATAAATTACAAGTTTTTAAGGAATATTTCTCTTTATTTCCTTGAACTATCATTTTATATAATAAACAAAAACTTGTTAAAACGCATTACATGAATATTTCTCTTTATCCTTGAACTGATCATTTTATATAATATACATTATGAACACAACATTGCTTGTGACGTATCGGTAATGCAAATATATAACAATGTGCGTTGTAATAATCTGTCTGTTTTTTTGGTTTGCAGTTGTTCCGATTTTTATAACAGGCATCACAATAGGAGCAACATATACTAGAGAATATAACCATAGTCATGCGTAAGGCACCTTAATCTTTTAAAACTTTGCTTCCCCCCAAAGAATAGAAAAGTGGTGTTAAATTCAAATAAATTCTTTTTCGTTCATTGTTTTCTATTTCAGATGCTGGTTATCTACAAACAGTGGATCTATATATGGTTTTGTGGGTCCTGTTTTGCTTATTATTTGTGTATGTATATAAAAATACAGATGTTAACAACTGTATAATGAAGTTAGAAAAAATTGCATACCACTAATGAACAACACGTTGAAAAAAAAATTACCGTGTGAATATCTTTGTATAGGAAAAAGCATATTTCTACATTTAATAAAAATTATAAATGTATATAATTATGTATATATTTTGTTAAATTTTGTTGCAGATAAATTTATGTATAATATGTTCCCTATTTCGAGTGATGTGTGCCACCAGGTTGTTGACTGAGTCAACGGCGAAAAAGAAAGCAGCGTAAGTATATCTAAGTTACTTTGGAAATATAATGTATTTACGAGATGAATAATAGAGAAAATGATAAGATGCAAATTTATTCAGTAAATGATATTTTTCATATTTCTTTTTTCAAGAACTGGTGCTCGCAGTCTGTGTACACTTCTACCCGTTCTGGGAATCACATGGGTGTTTGGAATTTTATCTATCAATGAAGATTTGATTGTCTTTCAGTATCTTTTTGCAGTATTTAATTCTCTACAGGTAAAAGATACCATACAATATTTATTTCCTTATCAAGATACGTTTTTTAAACTCCCCAAATAAAAAAATATCTTATTTAAATTGTTAAAATTTTATTTTTATAATGAGAAAACATGTTTTGATATGTATATTGATTATATTTCTATTCTTATATTTTAGGGACTATTTATTTTTCTTCCAAACTGTGTATTTAATAAAAAGGTAAATGATCTTTTATAAATTATACACGCACAATAGAATCAAGAATTTCGTACATTCATTAAAGTAACATAAAATTCAACAGTGCAATAACATGCATTTTATCTCTCGAAATAAACGATGTAAATTATAATTTAAGATAATAATTAAGAAGCTTTTCTTTCAGGTTAGAGAGGGTTTTCTTCATAAGATGAGGTTGTTTGAATCACAACAAGAAAATAGTAAAATAGAGTCCAAAAATTTAAAAAGATTTTCAAATGCACAGGAAAATTTGAAAACAGTCAAGGTAATAATATTTATGATATTCATTTTTTTTCATTTTAACTAGAATTTAAGTTATGTTATATATCAACCTCTTACTTGAAATCTGCTTATTCAGAAAGACACGGAGAAAGTGACAAAAATTTCCAGAAGAGTTACTCCACCAGGTATGTTTTCTTATTTATTTTATCTTGCATAAATTGTGTCCATTGTCCACGCATACTAATAAATTGTTCGTTAAATTAATAATTTCACCTCAGTAATTGTTGTTTTCCTTTACAGTTCGACTTATTAGATATACAAAGCAGTTAGATTTCATAGATGGTAAGGAATAGTGACCATGAAATATCAAATTCCTATCTATTTTTCCTTTTCTCCTTTTACGCTACTGTGTATATGCATAGCCTCACTTACAATCTACTATGTACCTTTGAAACTTACATACCAACATAAAAAGTACCTGTATACAACTAAAATTCATACTACATTCATATGCATGAAAAGTATTATATTTCAAATATATACATTTAATACTGTTGCTATAAACAAAATTTACATGAAATTCAATCTTTTAAAAGGTTTTAAGATTTAAATTACATACAAAATTAATTAATCTGGGTATGATCAACGAAAATATAAAGTTATTTGAATTTTAAGTAGATTTTAGTTTAATTTTTTTTTTTTATATTTTTCAAAGTTATTTATTAAAAGCTTTTTTCGTATTTATATATAATGAGATTTGGAATAGTTACTGAACATTTTTGTTTCTGTTCAGGTGGATATGATAATGTTTGTTTTGATGCCATGCTCCCTTCAGAAAACACCCTGTCTCTTAGCACGCCGGTAAGTTTGAGCTTGACTTATACGAAACCTTTTCAACAAGAGTATATGAAAGATGTTTATCTCATGTCCTTATGTATCACTTTAAATTAATTTTTACCAGGGAGCTGTTAAAATGAAGGTAATTCTAGGCACAAAGGTTTTTGATGTTGTTCAAATGTTATTTTTTTCAATTGCATGGTTATTTTTTCTTTTTAAAGGTTTTCTTTACACATGGCTTTAAGTTAACTACCTAAGTTTGCAAAACAATAAATATATTTTACTTTATAACTAGCTTTCTAATTTGAAATTTGTCATCCATTGAGTTCCCGTTAAAAGATATGATGTTTTGTTTTGAGCATGTTTTATTGGCATATTTCAAAGGGACACAAATTACAAAATCTTAGATAGTCCTCTCTCATACATAAAAGCTGGGAAAAAACCCGCAACATTTACAAAGTTTTACAATAGTTAATTTTATATAACAAAGAACAGATATGGATATGATGGTTTTATGATTTCAATTCTGAAAAATACATGTATATAAATAAATAATAATAAATGACCCTTTTTAAAATTATACAAGTCACAGTTCTTTTTAAGAAAAATACAGATTGGTTATTATTTCCCCCGTCTGAAATATAAAGGGTGAAATCGATCGAAAATAACTATACAGTTAACAATACAATACAGCATTTTTGATGATGTTTTTTCCAGAAGAATTATAACACAAATATAATAAATTTTATCCACAAATGCCCTACAGAAAAACTGCCCCACGCCGGATTATAATTTTATATTTCACTGGAAACAGTTATATTGCCCTCTCGATATATACAATTAATTCCCTTGCATATTTATTCTGCATATTAATACGCTCGGGTTCATGGAATACAGGCATAATAGAAATTTTAAACTGTTATTTCTTAAAGCCCTGGAGTGTTATGTCGCTCTCTGCCTGCGGAATCGGGTGACATAACACTCCAGGGCTTTCCAGTCACCTTGGGGCAAATATTCTGGTATGCTGCCCTTGAAGCCATGTAATATATGCATAATGCTTCCTTATGAACCCTATTTATGTTTAGGAATGTGTTTTTATTATCTTTATAGAAAACATCACAAACAAATTTACAGTCCAAATCGGAGGAGAATGGATTTTATAATGCTGAATTATACAGTGTAAATCAGTTGTAGAAGTGCCATTAACGACCACATTTGTGCCAAAGAGTGATGGACCGTCACAGATATTTAGAAAATATATACATGCACTTATATTCATTGTATACTTTATTCAATATTTTCATGTTTTACAAATAAAAGAAGTGTATTTTAAAGCCGATATCTTTTACAACAAACACCCTGGTGGTGTTTGAATATATCAAGAGCAATTAGAAGATGAGTGTAGAGCATGCATCTCAGATATTCATAACTATTGCAAACTACCTGATTAGTGATGAAAGTCTCAATATCTGCATACAGACTATCAGTTATTAGAAACGTTCCTAGTTTTTAGTAAACATTTCCTAGTTCTAAGTAATGATTTTATGTTTTAGAGAGAGGTTTAAATAATGATAGATATATGTGTTTTATACAGAATTAGTCCAGATAACTGAGAAATCATTTTTTACATTGATTACATATGGAAAGGAATCTATTTACCCTTCCTTTCTAATTTATATTTTGCTTTGGTTCTATTTTTTTTTTAGTAATTCTATTGCTTGAGAATTTGAAAAAGTGGTGAACTACAATAAACAGTAATTTAAGTGCTTTCTTAGACAGCAAACTTAACGCCTTTCCCAAAAATTAAATCAATGAAAACATGCATATTCCTAAAAAAATGGTCTCCCCACTACTCACAAAATACTTTCACAGAAAAATTATCAATGTATTCGAATTTCTAAATTCGCAGAAAAATAGATGTTATTCATTTTTCGCGGTTTTTTCGCGGTGTTTTCTTTTAACATACAATCCGTGAGAAAAGAATAATTGATAAAAGCACAATACAATTAGAAATCAATGGCCGACTAAATACATGTAGTTAAAAACCTCTGTATTACATTGTATTCAATATTCAATATAAATATAGACACATTCAGTACTTTTTTTCTTGAGTGAGTCATCATTACTCTGGTTAGTGCAAAAACCGATATAATTATTGTGACAACCATCAAAACTTATTTCCACAAAGCATTAGGGATCATTATGACTTTGAAGTCTGTTTAGGGATACTCGTTTTATAGCTGAACCGTTATTTGAAACAATCAAAAGACTGTCTTTCGTATCACAACACATTAGTTCTATCTCACCACAAGGGAAATGCATCTTTTTGAGCATTTCGCCATTGTCATTGATAATTCCGAGAAGTGGAGACATTTCGGGTCCATAGCACACCAAAAACTGATCTTTGAAATTTGTCACAACAGTTCGAGGATGCGATACCTTAACACATGGTATTTTTTTATTGGTGCTCAATTGAAAAGAACGATTCCTTTTACGTCTACGGTGCAAATTATTCCATGTGTATTTTCATCAGTACATCTTGGACTTTCATAAAGTGGCTCACCTCGTCTGTCAATGTCAATCGCATTAATTGTACCAGAATTTATATCTAGTCTCACAATAGTTCCACGGTTAAGTTTGTAAGATATGGCCAAAAATATAACATAAAAAAAATTGGAATATAGTCCACAAATTTTTTTACCTTTGCTCAGCCCAAGTTCCTTTAAGCATTGAATAACTTTTGTTTCGCCATCTTTATTAATTAACTCAATTGAATCATTAGCTTTGTTAAAGTAATATACATTTCCACAGGATGATATAGAATGGAAACCTGAAACTTTGGGTGGAAGAGACCGTTCTTCTAGTAATTGTCCATATGGTTCGTATTGTCTGCTGTAAATCAGACTTTCCTTTGTGTTTTCTACTGTTACCCAAAATGGACCAGAACGAACAGAGGCTACACTCCCTGTGTAAAGTTGGAATTCATCTTTTTGTGTCTCTCTTAAGTTTACGACTTCCTGTAAATTGGGACCTCTTCCATGTCGGACATCGTAGTAACGCTTATCCTTTGATGAACTGCACATTTTAAAAACTATTAAAAATTCCTTCTTAGCTACATAAGTTCTAAAAAGCAGATGTTGCCATTGGTATGTATTTTGCAAAACCTTTTTATGGTCCTTTTATATAAGAACAATACATCGAATCTTTTGCAGTAGCTGAGTATTGCGTGTCCGTGACACAAGCGGACTCTACTTTTCTTCTCGTAATATGTTGATATTTTGTCTTAACTCTGTAATGAACATTTGTAAAAGATACCTAGAAGACAGTGCATTTGTTGTTTTTCACAATCATCACACAAATAATAATGGCAATTCCAACAGTAATATGTACTTATGTACTGTATTTTAGTTTATGAAGACAACACTTCGACCTTACGATATATGACTTTATCTACCCCTATATGGAAGCACTTTATGGTCCTTCGGGTTAAAAGACAGATGATCAACAACACAACGGCGACATAATCCAGCTTCACATTTAGAACACCAGTCTTGCACAGGACAAGGGCTTTCCCCGCATAGTTTCACAACGTATCCTTACTTTGCGCTACTCGAGGTTTCGTTAGAAAATGGCGAATCATGAACCAAATCGACTTCTTGGTGTATTTATATTGGTGACTCGAGTAACTTAATACCTTAATACATTTACAAACATACATTCTTTTTTTCTCAGCTATTCATTTCATGCAATGGCATATTCTAAAAAATTCCAAAATTGTAAGACTTTAAAATCTCGGCCTGCTTAAATTACAGTCGCTTATTTGTTAAACCTCATCTCCCGCTGTTTATGATTGCTCAAATCTGAAAAGGTTGATTTATCTGCAAATCTAGTTCAAACGTAACATTGATATTTCTATAATTATTTCAATATCTACAAGCTGATTACTTGCACTGAAATTATAATTTCTTATGGACGAAACATTTAAAATCGCAGAAAGAAATCTTATTGGTTGTTTTAGGCCCGAAATGTCCTTTACCTTTCCCTCAGATAAATACTAGTACTGAATGTTTCCAGGAAAGATGTTTTACGTAGGCAGTTGAAAAGGATGTACTTATTGAACAATTTAACCAGTACCTTCTGCAATAGATGTATTAAATTATTGCTATTATGAAAAACATGTATTACTATCTGTGTTAAATGTGTCCTCAAATAAATATTTCTAAAACTGGCAGCATTTGACAAAAACAGTAAAACAATTCCATGATGTATCAGGTACATGACAAAGACCGTTTCTTTTGTTTTTAATGAATGTTAAAATTTAAGATCTGGTAAATATTTTTATACACGCTGATTTTATTTTTAAAGTGATATTAAAAATATTTTAGATTTTTTTGATATAATACGGTAGGCGTTGGTATGATAACAAAACCTCACTATTCAATGATCCTGAGACAAAAGGTCAAAATTTGAAGCCTGTATATAGAGACGTCTTTATTAGAGAGAAAATTTCTCTATATGGGGCGTAAAAGCAATATTCAATTACTCGATTCGAAAGTTATTGAATGGTGGTACAGTGTAAGGATACTTGCCGTTGACCGCGAGAAACATATTGTCTGCCGAAAATTAGCTTTCCTTCTTTTTATGTTAAGCAAAGTAAATAATGACAAACACAGACTACATTTCCCTTATGTAGGCCTTTCAACAGTTCCGCTAGGGTTCGCTGTTATGAACGATAACTCGTTGCTGAAGCTTGTTTAGAGCAGGTCCGAGGTATCCAACTGTTTATAAGCAAATCAGTGTTTAGCATTTCCCAAGTGTTTCTTTGCTGTCAATAGAATGTTTAACTTATTTACTATATAGTTGCGGACACCGTTTAATCAGATATAAGTATTTTTTAAAATTAAAATAAAAAGTGAAATCTACCCTCCGATATTCTTAGTTCTAACCTGATTAAATGTTTATACTCGGTCGTTCTTCTTCGTGCTTGGTAACACAAATAAGATCATTAATTGTTGCATTTACTTGTAAAAATAGATATATTTATATAGGAAGCGCAAAGTGTGCACAAAAAACATGTCATTATATTTTCTTCCTCGTTACAATTAATCGTCAAGGAGAGTTAAAAATATTGAATATAGTATGTTCCCCATTCATTTGACCCTGTTATTTTAAATAGAGTGAAGAAATTCTCCTTCTTTTGGTCAACGCTTTTGTGTACAAAACTATGTAAGGAACCTTTTTGCACATAACAATACCAATGCTGAAGTAGCCTATATGTCATTCCTATAAACGATAACTCATAAAGCGGCACTAAGTTGGTCATTTTTCACACCTGAGTTACCTGTCCTTAAAACACAACATTGTACAATTCAATTATAAATAATGTGCAACTTGAAAAATTTGTTGGAAGGCCTACCTTATGACCTCTGTCTTCTTCTCTCCGAGCATTACTTAGATTTATTCATTTTCATGCAATACTAGGGCTTTTCCAAGAAGGAACTTGAAGCAGAGTACTACATTACCTAAGGACAAATGAGGGATTCATTGTACAGTTTCACCACATAACTTCGCTTTTGAAAATTAAGGATGTACAACACACCTACCCCCAAAAATTCCTGTCGTTTAATTATCCAACTTTTGTATATTTAGTAAATGACTATTTACTGCATGTATGCACATTTTGGACAAAATCGTTCCAGTGGTTTTTGGATTTAGGAACTTCCAAAAGTTACCCCCCTTTAGTTGTTTACAAGTTGAGAGAAAATTTTTAATCAATGAACTACTTAAACCTTTTTTTTCAAAAAAGCCAGGTTAGATGAAATGTCAAATTTCATTGGCTTATTCCTTTAACCATTTAAACAAAAACATAGTCATCTTTTTGTATACATGTCATCAAAATAATTTTTAAAGATTATTGAAAAACTATGAATTGCATTTAAGCCTTGAAAATTTATATATTTATATTCAAAATTTTTTTGTGAAAAAGCATGTCATTTAATTTTGGCAAAAAACTTTCTTTAAAATATAGGAGAGTAAAAATAATCTTCATAATTTTTTATATAATTTTTGTACAGTTATTTTAATAGCGGGTTTTTTCATTGGAAAAAATCACGTTCCCGCGCGTTTTGTCAGAACAATTCGATCACTTTTTATATGAATCTGCAAATACACATTAAAAAATTAAATTGGAACATTGCGTTAGAAAATGGCCTGAAACAATATTTTGCTTCAGAAATATATTAACTTAAAATTTAAAAGTTGTACTTCAATGTAAAGCCTATTTAAATGTAGATTTTTAGGCAATTTTTGAATACCCCTATTTCCTTTTTTGAAATTTCATTAGCGTTTGAAAACGTCGTTTACAATGCAAATATACTGGTATTACGTCATTTGAATCGCGGAATGAAAAATTCATGAATGCGGCTATTGACTACCCTTTTTATATGTATCCAGGAAGAAATTACTGGAGGATTTAATTATGTTTAGTCATATATGTAATGCGTTAGCATTCCAAACATGAACATAGAACAATATAACTTGAATATGTTGATTTTTAATTTTATTTCTTTAATTTTATTCATTAAAAAAAATGGTGTATGTTCAATTCTCCTGTGATATAAATGGAATAATTGTAGTTTCTTTCATTCATTTTTCAAACGAGAAGTATGTGGCCGTTACATCGACATTTGCATAGATGTACACCCCTCATGATATTGTACGCATTTCTTTCAATGTCGTCGCTTCTAAACTTAAAATGAAAATTCCGTATTAGTCCACATTAGCTTCAAAATATCAAACATTAAACTCTTCATCTATTTAAATTTATATCAAATCGCACTTCGATATTTTTTAAAATCTTATAGGCTACGATTTGTTTTGATTCGAGGAAATGCGAACCGACATTGTTGACAGAAAGTCAAGCGATTTGCTGCAATAGGATATTCATAAATGCAGATAATTTCAGTACAAGTGAACAATTCTTTTCAATTCTATACTTACATGTACATTGTGTATATAAGGTCTATAGTATTCAATTCTCGGATTTATCAGGTCTTGCTGTAAATGTATAATGATTCTGTGGAAAACCGTGAATAAAGGGAGAAAAATAAACATCTCCTACATTTTCAGAGTTGTTCCTCTTTGATCAGTAAGGGTCTGAGAAATTTATCGATTTTACATTGTAAAAGAAGAAAAACATATTTATATCAAATGCACATGTAATGAAGACCATTAATCGGAATGTTATATAGCCAATTAACATAATGAGAATTTCGGCAATGTAAAATAAAATTTTCAGAATAAAAAAAATCACAATTCATTTATTGAAATGAAATGAAATAAACATTAAGGGATGGTATTTTATTTTGTTTTTTACGGATTTAAATTAATTAAAAAATACAAGTATGGTACGCAAATCCTGAAGCCCCATATCCCAATTTTCATGATTGATATACATCGGGATCGTTTTACTCGTGTTAAATACAGAAGATTGACAACGTTAATCCTTTGATAAATACAGTTCAATTGAAATTGCAAGAGTTATCTCCCCCAGTGTGTTGTACGTCTTTAAGACTCGATTTTCTTTTTTTTTTTTTTGAAAAATTATAAATCCTGAAGCAAACTACCTTCTGCTGTATTTTGTTTCTCTGGCTCAAGTAGGCACATTTGCCTTGAGCACTATGAATAAATCGGGTAAACCGTTTTATTGTTTGCATTTTCGTTAATGTTTGCATTAAGGACAGATGATACAAGGAAACTTTTGTCATAAAAAGTTATGTTTTACTGAGTAAAATGTAAAAAGTTTCACCACGTAGATTTTCATTCACAATTTCACAAAATTGTAATTTGAAGTTAAAAATATTTATAAAGATTAAGAAGGATTGTTTAAGAACGGCAGAATTTGGAACATCATAGAAGGTTTACAATTTCCTAATATGAAACATATTGAAATAACGAATAGCATTTAAGATTAAAAGTCCATAAAATAATACACAACAGGAGCAGAGCAAACACGGACCTCCGAAACAAATTAGAAGGTTGACAAGTGGGGGGGATTTTGATAAATACCCCTTGACCATTGATCCTGGCGACACCCTGATAAATACAGAAGATTGACAAGTATCCTGATAAATAGAAATTTATTATTTGATATACATTTGCAACAAAAATAGATGAAAATATATACAATCCAGATTGACAAGTCATTTTTTTGTTTGTATCAATCTGTCCTGACAAAGATGGGTGGGTATCCTGATAAATACATCGAATGAATCTTTAGGCAATTGTGTCTATATCATAATTCGTTTGCTTGATTAATGCATACGATTGACAAGGGTGTGGGTTTTTTGATAAATACAGAAGATTGCCAATGGGGCAAATATCCTGATAAATACAGAAGATTGGCAAGTGGGCAGGTATCATGATTAATACAGAAAATTGACAAGTCGGCATGTATCCTGATAAATATATAAGATGGACAAGGGGGTGGGGGTATCCTGATAAATACAGAAGATTGACAAGTGGGTGGGTATCATGATAAGTACATAAGATTGACAGGTGGGTGGGTATCCTGATAAATACAGACGATTGACAGGTGGGTGGGTATCCTGATAAATACATAAGATTGACAAGTGGGTGGGTATCCTTATAAATACAGACGATTGACATTGGGTGGGTATTTAGATAGGTGCATAAGATTGACAAGTGGGTCGGTATCGTGATAGCTTTATAAGATTGACAAGTAGGCAGGAGTACTTATTCCTTCTGAACACATGATCCAGCCTCTGTTGATTCCACGTGACTATCTGTTCATGAGAGAGATAACATACAAGGAACATCAGTGAAGCATTAAACTTTATTGATTTGAACTAAGCGGAATAATGAGGTAATTAAGTTCAAAAATGTATTTAAAGTAGCAACTGCATTAAATGATAATAAGAGCATTAACTTGATAACAGTATTTCACACAAGCTTTTGAACATAAAATTCTGTTTTTTAACTAGCGTTCTTTAGAAGCTGACCTAAGAGCTTATAATAGTAGAGACAAAAACAAAATGCAAAATTACTAAATAATAAACAAGAACTACATTCTAATCAATTATACGTAAATCCTAATAATATACGTAAAATATGAAAAATATTTCATTTAAATAAATTTGAAATCTGAAGCTTTTAGATTGCGACATCGTACTGTTATATCTTACAATTACGTGATTAAAGAAGCAAATAAAAGAAATGATAATTTAATGATAATTAGGCGCTGACAATAATATCCCAAGTTCTCTGAAGATGTCTTGATTTTTTCGACATGGATCTTTAAAGAACTGTATTGACACTCTCTCTCTGTGTGAACGAAATTCCCTGAAATTTTATTATTTCATTCATTTTCAATTATTGAATGATTAAAAAGAGGATTTAGATGTATCTTGATTATAACCAGATTTAAAACATACAACATGACATAACATTTCTTTTATTTACTATTTCTTTTTAACCTCAAAGTTAGTTTTGGGAAACAATACAATTTACTACCTAAAAATAGTGATTATTTTTTTGATTGACTTTTACATTGATTTAAATAGTCATCATGAGATGTTAGCTCCTCCACGGCACCTGACATCACGTATATTATTTTTTAGGGTTGCTTTTCTCTCAATTTACATTGACTGTTTCAATCTACTCTCGAGATTAATTACTATTGGTTATTCGGATATGCCATTATTAAAGTAAAATACCTTGATGGAATCCCCTTCTTTTTGTTTACTGAATAATTCTTCTCCATCAGTTTGAATCTTTAATATCACAGAGAAAAAAACATTTTAGTATCAGCTTATGGCATTTTCTCCCGATTCTATCCCTACTGTAAAAGCATATATTTGTTTTTGAGCTCTCACAATGTAAATGTATGCACATTTGATCTTTAAAGTTAGAATTAAAAAAAATTAATTGCAGTTTTATTTCCTCATATTTGGATGGAAGTGAATTTTTGAAATACGTTTATTTGCCAGGTCCGTTGTTTTACATAGCACGTAATTAAAAAGAAGCATATGATATAAATGAGAAAATAGATAAAAACCACATTTTGACATCTCAAAATGCATGAAAACTAACTCTAGATACTGATGAAAACTCCTTTGTATTCATAGACATCGTATTGCTGCTCAATAGTGTATAAAACCTGCTTCTCCAGTTTTCTGAACCTTTTATGTGTATGCGTTCGCTTAGCAACTTTCTGATCTGTAGAATTATAAAGTATGTTTTCAAATCTATAGTATCGAATAAAATAGAAATTTATCTTGTTCAAGTAACAGTCTTTGTTTTACAAAAATATATTATTCCTTAAGATGCTTTGTTACAACACATTTTGAAAAATTATGCACTTTGAAAATTTTTTTCAAAGTGCGTTAAATTTGAGACCAAATCAACGCACTTTGAAATAATAAAATTTCATTTCAAAGTGCGTTTATATCGACCATATTAACGCACTTTTAAAAAATGTGTACGGCTTGGTCAATATTCTTGCATATCTTAGGTACATAATGTATGATAAATAATTAAACCTGTTCGAAGGATGTGAAAATGAGCGATTTTTATTTTTCTATACTTTGAATATTCTTTCTCTCATAAATGTTTTACTGTACTTAATTTTTTTTCATTTTGCTTGCATTTAATGTAAAATATTTACATTTCCAATGTCTTTGTCCTAGATAAAATTACAAATTGTAAATGTACTTTATTTCCCCATCAATGTATTAGCGCGATTCCAAAAAAACCACGAGCAGGGCGGGAAAAACAGCTAGACAGAAACAGGGCTTGGAGCACGTGGATTGGCGGAATCAAAGCATGTAAATATAAGGAATAACTGTCAGATTTTTCAATTTCATGACGAAGATCAATCGATTGGCTTGCGTGTTAATTTTATGCATAAACGCCTTCTGCGTTTATGTAACTTATCACGCAAGCCAATCGATTGATCACATCATGAAATCGAAAAATAAGACAGTTATTCCTTAAATAAAATTTATTGAAAGATTCCAATTTCATACCATTTATGCAAATACATGTATTTAATTGGAGCAAAGGCATCGTCAACGTACGGGGAGGGGGGTCTTAGGCACACAAGTGTTTTGCAAAGATATACATTATATAGGCATTGAAAATTGGGGCTTACCTTTAGGGGGGTTCCACATTCAATTTGCTGTCGACGGCTATGTACAATGTATAAGATAAGAATAAAATAGAAAATTATCTTGTTCAAGTAACAGTCTTTGTTTTACAAAAATATAGCATTCCTTAAGATGCTTTGTTACAACACATTTTGAAAAATTCTGCACTTTGAAATTTTTTTTCAAAGTGCGTTAAATTTGAGACCAAATCAACGCACTTTGAAAAAATAAAATTTCATTTCAAAGTGCGTTTATATCGACCATATTAACGCACTTTTGAAAAATGTGTACGGCTTGGTCAATATTCTTGCATATCTTAGGTACATAATGTATGATAAATTATGAAACCTGTTTGAAGGATGTGAAAATGAGCGATTTTTATTTTTCTATACTTTGAATATTCTTTCTCTCATAAATGTTTTACTGTACTTAATTTTTTTTCATTTTGCTTGCATTTAATGTAAAATATTTACATTTCCAATGTCTTTGTCCTAGATAAAATTACAAATTGTAAATGTACTTTATTTCCCCATCAATGTATTAGCGCGATTCCAAAAAAACCACGAGCAGGGCGGGAAAAACAGCTAGACAGAAACAGGGCTTGGAGCACGTGGAAATCAAAGCATGTAAATATAAGGAATAACTGTCAGATTTTTCAATTTCATGACGAAGATCAATCGTTGGCTTGCGTGTTAATTTTATGCATAAACGCCTTCTGCGTTTATGTAACTTATCACGCAAGCCAATCGATTGATCACATCATGAAATCGAAAAATAAGACAGTTAAAATAAAATTTATTGAAAGATTCCAATTTCATACCATTTATGCAAATACATGTATTTAATTGGAGCAAAGGCATCGTCAACGTACGGGGAGGGGGGTCTTAGACACAAGTGTTTTGCAAAGATATACATTATATAGGCATTGAAAATTGGGGCTTACCTTTAGGGGGGTTCCACATTCAATTTGCTGTCGACGGCTATGTACAATGTATAAGCAAAAAAAAAAAAAGAGTTGGCCTGAGAGACCTACTACTCATCTTCTTCTTGAGGTTAAATGAGTACATGTAAATTAAAAAGTTTTTCGAAAGTTATAATTAATACAAATTGATTCGCTCAATTACCAAAATCTAAGTCTAGAGTTTTTGTTTTATACATATTTTCTCCAAAGTGCGTTAAATCTCCCCATGGTAAAAAATGTTTATGTACACTCTTAACGCACTTTGAATTTTTTTTCAAAGTGCGTTGATTTTGTCCCAATTTTAACACACTTTGAAATTTTTTTTTTCAAAGTGCGTAATTTTTTCAAAGTTCGTTACCACAATGCTTTTTTAATTTACTTTTACATGTTATTCAAAAAATATGTTAAGTAGTGTTCCTACCTTTTTGTTTAAAAGACATTTGGAGATGAAAAGAAAAAGTCCCTGAAGAGGAGATCACATAATCAAATCAAGCTTTCCAACATAATCTTTGACTGGCCCATAATTGTATCGAAGCAATATTAAAATATAAACTAAATACCTGGAAGGAGTTTAACAGGGAGAATATATACTGAAACACTATCACATCATCATTGATTGACAAAAGACCAAACAACCACGTGACACCCAGAACAGGTAACAGGGTACAGATGGACTTTATTCCGGCTCTGAAACCATTCCGGTAATATTCATGACATTTTAAATCATTTATCATTTGTATGTCTTCTCTAAAATTATTCAGGAAAATAGGCTTATCCGTATTGAAAACATAATTTTATGCCTTGATATACATGTAAATTATATGAGAATTGATTATTTACTTTCTATATTATCAAAAAATCCTGGATTTGTATTCATTCTGACTTACAGTGTCCTTTTCTTCAGTTTTCCTTGTGAAGAAATTGTTGTCGAATATAGGGTCATGATGAGACTGAATACAATAATAATATTGACCTGAAAATTGAATAGTAATATTAAAACTGTAGCTTGTGTTTTGCAAACAAGTTAAAAGTATACACCATATTTCTCACTATTTTATCATCCATTTCATTTTGTAAAACTAAAGCTAGGATAATTGGTAAAAATTGATAAAAATCATGTTGAAATTCCTACCAAAATTATGCAAGCTACAGGTCCAATAAAGCCATACAAAGCTCCACTATCAAATGATAACCAACAACTGTAAAATACATGTAGTTTTATAAACGACGTTTCTATGATGAATATTTTTCATACGCGTGTATTAGTATCAAAGTATTCAGATGGTATATCTGTACCTTGTTGGTGAATGATAGTCTTTGCCCGATGAATATACGATTCCGAAAGTTACTGCGGTAATGCATACTGGGATAGCTAAATAATAAGTGTGTTAGTCTTTATTCACATTTTAGAAGACTTTTCACATATATTGATTTCCATTCTTTTTGACGTTGCCATATAGTTAAAATTATACTCACCAGTGACAATTCCCCAAGTGACTTTACCGGAAGCATTGGCATGGCTTTGTAGTTTTGTTGCTTTAGACAGTGATAATTTGACCAGAGAGATAGTGCTGAAATAATGCCACCCAAGGGCCAGCATTAGAAAGAAAATAAATAGGAAAAGATAATGTAACAGTGCTGTAATGACAGTGCATCCGACCTGAAAAATAAATTTAAAATCTCACGCTAATTACCTGGACATATGCTTTCTCCTTTAATTGAAATATGAAAATAATGAAACAATAATGAAACTCAAAAGATGTTTGAAACAAATATTGCAAGCAAAGCAAATGTGAACGACTGACATCTTCAGAAAATTCTTCGTTATAAATTGGCCATTAGCCTATATCTATTTAGATAGTCTTTCACGAAACAAGATTCTGTGTTTTCTTTCATTTCAAATCATTAAGATACATATAAGGTATTATCACTACATTATAAATTTATTAAATTAATGTGTTAAGGATTAAGTTGATCTTTCACTGTAAGACAAAGGGTAAAATGTGAACCACTCTAAAAGAATGAAATACTGGTACTTTCATAAAAATCAATCAAAAGCTTACTTCATTCTGTATTTTATCAACTCCAGTTAGAAATAATGTATAAGCCATGGAGAGACTAAAGCAGAGTGACACCGTGATCTTATTTATTATTCGGTTGACCTGGACCGTAATGGAACTGTAAAAAAAAAAGAAGTGTTTCACTCTGAGAATACCCTGATTGTCAAATATTTCAAATAGTTAAAATGTCTGGGGATTGTCCCTCGATTATCTTAAATATCTACTTACTTCCAAAAAAAGATGTAAATAAAAGCAGTCAGCAAGGATAGAAAAACTGATATCGAGCAACCAACCATGGATATCCAGTTCAATGCTGCTTCTTCTCTTTGAATCTAAAGAAGGAAAGTAAAACTGAACTATTATTGAAAGACACTTAGGTATATTCAGACACTCCCTTTATAAAGAGTAGATAAAAATATAGTTGCAAGTTATAGATTTCTCTTATAACTGAAATACCAATGGACAATCAGATGATTACCCTTGAATATGGTCGCATCAGTACTGCAAAATTTGTCAGATGGTTGCATTCACAGTGAAGATAAAGATCATCTGTAGATAGTAATTCACACCCTCTTGTTGACCACCCACCATCTCTGTTACTGTATTATTAAAGTTATATTTACATTTGCTGTGTTTTCTACTAAGCCAACTGTGAAATTGATTTAAAAACCATTTTCGTGTATACCCACGCGTAGAAATATACACGGAGAAATGTGCATTAACGTGACTTCACAATAATGCTACAGCGACGTTAGTAAAAGTATAACGATATAGGGCAGCAAGAAATTCAAATAATGAGTATATTTTTGGTGCTTCCAAACATGTAAAATGTAAATATAAGGAATGTTTTAAAGAACTTTATTTGGTAATAACCAATATTTGCCCCCCAAATCAAACTTTGATGGAGATATATTTAATTAAGTTCTTAAACAGGGGAGTTTATGCTGACTTCAAAGCACTGATATATAAGTAATGACGCCATATGTACGTTAATGACGTCACAAACATGACGTAAATTTCAGTTATGAATTTTACAGAAAAATGTACATATTTCGTCGATATTTTGAGTAAAAGTCACCGAGCGCATGTGTGTTCAGGATCAATATTTTGATATAATGTGTAGAATGATAATATCAATGAAATATGTTATTGTTCCTGAACAAACCTGCGCTCTATAAATTTTAAAGCTAAAATTGTTGAAATTTTGTCCATTTTGTCCTCTTTTAGAAAAAGGATATTAAATCGGAGATGACGTAATAAAAACAAAAATTGTGAATACACTGCTTTGACACGATAATATTTTCTGTTAAATTATATTTCTCATACAATTTATTGAATTCAGCACATTTCAGGAAGTTTTCAAATTTTGACTTTTGTGGGGGCAAATATATGTAATATACCGCATATAGTTCTTTAGTGTGAATTATTGGTGAATGAATCACACAGAATTGCACGTAGGTATATTTTTCATGAAGCGCGGTGATTCACACACCAATATCTCAAACAAAACTTTAAAAAACATTCCTTTAATGACTGCTGGTTAATAACTTAAGAATAAAAAAAGAACTTCAGTCCAAAAATCACCTCCTCTATCGTTTAAATCAAAATCATCATCCACCTGTAATGAATAATACCGTTTAATTGATTAATTTATTGCATAATGTTTTACGTTCCCTTGGAAAATTTTCCTCTCATATAGAAACGTCACCATGTACTTGTGAATGGCTTCAAACTCGGAGCCATTGGGCAGTGAGGGATCTTTATCGTGCCAACGCCTGCTGTAACTCGAATTTTAAGATTTCGTTCAAAAGACCTGCAGCTTTCACTTGAAAGTGCCGAGAGCAAAGGGAAGAAACAATTGTTTTCCAATTTTATTGCCTTCTACCGTGATTTGAAATCTTGAACTTCCGATCATAGAATAATTAAGCGCTCTAGTAATTGATCAGCTTTTGAAAAAAAAAAATAAAAAACTAGGAAACTTATTGTTCACAGAACAATAAGAGGTCTTTCCACCTTCTTTAAATTTCAAATTTGTTTTATATCTGGCTCCTAAAAATTAAATTCCATGAAAAAGAAATCAAAACCCTCTTAAAGCATAGAAAAATGAAAATTTAAAAAATAAAAAAAGGAATGACCTTGACCTTTAACCTTGAATTAATTTTCAAGGTCAAAGGTCAAGGGTCATAATGCAATTGACCCCATGCTTCTACAACTAATACTTGTCAAGTTATAAGGTTTAATAGTAAGTACAAAGAAGTTAAAGGGCAATAACTCATATAAGGAGTCATCAGATCCTTTGGCTCTTATACAGTGAAGTTAGGCCTAAAAACCCCTAAGACATTAGTGAAGGTTTGGTGTCTCTACGGTCTACAGTTATGGAGGAGTAGCGATAACAATGTTTTTAGCACAAGGGGCAATAACTTTTAAAGGGGTTAATGTTAGGGAACAAGAATGAAATCTTTGAAACAGTTTTAAGAGTACATATTAATGAAGCATAGACATTAAGTATATGTTAAAAGACAAAAGAGATATAAAAAGAGTTAAATTTCTCAGTTTTGGAATGACCTTGACCTTTGACCTTTACATGAATTTTAAGGTCAAAGGTCATTGAATTTTATGCAGTTGGTTCCATATCCCTACGACTTGTCGTTTTGAAAAATTTTAATTATTTGTAAAATTCAAGAAGTTTCAGGGGCAATAACTCATTGAAGGGGTCACCGAATGCTTTTGCAATGTATCACTGAAGTGTCTACTGAATTAGTCAAAGAGATTAGTGAAGGTTTCATTTCTCTATGGTTTACGGTTTCAAAGGAGTAGCGACCTAATTAGTCTAACAATTGTCAAAAATCATAAAACAGTGGTTTTATAATTTCCAATCAGCTGCAGTGTACTTCGAAACAACATCGATTAACTCATATGGTATACATGTAAGAAAATCACAATTTAAAAATAAATTGAAATTTTAAATAGATAACAAAAAAAAAAAAAAAAAAGAAAAAAAAAAAAATCACTCAAAATATTAAATTAGCAATGAAAAAGCATTATTTTTCATGCTTTAAAAAATTACTGAATTTTTTTCTTTATTATTCCGCAAGCGTGCTGGTAAGGTCATTCCATATTCTTTCCTTAAGTGTCCAAATATCACATAGACCATAAGAGAAAAACATAGACTTTCTAGTCATCAAAAATGACGTTATTTAAAGGATTTACTTTTTAAGATATTTTTGTCTTTACAGGATCTATACATTTGCATATATAAGCTATTAAATGCCTAAATGGCACTTAATATTATAATTTTTAGATGAATCATTACAGATAATGTCAGAATTCAAAGTTTTTGACCGAAATAATCCTTTTCGGGTTTCCAGATTTTTTTCTTTTGATATTGGAAGTCCAAAAACCAAGACGCACAGGGTCGCTAAACATTAAAAAGACTTGGAATGGCCTTAAATCAATTTCAATGACCTATATTTGGATTAGAAAAAAATAGATTTAGGATAAGAATAATAAGTATTAAAAGAGATCTCCAGAAAATAAGCTGTTATGCTTATGTAAAATAGGTTTTCCTCACTGAATGAAATTTTTTTTAAGGTCAAGATCTAGTAAATAACTTGAGACTATTTTTTTTGTTGCTAGATCCATTATGACGTCATAATAAATTTCAACTTTATTTTTCGCGTACTTTACGACTTTAGCAGAATTATGTAGAAAATAGGGTATTTTCATGGCATTCAATTTGAAATCATATGAAAATAAACCGGATACCTATATTAAATTTGATATTGATTTAAAGAAAAGGCCATGAATATACTAATTACCGTTTTCTGAGAGACTGTAGGCAATCTGGATGCATTTCCTTTGACGAATACGAAAAAAAAAACTCCCATATTCATGACAGGTTTTCTTAATTTTTCATTGAAAATGACAGTTTAAAATACAGTTTTTCATCTTGTTTACCTACTAATTATGCCCCGAAACACCTTATTTGACGAAACTAAGGTTGTAAAGCATCAATAAAGGAATTTATTTATCAAGTTTGATAAATCTGTAGGCACTTTTCATTTACTAGATCTTGACCTTAAATGACCTTCTTTCAAAAGATCAATACTAACGTGACTTGAAAATTCCAAAATACGCATTCACTGAAGGAATTCTGGAAATCCTAATTCGAAAAGATAAAGAAAATGGAAGTAGAGAAATTTGGATTTTCGAACATTGCTTTTACCTATACACTATATTAGTTATGAGTGAAACTTACTGTCGGCTTCAAGAATTTCAAATGCAGCAGAAGGTCTACTGTCTCTTTAAATGGAGAATCACCTAGTGTTAAAGACATAATATCAGACGAAATGCTGAATCCCGAATTTTCTTTATTGCTGAAAAAAAAAGAAATTGATCGAATGATAAAATCTGTTCAATCGAAATTATTGGTTGAATTTCAGAAATGTGTCATCTTATTTATACATTCTTACCTGTTGTCGGTGTTCATTAAGTTTCCAAGTGTTTTATATTTCACCGCAAGGTAAGGTATGCCTTTTGCTTGAAAAAATAGATTTCAAACGTTTTGAATTTCAAAAGAACTGTCAACAAAATATTAAGAAAAATGAAAAAGAAAGTGTGTAAAGCACTATTATTACTTTGAATAGAACCATGAGCCTGTGCTGAAAACACAAACGATGAACCTATAATACTGTTGCCTTCTGGGAAAATCAGAGTTTGGTCTGGTGGAAGTTTTGCGACTGTAAAATCTAAAAGAATGAATACAGGATTCCTGGATTCCTTTTTTTCTAAGGAAGCATCATAAAGAATATAAGTGAAGAAGAATAGCCAAAAAAAAAAAAACAAAAAAAAAACCAAACAAACAAACTACCTATATTCCTTGTTGTGTTAAAAGTGATACTTTCGTTCTCGCTGATGGTCTTCAAGATATGTAAACCAAAGTTTTCTACTGTTTTGAAGATCTTATTCACTCTTGCACTTGACTATGCAATAAATATAAGACTTTCTATTTAAATTCAAGAACGTGTTGATTTAAAATTCTACAAAATCTATTCACAGGATCAAATTAATGAAAACCTTTTCTGAAGACGTGTAATTCCATGCAGTGCTATGATTTTCTGCCAGAAGATTGTCGAATGTTGACATAAATACCTGAAAAGCATAAAAGTGAAAGTTTACAATGTCAATGAAAAAGTGGATAATAAATTATATTTACATTACCAAATAGTTTCCCTTACAATTTTTTGCAAATTATAATGAGTTCATGTTCTCATGAACTACCGTGTTATATGTAAGAATATTTCCATGGTGATGCGCCACTACTATTGTTATTGTGCTACTATAGTTATTGTGATTAAAATTCGAGACACGTGGTTCAGGTTTACCTATTCAAAAGTTTTAGGGTAGAACCGGTTTTATAAATAAAATTGGCAGAAACAGGAAATTGCTATAATCTGTTTCTTTTGAAAACATGTTCTTTGAAAAATGTTTTTCCAGACCATTCTGAAAGACTTTTATGATTTTCAACAGAAAAGGGTGGCTAAAGGGGGGGGGGTTAAATTACAATATATTATATCATAGATTAGAGCTGACTAGAGACCGATACGCTGGTAAAAAAAGGTGTAATATCATCTACACTGACAAACCTTTGTTGCCTTATATGGCTATTGTTATTAATGCGTACAGAGGATGAAACCATGAACAACTGACCATTTGATGATTGAATACGTTTAGGACAAATACATGTTTACATTTTACTTCGAACACGTGGTTCAGGTCAATCTATGATCATGTCAATGGAGTGTAAAATAAAAAAAAAATGTTCTTATGAACACATTGCAAGGATTAGAAACTATGAAAGATGTCATGGGAGTTTTTAATTTGTTGTTAACTAGAAAAAAATCCGTTAAATAAAATGAAAATGTAGTTAGTGTCCACTTCAGAACACCAGCACTTCAAGGGTAAGGAAAACAAGCAGCTTCTCGAATGCATTTAAATGGACAAACTATTTTTTTTTTACATAATTATACTAGTGATCTCGTGTTTTGTCCAATGACTCCACCTGACAAATGTATTCACCGATAGTACAATAAAGAAATTTATCAAGCGTAAAATTGCTGTAGTACTCGTAGTAACCCATAATGCAACTCTGACTCAGCTGATTTGTCAATACAATGGTGCCTCATTTGCTAATCTAACGCCAAAAAAAAAAAAAAAGTCCCGGTTTCCTTACAAAAATATTTGTCCGAAAAGAAACTTTAATTCATGACAGCAGAAAATTGTATCATATAGAATACTTATAATTTAAATTTGAATGAATTCAAGAGAAATCGATTGAAGTAAATTTCTACAAATGATATTATAGGGTGGTGAAAACAAAAAACGCAACATAACTATTTTGTTGAACATGTCTCAACATGCTAGTCACTTCCTAGCCACATTTCCGTGAATAATTTACCCTATCTCGCTGTAGTCTCGTTAACTCTCACCAGAGCCACTTTCAGAGCTACTCTGATTTCATTGGTTTTTATAATTTGCAGAACACCGAAAAATAAAGTATTCCGAACACATTAGTAGGGGTCTTATGTATTGAAGTAAAAAATAAATAGTGTAATTTTCTTTTCAAAAATGATCGCTGAATGACAAAATTATGTGGCAAGTCATGAGAAAAAATACTGTAAATATAAGAAACGAATTTACTTTTTGAGAATCCACGAGGTGATTAAACTACAACGCTTTCCAGTTGACACCTGAATGAAATATGCAGGCGTGAAGCGTCGAAGTTCATGTCTTCATGAATTTTCAGAAATAACATTCATTGCTTAAATAAATGAAATACAAATACCGTCCTCATAAGTGATATATTCGACATCTTCGAAACATTTAGGATTTTATCTAGCATGTCTATGGAACTGTCGAAATCCTCCGGCGTTTGGTCGTTGTTTAATGATATGTCTTGCAATTTGCGAAGTACATAATTAATCGTCCGTTCTGTTTCCGTACTTGATAGATTTCCTTGAAGTGCGGATTCAACCTAGGAAAGAATCATTTCACATCAAAGTTAGTAATTCGATTCTTTTATAAATGTGATTAACTGTAGAACAATAAGAATGGAATATCTGATGGTTTTATGGTGAATGTAATAATCATCGCACGAGTTGTGTTAAAATCATCATAAACCACAAATTATTTGGAGAATATTTTTCAATTAAGTTTATTCAAATCTCTTGTTCAAGGCAAAAGTAATTTACGTTCTTGTTAAATATGATACAGTCGTTTTATACCATATCCTTAATGTTGTCTAAAACCGGCACACAATCCATGTGTAGTGTTTCTTGAGACATGTCCTCACAATATACAGACGTTGTACCTGTATAAAAAGTCAGAGCTTTTCACAACAAAAAAAGTTGACCAAAAAGAATATGTCGATGAAAAATTCTAATTAAGAAAAACTGTCAGTACCTGTAACTTTTAAAGAAAACGCATAAATATTGAGTTTTTTACAACATAGATGTAAGTATTCTTCTTAAAAATTGAAAAGTAATTATTCATCATATGCATTACCATGTTGGTTTTCAGATGATCCTTCGTGCAGAGTAGTTTTATCACGTGTGCTTAATAAAGCTGATTCTGTTGTCAAAGTCACTAAAATCAAAACAGAGTTTGTTTAAAAACTGGATTCCATGCAACTGGATCTTTCACCTTACATTGCCATTACAATGTGTTTATTGAAAATACGAGTAAAGTCATGTAATTGTTTTTTTTCAATTATCAAGTGTTAAAGCAATTTATAAATATTCTAAGAAAAGGGAATAATGATATATTTTAACATCAACACCGCAGTTAGATTGTATTCGTCAGTTTGTACATTTGTTTTGTGTCGGAAGGCGGGGGTGGTGGTGTCTTTTTCACGGTATAAATACATTTTAGAAACATTCTTATTCCTGTTCTTCATTATGTAACCACGATATCGATGAATTTTTATTATAACTTTTCAATCATTCTGGCAAATAATGAATAACATTTGTATATTAACTTAATATTGATTTATAAGGGCTGTAAGTATTTTTTTTCTTCTTCTTTTCTGGTTCAGGAGATCAAATTTGTGTGATTGATTAAGTTTTTATCCCATCACGAAAGCTTTAAAAATGTAAAAAAAAATTAATATCAAAATTTTAAAAATAAAAATATATAAAAAATTAATATCAAAATTTTAAAAAGAAAGAGTGAATATATACTAAAATGCCTTGATTATTAATATTTTATATATTTACATACTCATAGGTATCTTTCGAAACTAAAGAAAAAAGACAGTAATATTTTTAATCTAAAGAATGGAAAGAAAAATACCTACATGTTGTCTGACAAACAAAACCACTAAGAACATCACAAGAGATGTCGTTCCAGTAGTGAACTCCCCCAATCAACTTGAAGTGTAAGCAATTTTCTTTTCCTTGAGCATTATTGGGTTCACCTGATGAAGAGAGACATAATAAGTTAATTATGGAGGCATCAAAATCAAGAGAAAAACAAAATCAGGGGCATTTGCATCTTTTATATGCTCACAACAACGTTGGGGAATATGGTTGTCGTGTGTTTTCGTTTGTTTATGGTTGAATTAATGTTAAGGTTGTGTGAAGCGGAGGCCACGTGCATCGGGATCTATATTAAGTTGTGTTTTTCTTCATATATAAGCTCTATGAAATGGGATGCTCCGCTTTGCTGTACAGTAAAACGTCTGAAAATCACCCCTTCCTTTTAAACAAGCATCGTCTAAAAATCTTCCGACTTTTTAACCATTAGCATAGACATTTCATCCTTTTTTAAAGAATGAATTCCTTCAAAACTTTCTACGCTTGAAAATTAGACCACATATCTTTTTCTAAAGCAAGAAACATAGAGAATTTCAGCTCAGTATACCAATTTGATTTATAGAAATCACGAACAGTTTCAAGCTTAAATGTCCATTCAAACAAAACACATACACGGACCTCTACAACATCAGAGATTGGATCAGATTTAAAGTAGGAATGACCACTTTTTCATGTAGTTGCAAGGATAAATATAACTTTGAAGGACCGGATAAGGGATAGAGACTAGACAGAAGACTTAACCAATAAAATCATTTTTTAAATAAACAAGTTTGATGATATTATTAAAATTGCAATTGTTTTTTTAAAATGTTTAACTTGAAAGTGATAAATCAAATCTTTATTTTATAATTTTTGCTAAAATTCATCCTCAAAGTTTGCATACAAATACACATTTTTTGATTTTCAAAGAAAGTTATGGGGCAAAGAACCGTAGAAATATAACTGTATGATATAACTTTCGAATCCTTTCGACAAATTCTTGAAGTCCACTAAGTCAATGGTCATATCACAAACAAGATTTTAATGCCCATCTTCATCAGGACTTGTGAAGCAAATTGGTTAGTGTGCTAATGAAATAAATAACAAATTTCGGCCTTCATAGAATATGATCACGTGACAGACCCACTTCACTTCCCAAAGAAGTTTATAAGCTTGTTAATTATTACTTATAAATACATTTGAGGTGGGCAAATAAAAATATATGGATATAAATATTGCACTAATCAGTTGTTGTAGATTTCCGACAAAAGTACGCAAGGAATAAATCGGCTTGAATGGCGGTTACGCTTCGAATTCACAAGGCTAAGGATTTTTTTTTCGAAGGGATTACTGTGTTAAAGCCTACTTGTGATCAGTAATAGTGAACAGATTCTTGTCTGGGAATATTTTTTTATTTGTGGAAATTGATAATCAGTGATGAAATGACACAAGAAGCACGTCCGAAGAATGATGATAAATAGTTGGAGGAATTTCGGTCCCATGAGAGGGATGGATGGATCCAATGGATGGAGACACGATGGATGGAGCCAATTAATTTGCAATCAAGCATTAAATTTGATCAAAACATTCAAAATACGATTTCAGTGGAAAAAGGCATTTATGATGTAAACACGGAGACACTGGCAACATATAACATTGAACTACGACAGTGCCGTGTCTGTCAGCTTTTAGTGGCGTGATTGCAATGCTTTGATATTTTCCAACAGATTCACACACTTCATGAAAAAAATATAGTTTTAGCCTATATCATGAAGATTTAACATAACGTCTACCAAAAAATATCTACCGAGACTGTACAGCTGACAAAAGTGAACAAGGGCTATAGGTTCTGTCGGTATATTATGCACATAGGTTAAATCGATCGCCAAACAATGTATGAAATACTTATTTACGTTGTAAATAAAATAATTATTTTACTTGCTTAATATATTGTTCATTTTTTATACATGAAAAGCAAGAGGAGCAAGTCATTTTTATATGATGTTATGTGCCGGTAGATATTATATTGCGCCTTGTTATTCGGCCATATACATGTATTGACCTCGGACCTCCGACAAACGTCATACAGAATTGAAGATACTTGCTCTCTGTATGTTTATATAATGGAAAAATACCACAAATGTATATATTAATTTTAGAAGAGAATGCTTAACAAACAAGTTGATGAAACAAGAATTTCAGCTGTCATCATTTCGTAAGTTCTATGATCAATACAATGACCTTGTCAGCAAATGAATTTTATTATTGAGTCAAATACTAAATGATGTTTTTCACACCGATTGTTAGTCCATAATTTATAAACTGAATTGACGACGGCTTTTTCCGTTATTTCCTGATCATGACGAGTAGCACACGGCGGATGTGACAGGTCGACAGGGGATGCTAATAGTCTTCCATGGCAACTGATCACATCTCCGATGTTTTGGAGGTCCGTGTTTGCTCTGCTCCTATTTTGTATTGTTTAATGGATTTTTTATCTTGAATACTGTTCTTATCTCCATATTTAACTACTCAGGAATATTTTGCTAGGGTTCGAACCTAATAAAAACACATTATTTTTTCAAAGTTATATATACCTTTTGGTATAATTTCCTTCATCTTTGATTATTTTGTGCTATTTAGGAATGAAGGATATGGAGATAACGAACAGTATTCCATTTCAAAGTCCATAAAACAATACAAAATAAGAGCAGAGCAAACACGGACCTCCGAGACATCAGAGGTTTTATCGGGTGCCATGGAGGATTGAGCATTCCCTGCTGACCGGTCACACCCGCCGTGTGCTCCTTGTCATGATCAGGAAATAAAGATATAATAATTAAGAATTTCTAAAATGAAAACAAATGGAAATATAGACCTTGAGAAGTTATTTACTTCTGCTTTGTAATTTGATCAGTCAAAATTTGTTTTTGTGGATGAAATTACGATCAAGTTAGGACAAAACATGCCAATATAAGTATTATGAGCTTTTCAAATACGTTAGATGTAATTCTAATTTATCGAGGAAGAAAAACAAATATTTCAGCAAATATATGCCAAGTAGGGTCGTATCTTACATGTAAATCCATCTTCCTGCTTCATAACAATAAGGAAAATATGGAACTCTTTTCTGAGAATGTTCTCATTAAGTATTCATAGTAAAACTGTCAAAATTATGTTAAATAGTTTAAGTGCCTTATTGGAGTTTTATGGCGCCATATGTTATCGATTATACCAAAAATGAAAAAAAAATGTTATAATTAAAAACGTAACGTACATTTTCGAAGAAATTATAAATTAATGACAAAAGGTATATGCTTTAGAGAGCACGAAAGATATGCACTTAAAAAATATAAACAAAGGAAATATGTTTTGTTAGAGAGCACGAAAGATACACCTGCACTTGTGTAAATAATGACAAGCGCGACTGTTGAAAGCCTTGTTTCATCACCTTTTTATGTAAACTCGTTGCAGAAATTGCTCATACATAGCTCATATTTTATGTATCGAATAAATTGAGATATAAGGTGATAAGTTTATATAGCTACATCAGTTTCAGCATAAGTAATGGACAAAAAAGTTAAAATATTTTTAAAAAATAAATTATATGCAAACCACACACTCACTGCGATTATCGTTTCGACATAAGAATGAAAGTAACTGTTGTTAACTGATAAAAAATTGTTAATATACACGTATTTAATTGTCGACCTTATATATAAGATTTTGTCATTAATTTGATACAAAAATAATATATGGTTGATCTAAAAAAAACATATACATGCATTTAAATTGTCAACCAGAAACTCAATTATCGTTTAAACATCTACATCAAGGAAATTTGTGTAAACAATTAAAATGCTTTTTTTTAAATAAATTTGTAAACAACCATGCAATGCAATGAAAAAGTCAGTAGACTTATATAAGGTCATTAATATAAATAATACATGTATCTATACACGTATTAAGTAAATCAACGCATAAACATTAAGTTAACCAAAAAATACCATAGACAATATTAAAAACGCAGATTTGTCGCTTTTTTGTACAGATATATAACAATTCCAAAAAGTTATTTTGATTCATTCATTTACCAGGATTAACATATTTTTAAAACATCAACTGAAGCACGAGTCAATGGTTTTCTTGGAAAACTTCTAGAAAGAACCACGATATAATGCATTAAAAAAGTAACAGTATATAATTTAAAAAACCGAAACACTTTTTTTAAAACCAAATAAAAACATCGTCTTTCGTTTTTTATGATTTATAGTAAATAGCTTGTGAATTAATAGAAATTATAAAACCTGAAGCCCAGTATGTTGGCTGGGTTATTGGAGTCCCATCTATCCATGTCCAAAGTCCAGAGGAGGACTTATTATCTCCAATATAATAGGGGCCGTCACTTTCTTTAGGGGTACCTAAAATTAAAGATCACTTCAAAATATTTCTGGCTCTACTTCGAAGAACTCGATTGAATATTGAATGTCCTCATCTCATATTATTGTTGTTTTTTTTTTATTTTACTCACTGGAAATACAGTTTTCTTCGATTCTTGACTGAACTGTAGCTAAGGTTCCATTGGCCATTTCACATCGCCTAGCTGCCTCATACCAATTAACTTTCTGTTCTTCAAACATATAAGCAACGTCATTTTCTGAACACGTTTCCCATGAGCAGAAGACATCAGAGATGGAAAATATACCTGTAAATAAATTACAGAAAGAAAATCACAGGAGAGAGAGAGAGAGAGAGAGAGAGAGAGAGAGAGAGAGAGAGAGAGAGAGAGAGAGAGAGAGAGATCTAATAAAGGAGAATACAAACCAATCAAAATAAAATACATCATATGTTAGTTTTTCATCATGATCCTTAGAAATAACATTTTCCTGGCATTCGATGCAATGAATGAATAATTTACTACGTAGAAATAAATTATATTTACTTGCATTAACATTTTATCAAACATTGGGCTTTCTTTTCTTCCGCATTTTTATTAAATCATTGTTTATCAAGCTGTTAAATGATAATAAATTTGCAGTGACACAACTTTTAAAAGCTATTCTCGTAACCACTCAAACTTCGTTGCCACGCAGGGTCATTGATTAGATGAAGCTTTATTCAGTCTTGGAACTTGAAATAAAATGTTGTTGCTATGTATCTTGGTTGTCATGGTAACAACTGGAAAAAATTGAAAAATTGAGTTTTCCAGTTTTTTAAAATATCTATTGAGCCTTGATAAAAAACTATGAAAAGCCTACAAACCATTATAACAAACACATGACACCTTGTTGCCATTTATCCTGTAAAGAAATTGTTTAGAATATATCTCAAAGTATGTGGTAACCAAGGGTAACCAGGTAACCAAGGTTGCATTTGGAATACATTTAAAATGCTGAATTTTGCTAAAAAATGCTCATTTTTTACTAGGTAATACTTCATTAATCTCGACCAACAAGTTAAGGTTTTTGTTTGTTTAATTGTTGTTTAACGTTTCTCTCTCTCTCTCTCTCTCTCTCTCTCTCGAATTTTTTACTCATATGGAAACACCACCGCTTGCCGATGAGGAACAACAAATTTTGTCCTTTTCTCCTCAGTCAGAGCCATTGAGCAAGGGGGGACCTTTTCCATGCCAACATACACTGCGACACGATACCTCGGTTTATGCCGAATCATCCGAAAGACCGGTCTCCACGTCCCACAGTGGGATTCGAACGTGCAACGTAAGATTAACTCCTTACTTTGCTACTCTAGAGCCACGCGGGCGACAAAAAACTTTTGAAAAACAATGAATATGTTTGTCTATAATGTTTAGGTATAAGCAATATCACTCTTTAAAAACTATCTTTTTTTTTTGCTATGTTAACAACGTGTTACCAAGCAAAATTAGTAACAAAGATTGGGTTAATGCTAATGTCTTGAGGAAAATCGAGAAAAATTGTAGATTGACAAATATGCATCTTTTCGACCTACCAACATCATAAGAAAACTTAAGAATAATTGATACTTTGCGATATAACAAAGAACACAACGTACAAGTGGTTAAAGTGAAAATGTTTGGCTACTTTAATTAAGAATTGATTTGCCATTAAATCAAGAATCATACATGACACATTAGATAGAGATTATCTGGTAGAACTAAAGTTGAATATTGTTTATAGATAAAATTTGATGAAGAAAACCCACACTGTTGTTATAGTTACCAGGAAGTGAAAATGTTCGATTTTGAAAACTTTATATCAATATTAAACCCTATGTGCCGGTGTAACGTCGAATTTTGACCCGGGTTGAAAATTGACCCCGGGTCATTTTTCAACGTTGAATAATGAGGCCAAAGGTGTTGAATTTAGACCCTAGTCCGTTGAAAACTGAGCCGGGTCGTGGAATTTTGATCATGAAACCGGTTCAAAATTCAACAGCTTAAAAACACATATTTATGACATTGTTTTCACAACTGTGATTTAATTCATAGGCGTTGGTACAGGGGAGGGAAGTTTTCTTTAGGCTTTTTCAAGTGTAGTAAAACCAGATATTGGATCCCCCCCCCCCCCCTGGGATTTTCGGTTTTGGACTACTAGATTGGACAATGGAATTTTTTTCTTGTCAATATTTTTTAGATATGAATTTTTCTTTCTTTTTCAATTAGCCCCCCCCCCCCCCGGCCCCGCACTTTCAATTGGCTTCCGACACCAACGTAATCAATGCACACTTAATTCTGTAATTCAGTTATATTCTTAGAATGAAATATTTTGAAAAATATCTTAGATTTCAAAGTTACGTGTAGTTTAATATTGCAATATTTCGTGTAATATTTATTTAAAAAGAAGTATACATTTGACATTTGTATATGTAAATCCTGAATATTAGTAAACATAGTTAAACACATTATACAATTTAGTTCATAAATTTGTTTATTTATACTATTTTTTTGCTAACAACACTTTATTTTAGTTTTAAAATTCCTAATATTAGTCCAAGGGGCATAACTCTGTGCATCGTACCCAAAACAGAACTTGTCATACTAAATTTGATTTCAATGTGCATGTGCAAATACTAGTCCAAGGGGCATTTGTCAAAAATTGCGATCGTACCCAAAACAGAACTTGACCTAGATATTAAAGTGATATATCTGTATACTAAATTTGATTTCAGTTGGAAATGGTGAGAGTTTAACGCATGATGCACGTGCTTATTTAGTTATGCACAACATTAATAACTTATAATGTCCAACTTGAAAAACGGATTTTTTTATATATACTATTATAGTAAAGAGATACTGATACATCCCTTAAAACAACTTCCAAGTTCAAAAAATGTTCAAACTCTTATAGATTGGGTCAATATTCAACAGGGTCTATTTTCAACTCGTTGAAGTCATCGGGGATAAGAAAAAAATATCAAACTGTTGAAAACTGACTCCGGGTATAAATTCAACGACTTTTGGTCTCAATTTTCAACGTTGAAAAAACACCCCTGGTTCAATATTCAACGTTGAAAAATGAACCCCAGGTCAATTTTCAACTGGGGTCAATATTCAACGTTACACCGGCTCCTTGCATTCAGATAGAGATTGGATGATAGTCAAAATTAAAAGTCATGTAAGTTATTCATGAAAATGAAAAAAAGAAGAGTTTTGGTTATCTGCATTGAAGGGTCATATATTTAAGAAATCAAAATATATTTCAAATTTTTAAGCATATATTTTCTGCTTATGTCTATAACAACGTTCTATTTAAAGAATTTGATTTGATTTTTTTTAAATGGGAAAATTAGGACCATACCAGCACCTTTAAAATTTGATCATCAGTTATTTAGAGATGTACCTTTTGAAATGATATGATCAAATTTAAACGTACATGGTATATAATCTTTGGCAACAATTGCCAAGCAATAAGAAAGGTAATTTGTCATAGGCTTACGTTTCAAAACTCTTGTATCTATTATTTGGTCACATTTCATGCTATAATTTTTTTATGTGTATGACTTTATAAATTTCAATGAATATTTTTTTCTCACTTTCTTACTTTGTTTCCATAGTAACGTATGTAATAGTTGATTCACCAAACACGTTTATTATGCATTTAAAGTATCAATCCTTCAACCTTTTGAAACAGTCATAGCGAATTGTTTGCTTTGCCGCAAATTTTAACTATGCAGCTATAAACAAAAAAGATGCCATTTTTCAAGCTTCCAGACATGTTGCCATGGTAATCACAATACATAGCAACCAATTTTGCTTGATGTAAGTTAAGGGTATCACAGACTTTCATCATAGAGAGCCTATAAAAAATTCAAGTCATTACAGAGAATGGCTCTTTAAACTTACTCACGCTTTTCTTCATTTGATCGGTATCAATTTTAAAACTTAAGATCAGTTGTTCTGTTAACAAAAATTCATTTAGCATAGCTCATTGAATTTTGCTTGGAAATTTAAAAAAAAATGTGATTTTTGAATAAAGTGTCTTTTAGGGAGTGTAGTTTTTGTTTTAGTGTAATGGGCATGCTTAAAACAAATGTAAAAAAAATATTTTACCACCTATGCAATTATTACATATAAGAAAAGAGCTTTTACCTGCGTTTTACAAAGCATCCATTGAAGGGAAAACATGTTAAATTTATAGGAAATGTTGAAAAGGTGAGAAAAAATCAATAAATAATATTAAGGTTTGCGTTTGCTTTAATCAAACTTTGTATTGTTTTTATTAGCTGAGCTAGGCCGAATGCTCAAGTGAGCTTTTGTGATCAAACTTTATCCGTTGTCTGTCGTTGATGTCGGCGTCGTTGTCGCTGTCGTGAACTTTTCACATTTTCATCTTCTTCTCACGAACCACTAAGCCAGTTTCGATCAAACTTGGAAAAAGGGAATTCAAATTTGTTCAAATGAAGTTTCATACCCTCTTTTAAAGGGGGATAATTATGAATTAGTGAAAAATGTATTGCATCTTTTAAAAATCTTCTCAAGAACCACTGGGCCAGGAATAATGAAAACCATGTGGAAGTATCGTCGGGTAGTGTAAATTCAAGTCCGTTCAAATCATGACCCCAGGGATAGGGTGTGGCCATGAATGGGGATAAAAGTTTAATATAGTAATACATAGGGAAAATCTTTAAAATTCTTCTTCTCAAGAATCACTGGGCCAGGAATGATAAAAATCACGTGGAAGAATTATCAGGTAGTGTAGACTCAAGTAAGTTCAATTCATGACCCCCAGCTGTAGGGTGTGGCCATGATTGGGGGTCAAAGTTCAGCATAGTCATACATAGGGAAAACTTTAAAGATCTTCTAATCAAGAACCAATGCAAATAATGCCCAACCAGGAGAATATAGAGGAGCAATAAAAGTTGAATATAGTGATACAAAGAAATATTAAGGCTATATCAATAAAATTTTTCATCTTATAAACAGCAAAGCCATTATGTATCATATTTATTCAAATATCCGTAGGACGTGTAGATTTAACTTTGTTAAAGACCCCCCTCTCCTGAACCCACTTTTATATTTCAACTTTTCAATACTGCACTGATTTTTACTTTTACCTAGCCAGTTGCTCAGGTGAGCGATCTGGCCCCTGGGTTTTTTGTTTACATTTGAGAAGGATATGGAGATAAAGAACAGTATTCAATATGAAAGTCTATAAAACAATACAAAATAGGAACAGAGCAAACACGGACCTCCGAAACATCAGAGGTGAGATCAGGTGCCATGGAGGAGTGAGCATCCCCTGTTGACCGGTCACACCCGCCGTGTCCTACTTGTCATAATCGGGAAATAACGGAAAAAATCCGTCGTCAATTCAGTGTATAAATAATGGACTAACAATTTGTATGAAAAACGTCTGTCAGCATTTGACTCAATGATAAATTGGATTTGCTGACAAGGTCATTGTATCGACCATAGAACTTACGAAATGATGACTTTAAACAAGACTGCTGATAATCTTGTTTCGTCAACTTGCATTGCTTCTCAATAATTTACCTCTTTTTAGAAACTGTTCATACTTAGAGCATGCTCTTCGGTATCGAATCAAGTGAGATAAATATACACTCCGTATGCAGGTGAGGAATGTATATTGCTGCATAAGGGAAGTTGACGATAGAAAAAGTGAAAGTCATCACGTTTGTCATATAGCTTGGTTGAGCTTAGTTTCTGTTCATTATCTAATTATTCGGTTTACACATATGTCTTTGTTTGTAAAGCGCTTTGAGTAGCAATTATGCTCGAAAAGCGTTATATAAAAACAATCATTATTATTATGATATTATTATTATTATATGTACCATATAATCATCAGTAACATTTTTAAACAAGCTGCATGCATCTGAAAGTTGTTATTACACTCTCTTAAGATGACAATTAGCATTTTTATCAATAAGTTAAGTTTTAATTATATGATCGATTTATGTATATAAAATGGAAAAATTAGTTTAATTAAATTAAAGATGAAGGTTCTGGAGATAACAAACAGTATTCAATATCAAAGTCCATAAAACAATACAAAATAGGACAGAGCAAACACGGGGCTCCAAAACGTCAGAGGTAGAATCATAAGCCATGGAGGAGTGAGCATTCCCTGCCGACCGGTCGCACCTGCTGTGTGCTCCTTGTCATGGTTGATTGGGAAATAACGGAAAAATCCGTTATCAATTTAGTGTATAAATAATGGTCTAAAAATTAGTATGAAAAACGTTAGTCAGCATTTGAATCGATGATAATTGCTGACAAGTCCATTGTATCGACCACAGAACTTACAAAATGATGACTGTAAACGAGAGTGCTGAAATTCTAGTTTCATCAGCTTATTTGTCAATAATGAATCTCGTTTTAAAGTGGGCAAGAATGCCTATTCCTTCAAAGCACATGACCCAGCCTTTGTTGATTCCACGTGACTATATCTTCGTGAGATAGATAACATACAAACAACAAAAGTGTAGCATTAAACTTTATTAATATGAACTAAGCGGGAAAATGCGGAAATTGAATTCAAAAATGTATTTAAAGTAACAGCTGCATTACATAATCATAAGAGCATTATTGTGATAACAATATTTTTCACTTGAATGCATTGATACATAAAGTACTGATCTTGAGCTAGTATTCTGGAGAAGCTGACCTTTTAGCTTTTAATAGCACAGTCAAAACAAATGCAAAATCAAATGTTTAATATCAAACAAGGAATACGTATTTATCAATTATTGCCGAATCCTATTAATATATGTACAATGTGTAGAATATGAAAATAATTCATTTAAATAAATGTGAAATCTGAAACAGAAATGTACTATTATGTCTGACCATTACGTGATGAAACAAGCATATAAAAGAAATGATAATTTAATGATAAATCAATTATATTAGGCACTTTCAATAATATCCAAAGTTCTCAGAACATGTCTTGATTGTTCGTCAGGGATCTTCAAAAAACTGTAGTGACACTTTTTCTTCTTGTGTACGAAACTCCCTGAAGTTTTATTTTTTCAAAGAAGTTTTAGTTATGAAATGATTTTTTTTTAAAAATGAGTATCTTGAATACAACCAGATTAAACCATATAACATTATACAAAATTTCTTTTATTTCTTTCTCATTTCTAACTTGAAGTAAAAGTTTTGGAAACAATGAAATTTAATGCTTAAAAATTAGTGATTTTCATTTTGATTGAATTTTATATTTATGTAAATTGTTAGGAGATGCTTCCTCCTCCATGGCACCTGATCTTACATCTGTTATTTTCTATGTTATTTTCCATTCCATTAATTGTTTCAATACACTTTCGAGATTAATTACTGTAACAGTTGGTTATTCGTATATGCCATTAAAACAGAATAAAATACCTGAATGAGATCCTCTTCTTTTTGTTTAATGAATGATTCTCCTCCAACAGTTTGAATCTTTAATATCGCAGAGAAAAACATTATAAGTCCAGTTTACTTTCTTATTTTAGGCATTTTCTCACGATTTTATCCCTACTACATGTTAATGTTTGTTTTTTTTGGTCTCACAATGTAAATGTTTGCACAATTGATCTTAAGGATAAATAATAATGCATTGCAATATTTTTTCTTATATCTGAATGTAAATAAATTTTTGAAATACTTTTGTTTGCCAATTACGTTGTTGTTTCACATAAAATTTAATTAAAAAGGAGCATTTGATATGAATGAAAAAATAAATGTAAATCACATTTTTACTTCTTAATATACACAAAAACTAACCCTACACGCTGATGAAAACTCCTTCGTGTTCAGAGTCATCGTATTGCTGCTCAATAGTGAATAAAACCTGCTTCTCCAGCTTTCTGAACCTTCTATGTGTATGCGTTCGCTTAGCAACTCTCTGATCTGTAGAATTATATGGTATATTTTTAAATCTTTCGTATTAATAAAGTAGAACATAAACTGGTTCAAGTAATTGTCTTTGTTTTACAAAAATATCTAAGTCCTGGAGATGCTTTTAAATTAATTTTTGACATTGAAATTAAAAGATAACTTCGAAGAAAAACATTAAATTCTGAATTTTATGCAGTTTTTACCTTTTTGTTCAGAAGACATTTGGAGATGAAAATAAAAAGCCCCTGAAGAGGAGATTACATAATCAAGTTATTATTTCTTACATAATCTTTGATTGGTTGATAAATGTATTGAAGAAGGATTGAAACAAAAAAAATATATACTGAATACCTGAAAGGAGTTTAACAAGGAGAAAATATACTGAAAGACGATCACATCATCATTAATGGACAAGAGACCAAATAACCACGTGACACACAGAATAGGTAACAGGGTACAGATAGCTTTATTCCAGCTCTGAAACCATTCCAGTAATTTACATGACATTTTATTTATCATAAAAAAATATCTACATTAGAAAAAAATTCCCGGAAATATACCATATTCTATTTGAAAGCATTATTCTTACCTTGATATATATGCAAATAATATTAAAATTGATTATTTAAAAGCTATATTTTCAGCAAATCCTGGATTTGTATTCATTCTGACTTACATTGTCCTTTTCTTCAGTTCTTCTTCTGAGGAAATTGTCGAACATAGAGTCACAACGAGACTCAATACAATTATGACATTGACCTAAAATTAAAATTGATAAATAGTATGTCATAGCAATTGGCTATGTTTTGCTTCAATACAAAATATGTACAAGATTTCACTTACAATATCATCATAAAATAAAACTATCTTAATTGATAGAGCCGGAATCAATGACGTAATCAAATCATGTAAAATGACAACTTCCTACCAAAATAATGGCAGCTACGGGTCCAATAAATCCATACAAAGCTCCACTTTCAAATGATAACCAGCAACTATAAAATAATAATATTAAACGATTTTTCCAGATTATAAAGCTTTATTTTGTGTGTGAATATCAAAAACAAAGTGTTGAAATAGAGATTGATTACCTGGTTTGTGAATGATAGTCCTTGTCCGAGGAATATACGATTCCGAAAGTTTCTGCGGTTATGCTAAGTGGTATGACTAAAAAATATTTACGATTATTTTTATTCACAATCTATACGACTTGTCACAATTATTGTTATCCATTCTATTTTCATTATGGCAGACACCTAATGTTATACTCACCCGTGACAACTACCCACGTTACTTTACCGAATGTACCGGCATGACTCTGAAGTGTTGTTGCTTTAGACAGTGATAATTTGACGAGAGAGATACTGCTGAAATAGTGACACCCAAGGGCCAGCATTAGAAAGAAAATGAACAGGAAAAGATAGTGTAGCAGTGCTGTGATGACAGTGCATCCGACCTGAAATATATAAAAGAGATCAAATTTTAATCCATTATGGACATGTGCCTCTTTGAACGAAGAATAGAGATAACAAACAATAACCAAGCTCGAAAGTCTTTGAAAACAACAGAGCAAACACGGTCCTGTAAATAAATTCTTTCATAGAAAATTAACCGAATTTATCAAATCCTTACTTCATTCTGTATTTTATCAACTCCAATTAGAAATAATGTATAGGCCATGGAGAGACCAAAGCAGAGTAACACCGTGATCTTATTTATTATTTGGTTGACGTTGACAGTAATAGATCTGTAAAGAAAGAATGCACGTTATGTTTTCCTGTGATATAACCTTATTAACCATATCATTTATAACATAAATAGTTGTCCATGTGGCACAGGAGTAGAACGTCTGTTCTAGAGTCAGGTGTTGATCCTTGCTTCGCGGTTCTAATCCCACTGTAGACCGCTTTAGACCGGTGTTTCGGTTGAAACCATATAATGCGAGTTCCCCTGTCACAGTAGAAGCTTGCAAGAGAAACATTCCTAACTGCTAAATGGTCCTTAGTGCCACGTATAAGTATATTTCAGCCGGATTTTAAACAATTAACGAATAAAAAAATTGTAAAAATAACTAGTGATTGCAGATTGTTTATTAATTCACTCACTTCCAGAAAAAGATGTAAATAATGGCCGTCAGCAAAGAAAGAAAGACCGATATTGAGCAACCAATTATGGAAATCCAATTCAATGCATCCTCTTCGTCTTTTATCTGTGAAGATGAAAGAGCTATCTCAATGATTAACCACAGATATGCAATAATGTACTAGATATTCTGTAATAGTTAGACAATGGATAATAGTTATTGTCCGTAAAATCGCCATATTAATATAAATCAAAAGACATTTGAATGATTACCCTTGAATATGGTCGAACCAGTACTGCAAAATTTGTCAGATGGTTGCATTCACAGTGAAGATAAAGGTCATCTGTAGATAGTAATTTACATCCTCGTGTTGACCACCTACCAGTTCCGTTACTGTAATAAATATTTATTATACCTCATTATAATTATTCTACACAACGCCTTATCTAATTGGTTCTAGATTATCACGTGCTCGGGTCAAAAAACTTCGTATTTCACTGTCGCCGGCATGCTTTTCATCGATTCCACCTCTTTGGATATCTGCAATAGCCATTGCATGGGCAGCGGAAAGGGCAAAAATTACCATTATGAGAAAACAAACAATTATTTTAATTTCAATGACCATAAAAACTTAACAAATGATATAAAATGCATAATCAACAGACCTTTTCGCAGAACAAATATACATTAAAGCAAAACCAGCAACCACGTTCGTAACAAACAATTATGAATGCAAAACAAACGTACATAAAACTCAACAAGCGAAAAAAACTTAACAAACGTGCACGCGGTAAATCTAGTCTTCCCGACACCCGGCTCCCGACGGTCCCGGATGTTTTTTTTGGGTTTTTTTTTTTTGTCGGTGCACAGAAACCCTTCACACTCCTCGGGCACATTTTCTATTTAAATGAATTCAATGATATGTTAAAACTTTTATTAATGAATATCAGCAGTATCACCTGCCAAAAAGCGTTAAATGTAGTACTCCGTTATAAATACGAAAACCAAAAAACGGACACAGATTTGAAGTTAATATATTCTGTATAATATTACGACTTATATATTTTAATAGCATTTCACACAAAAATATATTAAAAATCTTATTTCATCTAAAAGTTATTAAAACTTAAAACTTCAAATTTTGAGACATGTATTAAAATATTGATATTGAGAAGATATTTCTTCTAAAAAAGATGGAATTAGTATTTCAGTAGAAATTGGTGGTATTAATAAAAAAAAAAGAACATTTGAATTCTATAAAAATTCATATCATCAAAATGATTTGATTTCTAAAAAGATTTTAATCAAAATTTTCATAAAAATAGCGTAAATCTAACATTGTACTTATGGTAAAACCATGGAAAATGAAAGTATTGCTTGTTATACATTGACGTAGTATCGTTTTTGAAAGGAGGGGGTCAACCAGAGAAAAAAAATTCAATCTAGCTAAAAAAAAAAGATTTTAAAAACTTGACAAGCTAAAACAAAAAGGAAACTAAAATGATATACATGTAGCCCTAACTCGAAAATCCTATTTCGTGTGTGTGAGTGAGGGTGTATGTGGGGGGGGGGGGGGTGTTAGGTTCAACTTCTTTCAGTACCATTTTTTTCCTAAAATACATGCACTACATAACCCCTTTTTGACCTTACTCTTAAATTTGGGAAATGTTGCTGTGTGCTTGTCATATGATATGTCACTGTAATTAAAAGATATCATAAAAGATTCTTGTAATATTTAAAGAATTGGGGAAACCAATTTATGTAACAACAACGGGGAAAAAATGACTAAACGGCCTTCAGGAGAATGAGATATATGTATCTTTTATCTTATGGAAATTCTTTTCTTTCATTTGAAATTTTTAAGATAAATTAACCAAAAGAAAAGGAAAAATTTACAGGGGCATCCGAGTTAGAACCACGTCCATGTTGTAGAGCCTGGGAACATAAACATGATGTGGCAAAGAGTTCTATTCGAAAAAAAAAATATGTGGGGAATTTTTGTGCATACAAATTATCTGGCATATAAATGAGGGTTATCGTTTATTTTAAAAAATATACCACAGTTTGGTGTTTTTGCGATTCTACGAAAACATAGGTATCCTTGTTTTCAGTGGTTTTCGCATTTATAGCTGAGTACTAGATTTACCGCTTTTTGGCAGATGATACTGCTGATTCAGTAATAAATACGCAAATTTGTTAAATTTTTTTTTATATTAAAATATATTATTTGAACCCAGAAAAGTGCCTGAGGAGTGTGAAGAGTTTCTGTGCACCGACAAAAAAGAAATCGAAAAAAAAATCCGGGACCGTCGGGAGCCGGATGTGGGGAAGACTAGATTTACCGCGTGCACGTTTGTTAAATTTTTTTCGTTTGTCATCTTTTTATGTACGTTTGTTCTGCAAAGATGTTCGTTGGTTTTGCATTCATATATGTTTGTTACGTACGTGGTCGTTGGTTTTGCTTTAATGTATATTTGTTCTGCGAAAAGGTCTGTTGATTATGCATAGTATATCATTTGTTAAGTTTTATGGTCATTGAAATTAGAATAATTGTTTGTTTTCTCATTGTGGTAATTTTTGCCCTTTCCGCTGCCCATACCATTGCAATAGCCTCCCGAGAGTAGTAGACGTCACGATAGCTAGTTTACGTCACAAAATTGATGATTAGTAAGATGTTGTGTCAAAGGGTTTCAGTAATTTTACGTTTAAAATGAAAGTGAAATTCGAGAGCAGTGCCGAATTTGAAAGTTCATGTTTGTTTCAAAATTTTTCCTTGTAGTGGTATAATAAACAATTCACTGCATGAATGTTCGGGAAACATGAAGATATGTTCAGCCAAGAAATATATTCCCCTCGGGATTATTCTTGGCTGACTATAACTTCATATTTCTCTCCCTATTATGCTATAAATGTATATATTATTATATAGCCAATAAATGGTCTCTAATAACATACTACCAAAAAATCTAGAGAATTTAAGCTTCCAATATCTTGTCGTTTTATTGAACGATGAGTTTGTATTACGCATACGAGATGCCCAAAACATTCCGAATACCAACGTTCAATATCGAACGCCCCTTTGTAAACAAAATATCGTCTGATCAAATTCTCAGAGCTAAATTAAAGAAAGGAAGTGGATTTTAGGTAAGATATGTCTATCTTTTACATAAAAATGAAATTATTAATAAAAAAAAATTAAGTACGTTTAAGCTCCACTTAAACCTAGATAAGCAAACCATAACGCTTGAACACTTACAAGACAGGCGTGAATTTAAATACGGATACAACAAAAGCATGAATTTGATTTTTTTTTGTTAGAATAATCATTATAAATTATGAGGAAATGTTTGAGTTATATAAAAAGGAGTGATTGAACTTGTTTGGTGAAAATTGGCACTCGCAAGCTCAAGCATTTGTACAACCAACTCGTGCCAATAATAACCAATATTTCAAGTTCAATAACCCTATAATATTACCAGAAGTATGATGAAATAATTACGTATATATGCTGGTTATATGAAAGATAAAGAAACAAATCATTGATCAGTACTTACTTGTGTTTAAAATCCCAAAATACACATTTGCTGAGGGAATTTTGAGAATCCTAATTCAGGAAGTGAAAAGAGCAGAAAAGTGCAATTAATTCTTATTTTAAAATAGGATTTATATTTTCATTTAGAATGTTCACAAATAATATCAGTGAAAGTTACTACCTGTTTTAAGAACTTCAAATGAATTGATGGGTCCAATGTTCCTCCAAATAAAGGCTCTTTAAGTGTTAATGACATAATATCAGAATAAATATCGTATCCGGAATTCTCTTTCACTCTGAAATGAGAATAAATGTATCCAGAATTCTCTTTCACTCAAAAAAAGATTTGTCTTATTGGTGAGAATGTTGGTTATAATTAAGCATACATATTTCGATTTATCTAGAGCCTCTTACCTTTTGTTGTTATTTAAATTTTTCGCTAGTGTTGTGTACTTCACTGCAAGGCAGGGAATACCTAGTTTTGATTATTTAAAAAAATTGAAATTTTTTGCTTTCATGACATATTGAATGGAATAAAAGGCCAGATAAAGGAACTGTTATTACTTTGATTTAAACCATTAGCTTGTACTGGAAACACTAGCGATGAAATTGAGATGCTATTGTTTTCCGGGAAAATTATGGGCTGATCTGCCGGAATCTTTGCAAGTGTGAAAACTATGAAAATGAAATAAATAACGATTAATACATTTTTGTAAAAAAAAATCTTCATCAATAAGATTAAAGTGGAAAACCAATCAAAAAAAATGTAGCTGACTACACTTTATCAAGTATTTAGTCACCTTACCAATATTTTTTGTTGAGTTAAATGTGATGCTTTCGTTCTCGCTGACCGTCTCTAAGAGATTCAATCCTATTTTGTCCACGGTCTTAAAGATTTTATTGACTCTTGCACTGGCCTGGATAAATATAATACGAGTAATGTTAAACCTCATTAAACATAATATTGCTTAATTAATTATCACAATGATAATTACCTCCTTTGTAGAAGTGTTATTCCAAGCAGCAGTGTGATTTTCTCCCAGTATATTGTCAATTGTTGTCACAATCATCTGTATGACAGAATGAAAATTTCTTGTTTAACTGAGTGATGAAATTATAAAAACCTAATAAGTATTATTCGTTTTATATTATGAAATTTATCGAATTACATTTAAAATAATATTCATGAATATAGCATACCGACTTTGGAAGAGGAACGTTAGACCTATTGGAAACATCAACGATTTTATTCAGCAAATCTATTGAATTATCTAAGTCTTCGGGAGTTTGTTCGTTGTCTGTTGAAAGTGTCTGTAAGTTTAGAAGCAGACGATCTATCGTAAGCTTTATTTCTTTCTTTGACAAATTTCCTTGGAGAGCAGAATCAATCTAGAGAAGAATTATATAAAAAATGCATGAACTGCCTTAAAAGTTTTTTATTCAGGTTATTATTAAGTGTACAAAAATTATTTAATTTACTCGCTGGTTATAAAGAGACACTTCACTGATGCTTAGGATACATTATTTCATACCATGTCTTTGGTGTTTTCAATTCTCGACACACAATCCACGTTTGGCAAGTCTTCACAAAATGGAATTTTTGGGGCTAGAAAAGAGAACATAATTTAAAAATCAGCATATTTTTAGAAGAGCTTTTCATTTTCATTCAAAAATGTACTTTTACATATTTGTTTAACATTATTGACACAGAGTCCATTTGTAGGTTTATGTGTGGCTTGCTCTTACAATAGGGTAAAAAAATATCATCATTTAAAAAATCAGCTTACTTTAAAAAGAGGTCTCCTTTTAATTCAATCATACACATATACATAACTATTGTTCCATTTTTTAAACAAAATATTTAGAAAAGAATTTACATCTGATATCTCTCTTTTGACATTTATACCGAAAAAATAGCACGGCAAAAGGAAAAATGTATTTTTTGTATCGAAAGTTGTAGCTGAAGTTGTAGACTGCTCGTTTGTGGCTGTTAACAAAGTGACTTATTGCATTTTAATTGTTTTTTTTAAACTAAAAACAAATCTCAATTTTCATGTCAATTAAAATTTAAAATAACCAAATAACAATTTCAAATTGATTGTCTCAACTTAAAGACAAAGTCATGTCAATTGTCTTAACACTTTTTAACTAATTAACAACCAAAGCATAATTTTATGTCAATGTCAATTGATGACAACAAACAAAACAAAACAAAAATCCTAGCGCTTTCAAACCTTATACTTTACGCAATGTAAAGAGGTGTAAAAAGAATAATCTTCGAATAATTTAACTTAAAATTATAACATAAAGGATTTGTCAATGAATAAGATTTGACGGATGGATATATTATTATTTAAATTGAAAGTGGTATTTCGTAACACTTATAATATGAGGTCCAGTTAGACATCCTTATCATCGTGTTTTATGGACGACGCTTCGTACAATGTTGTTTGATCTCGGATTATCACTAAATTTGATTCTGTGGTGAAAGTAATAACTGAAAACAAAACATGAAATACACACGGAAAATTAAGTAGAGGCGGAAAAATTTATCAATACAGTTAAAAAATGGTTGTCCTTTATATTTTTTCCATTCATCTGAATAGCCTTTATTTAAGGTAGTCCGCGCCTCTGGTTCTGAAAATCAGGCATTGCGTGATTGAAAATGCATACTGAGATGATAAAGTCTAAAAGTTTTTTATATTCACCCATTGTATTTCTTAAAATTACATCTTTAAAGTTACTCATGAAACATGTATATAACGAACAGTATACAAGCTCAAAATCTATCAAACAATACAACTTTGGAACAGAATACGAACTTCCAAAACATCAGAAGTTGGATCAGGTGCCATGCATATGGAGGAGTGAGCATCCTCTGCCGACCGGTCACACCTACCGTGTGCACCTTGTCATCTTCGTAAATAACGGAAAATTTGTAAAAAATCCGTGTGTAAAAAATCATCAAACAATTTTTATGAAAAATGTCAGTTATCACTCAACTTAATGATAAATTGCATTTGCTTACAATGTCATTGTACATGTATAAATGTAGGATCGAAAATAAAACATACAAAATGATTACTTTAAACAGGACTCTGTGATATTTTTGCTCTGTCAACTTAAGGATTCCTGTCAATAACCAATCTCGTTTGAGAATTTATTCTTTCGTAGAGCATGCTTTTGCTTTTCGAATCAGTTGAGAGATATAAATAGTAGGTGATCATGATTAGGGTGTATTCCTGCATAAGTAATGGAAGATAATGAATGAGAAGTCATTACGTTTTTCATAATGCTTAGTTGCTTGGAAATCATCATAAATCACTTCTAATTTCATATCATGATACATGTAATGTGATTTGGTAATTAAGGCTAGATTGATTAATCTATTGATTATGTTGTTAAACGTCCCAAATCTAGAATGTCTCACTCATATAGAGACGTCATCGTATGCCGGTGAAGGACTTTAAATTTATACTATACCCGGCACTCAGGAACATTGAGCAGTAAAGACCGTGACTTTCACTTCTATCCTTCCTGGCTGAGGATCGGATACCCTTAATTTGAACCATAAATTAATGTTTTACCTGTGTGTTATGAGTTTCTACAGGGAACTTCTGTGCATATGTGAACTTATCTATTAAACTTTATCGATTGAAATTTATGTCTTAATTCGTTAAAGCGCTTAAATCAAGATTTGCCTATATGGGACTGAACCAGAAGTTCAAAATGTATTGATTTAATACAATAACTCAAAATCGATCTCTATAATTTTTAAGGCGTATGTATTTGACAAAAACATTTATGTATATGATTGATTGATCATATGTTGTTTAACGTCCCCTCAAGAATTTTTCACTCATATTGAGAAGCTACAACTGGCCATTGGATTGTTGCAAATTGTTGTCTTAAATTCGTCGCTTACCGCCATTGAGCAGTGAAGGGGGTCATTTTTGTGCCAACACCCACTGCGACAGGGGACCCTGGTTTATACAGTCTCATTCGATTGACAGGTCTCCAAGTCCTACAGTGTGCATGATATGATAAAATATAATTTTGCTTTCTTTCTGTAATCATGATTCTTATTAAATCGCGCTCAGCTGTAGACACCTCAAAATCTTCTTTCTTATTAGGGTTATCATAAAGTTTGGTTTTTAGATATCTGATATACAAAATTCAAGTGTTCTGTATTTAACTCAGCTATATTTTTAATAAGTGTGATTTTTTCATCTATCTCAATGTTTATCTATTTACTATAATGTAAGATAATTTTGAAAAGAAAAAGGTTTTTTATCATTACTTCAAAAGAGTTTTAATTTTATTCGTAGAATTCTTCTATATAACTTTTGAGAAAAGAAGAAACAACCCTTTCGTTTACTACAAGAAAATCGTGATCACTGTACTCACCTTGGCAAACAAAACCACCAAGCACACTACAAGGTACGTCGTTCCAAAAATAAATTCCATTAAACAACCGGAAGTGTAAGCAATTTTCATTTCCATCAACATTATTGGGTTCACCTGTAAAAGACATGATTATTTTTATCATGTGATAACCGTGGAAAACAAAAATGCAGAGCAGCGGAAGACCTCTTTGTTATTCTCAGGTTTCTTTTTCACTATATTTCTTATTAATTATTTTTTCTTACCGATTTTGTGCACGCAGATTTGGAGATTTCCGCAATTTTTTTTCATTTAAAGAGGGTCACTTTGTCCGGCAAGGTTCTCAAAAATCATTGATTATAGTAGTATGACATTTTCAGTGATGATAAAGCAGCCTATTTATAATTAGAATTGAATTGTGTATATCATTGCCACCGAAAGTACAAAGAGCAGAGGCTTGCTATGGTCCGAAATTAGTGCTATCGTGAATTTCAAAATTTCTAACACGTTCTTTACGATATCTTTTTACCTAGAAATACTAGTATTTGGTTTAGTCATATAGAACAAAAGATGTGCAGAATTATGAGATCTTTAAATAATGTCTAGAAAAAACGGCTGATCCCTAAAAATAGGGATCAAGTGCGGCCAGAAAGTTTTTTCTTATATCTTTAAAAGTATTGAGCATTTGTAATACATTAAAGAAGCAAAGTTATTTTTAAATGTCAAGTGAAATCTTTTGAGATTGTCAAAATACGTCCTGTGAGATCACTTCTGGTCAAAACGGAAGTAGTCAAAAATTGCGTATTTTTCGTGTTCTTCACACGTTTTTGGGTAATAACTATAACTGGAAGCATAAAACTCAATTTTCCGTCCATCAGCGTCTCTTCCGGTCAAATCGAAAGTGGAAAAAAATAGCTTAATTTTGCAATAATCAATATAGATTTTAAAATTTTAAATCATTGGAGACATTCATACTATTTTTTTTTAAATAAAAGTTACTTTCGGTCAAACAGGTCGGAAAACCTACTCGTTGCCTTGCAACGATCTTTGCTCTAGTTTAATTTTTTTTTAAAAGAATAAAATGTAAAAGTTAAAAGTTGATTGTGTTATTGATTATGTTATTGATGTTTTCTTTACATCCTAATTAGGCACGGGAATGACATACGAAAGTAGTTGTAAAGAAAACAATGTATAAAAAAGAAATTTAATCTCTACATTTATATGCGTGACTATCGATTCTGATTTCTTTTATTAGGCGTAAATGACGTTTTAAAAATTTGAACAACATCATAGAAAAGACTAATATTATAAACTCTACCAGTCGCTACCTTAAAATTAGAACTATTTCCTAAATTTGGTTCTTCATTTAATTTTATTAGAAAAGTACGGCTGTCTTTTATGGCTTTTCAGTTAATCGACTATTTTTAAGTGATTTTATCCATAGAATCAATTCAATCAAATGTATAATTAAATTACAAATGTCTTTCATTTCCATGAAGATCATTTAAATTCATGTAAAACATCCGTTTGATTTCTTGATATTCGGTATTTTAGAAAAGAATTTGCGCATGTAATATGCAACCATTGAGAGCAGACAGCTTAGCTTCATTAAATATCTTATTTCCAATTAAAATTTCTTTTTTTAACTTCTCAGGAATTCATTTAAGAGTGAAAGTCTATCAGTGGCGTAATTAACGTTGCACGCACATAAATACTGACAATACTTTTATGTGTATAGCCTCGGCTTTATCAAAGTTTTTTTTACCCTGTCATCTAGCTATTAAGTCTATCCTCCGATATTTTCTGAAAACAAAATCAAAATGTTTTCTTTACAAAATTTTATTTCATATAAATACGAAAATAAGTTCTTTCATATATTGTATCATATCAACTTGAAGTGGAAAGTTCAGCAGTGATTTTAACGACATTATATCCTCAACAAAGAATTTTAGAACTTATTTTTCATTTTTTAAAACTATTTTTAATCGTACTGTGGACTGTTTATTTTGATTTGACTGGATTAAGATATGTATTTTAAAGTTTTTACAAACATCATGGAGTAATCATCTCAACTTTCGTTGTATTAAATGTTGCGTAAAATAGTAATTATTGCAAATTATTTCCATTATGTGACATGTTCTTGTTAAATAATGTTATTATATAACAGTGTCTGTATTGTACCCAGCTTTATACTAAGCAGCTATACCGTTTATTTTATTGAACTAATTTTATTCCTTTTCCTTTACCTAAGTATTGGTTCAACCAATCCGCAAAGCTCTTATCCATCATGTGATTATTATTGATCCGTTTACCAACAAGAGAAAATAAGATTTATTGAACTGCTGAATTTTTCGAATTTTTTTGCGTAAATCTAAAATATTCATAATTCCTGGATAATCAGAAGAAAAATCGCGACAAATAACTGAGTATTTCAACACTTCGACCATTGAATCACAAAGTCGCACATACATTGCCCTTTAAACAGTACTATTTTTATAGCAAACACACAAAAAGAGTTTTTGAGAACATGTTCCGAAATTAAATTTTTTATATTGCCATGGGAAATAACTCTTGTGTAGAAAAATTTCAGAAAACGTCTCTTTATTTTGTCCGAAATCTACTCAAAAGTATTTTTCTTACTGATTTTAACTTTCAAACAGAAAGATGAAATGTTTCTAGATTTACTTAGGTAAATGTTTTCTAGATTAAGTTAGATGTGAATTATAGTTCTGTTAAATATGTATTAGAAATTACAGTTCTTTTTTTCTGACCTACATTCAATGGTTTATACAGGAAAATTCAAAAACACAAAACAAAACGATAATTAACTAAATAAGTAATTTTTTTAAAAAAAATGTTCGTTTACATTATTCCATTTGGACTACATTAAAATTGTTTTCAATAAATATCAAGTATTCGTGACATTCGAAGTACCACCTATCAATACAATAATAGTGCCTGGTTTTTCGGTAGACTGCCTTTTAATAAACAAAGTAAAGTTATCTATGATCGAATATAAAATATTATATATCTTAAAAAAAATATTTATTATAGAAAATATATGTATTGAACATAAATAAATTCATTATTTTATTAATTTTGGTGAAAAAATATATTGTATTTATCTAAATTTTAACCTGAACTAAAAAAAATTCATAGTATGATTCGAGCACTCGCGACAAATAACTATATCAACACTGCCGCTTTGACCACTGAGCCACAAAGTCGCACATAAATTGCCCTTTAAATGAGAAATAGTTCTATATTTAAAGTACATACATTTTAAGACTTAAGAGTTTTTGAGAATATGTTCAGAAAATTAATGTTTTTATATAGAGTGGGTCTTCGTACCATTTTTTTGAAAATGGTGAGAGATAAATATGTCCACACCTTTCAATTTTTGTTTACAAGTACAAGTATGTATTTACTCTTCTACCTCACTCTGGTAACTAATCTGGAAAATATTGGTTAGATCTAGCATCCGAAATAAATCTGTAAGTGTTATTTTCTAGGTGCATCATCAATGCAAGTTTGTCCAGATGGAATATATAGGTACTTGGTATTAGACATGCTCCTAAAACTTTAAGGAGGCTAGGGATCAACAAATTAACCACCAGATATAACTTACCTCTTTAGACATGGTATCTTTAAATGTCATCTATCCATTGGCAAAGAAAAGTTTTATAAATTTTAGTTTTAAAGTTTGATCATTTCATTATATCTTTATATATATGGAGCTCTTCTTCAAAAGGAGATCAAAATAGTGTAAAAAATGGGCACAACCACCCGTCCCCTTTCACAGGGACTCCGACTCTGATACCGAAACCGAAGCCAACACCGACTCCGGGGGTATAGCTCATGCTCAGAAAAGAAAAAGAAAATTGACAAGTAAGGTTCGCCTGAAATCATATCAATCCTTTATAGATTCGACAGCAAACATTATCAAGAAGGATATGGAGATAACGAACAGTATTCAATCTCAAAGTCCATTAAACAATATACAAAATCAGAGCAGAGCAAACATGGACCTCCGAAACATCAGAGGTGGGATCAGGTGCTATGGAGGAGTGACCATCCCCTTCCGACCGGTCACACCCGCCGTGTGCTCGTTGTCATGAACAGGAAATAACGGAAAAAATCCGTCGTCAATTCAGTGTATAAATAATAATCAGGTAAATAATCATGCTCAGTTTATAAACTCGAATTAAAATTTAAAAAATAAGCATCACCTTTAGACCAATATGTTGGCTGAGTAATCGGGGTGTCATCTATCCATATCCAATTTCTAGAGGGCGATTTTGTACCTCCAATAGAATAGGGACCAACACTTTGTTTTAGCCTCCCTGCAATATAAGAAAACTCTCGGGGATTATAATTGTTTTAACCTCGTCTCCCTCCACTACAAACAATTCTTCTAAAATAGAAATGTTTTCATTATAGGTAGAAGTATTTACTTACTGACTATACAATCCTTATCAGATCTCGACCGAATAATAGCTAAAGATCCACCGGCAACTTTGCATCCCCTAGCTGCCTCATTCCAATCAACTTTCTGTTCTTCAAACAAATATGCAACTCCGTTTTCTAAACACGTCTCCCATGAGCAGAAAATTTCAGATATGGAATAAATTCCTGAAAATGAAATAAAAAGGTAAAAAAAGAATTAAAAATTGGAGAGATAGAGTTGAGAGGGAGAATTTCATTGATGAATGATGATGAATATACAAACCAGTCAAAAAAATTAACATCGAGTGTTGGATTTTCGGCATGATCGTAAGAAATGATTAGCTCTTAAAACACACACTACATTGATGTCCTGAATTGATGTAAGTTCTATTTCTCAGCAAATCAACTTTTATTTGCACTTGGATTTTGTCAAAACTTTGGTTTTCATTTCTTCCGCATTTATAATAAGTTACAGTTGGTAAGCAGTCAATGCATTATTGTTTTACTATTACACAATCTCTGAATATTTTATGCACAATTCTTGCGTGGATGTAAACTTTAATTTCTTGATAAAAGCGTCCTTCAATAAACCTCTTTCAAATTTATTACAAAAATAAATATATGATTGAAAAATATATGATTGTGAAAGAAAGAACTTGTTATAACTTGTAGGTATCGAAGTTTTATTTGTAATATTTGCAAAAGCTTATTACTCGTATTCAAAGAAATATACTATTAAAAGTCTTTGAAATATATTTTTCTAACTCTTCTTGAGTAAGGTGGTCTTTTGATTGATTTTTTTTTTCAAGCTTGAATCATTTATATACCGCTCGTTGGTTTTTCATGTCATCCAAGATCATAATTTGCAACAAGAGGCCTTTTAATATGCAATATGAAAGTATAAATTCAATACTGAAAATATCCATGAAAACAAAACATTCTGACAGGCTCTGTTATTCCATATCGAAAAAAAATACTCATAAAATATTGACAAAAGAAGTAGTCTGCTCTAGAACTCCTCAATAAATAGTAAATTTGCTCTCTTCTCTAGCCTGTCTCTGTCCTCATCTGTAAATATTATCTTGTTACATGTAACAAAATAAAACAATAGTACTTAATTAATAAACTGGTAAGTCCATCTTATTCCTTAACACACTGGAATCTTTAAATTTGGTGTATAAAGAGCAGTTAATATACAAAAGAACATAATTGCACAAAGTTCTGATCTTTCGGTTCAATCTAATGACCACGCTTTATGAAAAACGTGATGACTTGAACTTTTCAATCGTTAACTTCCCTTCCTTATACAACAATATACCAGTTTTTATTAAAAACATTGTATCTCCTTTGTTTTAATGCACTTCTGCGGTTAGGGGAGGTTGTTGTAAAGTCAGTAGCTGACAGAGGTCGTGTTTTGCAAGTACAGGACGTTACATTCCATGGTGATGGGTACCTGCCACACAGTGTTCAAATTGTGATTCGCACCACAAAACACAAAAGAAAAATGATCCTATAATTGTTTCTATTCAGGGAGGTTCGGGTGAATACTGTCCAGTTCAAGCCTTGCATGAGTATTGTAAAAAAATCATTCCACTCAGCAGGTCCATTTTTTCAATTTGTAGACGGCACCCCAGTTAGTTACTCGTTTGTCAGCTCTCAGCTTTCAAAAGCAATATCCTTTGCAGGTTTTGATCCTAAACGTCATAGTTTTCGTATAGGTGCAGCTACTCATGCAACGCAATTAGGATACTCAGCATTCAACATGTATTCAACATTTGGGTTGCTGGAATTCTAATGCTTTACATAGGTATATCCGGATAAAGTCATTTCAAATTTAATATGGTCTAACATGCAGGTCAGTGATTTAACTGCTGCCTTATATCTTCTTCAAGCGATGCACGTTCAGCGGAATTAAATACAAATAAACATTTTGCAGCTGTATGGTTGAGACAGGTCAGTGAGTAACTGCTGTCATTGGCAGGTCAGTGACTAACTGCTGTTATATAGTTATTGGTACCCTTATCTTACCTCTCCTGCTTGCTGGCTCATATGACAATATTCGTTAGTTGCAATGTTTTTATTAGGCATTAGGGCAGGACAGTGATTAACTGCTGTCTTTCTCTTAGAACTAGATAGCGTAGCAAGTGTTTATATTATAAACTAGAGATTTTTTGAATGTTTTTTGTTTTTTTTTTCTTTTTCTTTTGAATATTATTCAATATCTTTATCTGGGCAGGCCAGTGCTTAACTGCTGTCATACAGAATTGCTTAAGAAGTTTTTCTTTTTGGGTGTGTGCATGCTCACCTTGGATGGCACGGATGCGAAAAGCAAGCATATCACATCTTGTGTCCCCTTTTGTTTTGATGTGCCATCTTCTTGCTATATTTTTCTTAAAATGTTTGATCTTATTGTTTTATAGGAATTTTTTCTAGTCATTTTTCATATTTTACGTAATTTCAATCGGAGCTTGTGAGTCTGATCCCCATTCTTTTGCATAAAGTATTTTCTTTTATATCGTCATTTAAATAGATGACATTATTCATCTCTGTGAATGTGTTTGAGTTAGTCTTTAGCAAAATAAGCAAAAACTAGCTCCGGTGAGCCTGCCGAGCATTTGAAGACATAAAGTTAAATATATCCTTGTATGTAAGGTAACATAAAATGCTTTTAAAGTTAATATAGTAAAATATTTGCAGGTCTACTCTACCTGGAACACCTCTTATGTAATTTTCAAATACTTCCGGTAAACTGTAATTTTAAAATGATGAATTTTTCTTGTATAAATTTCTTATACATAAATGTAAGTTTAACTCCAAGTAACTTTAATTTTGAAATGTTCAACTCCAAGTATAGCTACACTCCAAGATATCTTACATCTTTCAAATTGTACACCTACAAAAAATTCAGTTCTCCAATTATAATTTTGTTGTAAACTCATTGTATAAATTTTTTCAACTCCAAGTAATTTTCTTTCTTACCTAGTTATAAAATGCTCAATTTCAAGACAATTCATGAATCAATGTAATTATATACTCAATCTTTGCAATTTTTGTAATATATATATATGGTTTTCAAAATGTTTCACTGTAAAATTAACACAATGCTTCTATTCTGTTCACTCTTGTTGTTTGTTCAAATACAAAATAAATTAAGATATTTTGTTTTAATCATTGCCAAAACTCATGCTTACTAACAATCTATAGCGGCACGCACGCACTTCTAGCATCAACTGTGAAATGACATGGATCTAGACCTATATGAGTAATTTCGTTCACAGAAAAAAATGAAGGAAAGAGTAACTGGTATTGATTCATTTAATGAAACTGATAATAATAAAAATTAATACAGCAAATCACGATTAAAGGATTAGCGGGATCTAGGCCTTTTGTCAAAAATTATGTAGTTGTAGTAGTATCTGTATTGGCGTATACATTGCATATATTGCCACATATAACATTACTTTATATATATATATATATATATATATATATATATATATATATATATATATATATATATATATATATATATATATATATATATATATATATATATACATTAGTAAACAGGTGTTACACAGGTGCTATTACAATTATGTTGAAAACAGGAAGAAAAAAAATAAGAAGCAAAACTGGTGTCTTTTGTATTATTAATGCTGCTGAATGGTGTTTTTAAAACATTCAAACACAAATTTTCCAAGTTTTTTAAGTATACTTTCAGAATTGGAATTCAGTAATTCAATAAAGTTTGCCATAATAGGTCTTGCATAATAATATTTTTTAATATATTTTTCTCTAAACTCAGTATAAAAGTTACATATTAAGACAAAATGATATTCGTCTTCTATTTCGTTCGATGTACAAAATATACATTTCCGTTCACTTGTTGGACATTTTTTTATCATATCTTCCAGACTCAATGCGTAGACAATGAGAAGATGATCTGAGTCTAGTTAATGATTTTCTGTGTTTTTTCATAATATATACTATTAAGATATTCAGCCTGTTGTATAAAAGAGTTTAGATATTTAAACAATTTGAGAAGACGAGCGTTTTCTATATCTACTCTAAGTTTTTTGGAAAAAACAATCACTTTGTCTTTGTTCAAAATACATATAAAAAACATTTTCATTTACAGACTCAGGGAAATCATCCCCAAAACCATGAGATAAAGGAGTCTCTCTAACAAAAATAATCCAGTTTGTAGCAATATTCTTAAGATCATAATTATAAATTGATCTTATTTGACAGTTTTCTGCTCTGAGAATTTTAAACCAATATTTAATAATGTGAAATGTTCTCGTTACTATCAACGGTTTTCTTCCTAATTCACTATAAACAGCCGGAGTACATGTTGAAGTTTTAACTCCCAGAAGTCTTTTACCAAATTTTAATTGTATTCTTTCTAATTCTTTTGCTGTTATAAATCCCCACACTTCTGCCCCATAATTCATTTTTGAAACACATGCAACGTTGAAAAGTTCACACACAGACAATTTTTGAACATTACTCATAAATGAAAATATAATTGTAGTGTTTTTTCTGCTGTTATTTTTACATTTTTGTTAAAAAGTCCATTTGAAGAAAACAACAAATGTTTACAAACAATTAAGCATGGCCGCACACGCGCCCTATCTGAAGTTCTAATCAAGCAATCAGCATTTAAAAACAAACATGAATCTACGATGTAAAAATGTTCAATTTTGCAACAACGAGGACATGACTTGGAAACGAATACCTGTTAATGCTATTTTTCTCACAAATAAATAAGAATGCAGTTAATTTCATGATTTGCCCGATTTTATGAATTTCAAGAAAACTACTTTGTACATCGGAGGTTTCTTCTTGAACGCTGTTTGACTTTCTGTTTACATTGTCTATTTATAGTAACTGAGACGATCATGGCGCCTATAGCTAGCGCTATGCTTTCAGCTAGCCCGGCAAAAAAGTATATATGTCAAAAGTTAATTTCGTACATATTTTGAACACGCTAAATTTTAAACAAAAGGAATAAAGCCGTTATCTAAAATATTCGAGTATATAAGATTTGCCACGACTTGATGTCATTTTCAATTATCTCATCATACATTTGTAGTTAATTGAAGTAAAGGAACAGAGCACACTGTGATTAGATGAAAATAAGCAATTTATCTATAAGTTAGGTTATAATTATGATCGATTTATGTATATAAATTGGAAAATAATTCACATGAAAGTAAAGGTAAAGGATATGGAGATAACGAACAGTATTCAATATCAATGTATATAAAACAATACAGATTGGGAACAAAGCAAACATGGACCTCAAAAACATCATAGTTGGGATCAAGTGCCATGGAGGAGTGAGCATCCTCGACCGACCGGTCTCACCCGCTGTGTGCTCCTTGTCATGATTTATTGGGAAATAACGGGAAAATCTGTGGTCAATTCAGTGTATAAATAATGGACTAACAATTAGTATGAAACCCTCAGTCAGCATTTGTTAAAATGATGACTTTAAACGAGACTACTGAAATTCTTGTTTCATCAACTTATTTGACATTAATTTATCTCCTTTTTAAGTCAGCAGGAATACCTATTCCTTCAGAGCAGATGATCCGGCATTTGTTGATTCCACGTTTGTATAATTATGTTTATGAATGAGATAACATACAAACAACAACATTGTAGCATTAAAATTTATTAATACAAACTAAGCGGATAAATGCAGTAACTTAATTCAAAATGTATCTAAATATCTTGAAAACAATATTTTCTAGCTCAAGATCAGTACGTAAAGTATCAATGCATTCCGCTATAGGAATACATTGATACTTTACGTACTGATCTTGAGCTAGTGTTCTTCAGAAGCTGGCTTACAGCTTTTAATAGTAGGAACAAAACAAAATCTAAAATTGCCAAATAATAAACAAGAGCTACGTTCTAATCAATTATTGCCGAATCCTATTAATATATGTAGAATATTGAAATGTTTCATTCAAATAATATGAAATCTGAAAACTGTTAGATTACGACGAAGTTCTGTTATGGCTTACCATTACGTGATGAAACAAGCAGATAAAAGAAAAGATAATTTAATCATAATCGATTAGGCACTGTAATAAGCATTCTCAGAAGTTCTAAGAATAAGTCTTGATTCTTCGTCATGAACTTCAAAAAGCTGTATTGATACTTTCTCTCCTTGTGTACGAAATTCCCTGAAATTTTATGTTTTCAAAAAATATTTAGTTATTAAATGATTTTTTAAAAATGAGTACAGAGTGTATCTGAATACAACCAGAATAAAACATATAACATCATATGACATTTCTTTTCTTTTCTTTCACGTTAAGCTTCAAAATAGTTTTTTGAAAACAATACAATTTACTACGTAAAAAAATATTGATTATCTTTTTGATTGAATTTTATATTATCAGGAGAGGGTAACTCCTCCATGGCAACTGATCTGACATCTGTTATTTTATGTTAGCTTTCCATTTCCATTCCAATTTCCATTAATTGTTTTAATGTACTTTTGAGATTAATAAGTGTTTGTTCTTAGCATGACCATTAATATAGAATAAAATACCTGGATGAGCTCCCCTTCTTTTTGTTTAATAGATAATTCTTCTCCATCAGTTTGAATCTTTAATATCACAGAGAAAACAAATGTAATTCTCAGTTTATGGCATTTTCTCTCGATTCTATCCCTACTACATGTAAAAGCATATCTTTGTTTTGAAGTCTTATAATGTAAATATATGCACAATTGATCTTTTTAAAGAAAGAATAAAAAATAATGCATTTCATTTTTTTTTTAATCATATCTGGATGTAAATAAATTTTTGAAATACTTTTGTTGGTCAACAACGAAATTAAAAAGAGGCATTTTATATGAATGAGAAAATAAACGTAAATCACATTTTGATTTCTCAACATATAAAAAAAAACTAACTCTAGACGCTGATGAAAACTCCTTCGTATTCGTAGACACCGTATTGCTGCTCAATAGTGAATAAAACCTGCTTCTCCAGCTTTCTGAACCTTCTATGTGTATGCGTTCTCTTAGCAACTCTCTGATCTGTAGAATTATATGGTATATTTTTAAATCTTTCGTATCAATAAAGTAGAACATAAACTGGTTCAAGTAATTGTCTTTGGTTTACAAAAATATTTGAGTTCTAAGCAGGCTTTCTCAGTATATTTTTGACATTGTAAATTAAAAAGGTACTTGGGGGAAAGAACATTGATATCTTAATATCAAGTGTTGTCCCTACCTTTTTGTTCAGGAGACATTTCGAGATGAAAATAAAAAGTCCCTGAAGAAGAGATTACATAATCAAATCATTATTTCCTACATAATCTTTGATTAGTCGATAGTTGTATCGAAGCAATAATAAAAATATAAACTGAATACCTGAAAGGAGTTCAACAGGGAGAAGATATACTGAAAGACGACCACATCTTCATTAATAGACAAGAGGCCAAACAACCACGTCACACCCAGAACAGGTAACAAGGTACAGATGGACTTTATTCCGGCTCTAAAACCATTCCAGTAATATTCATGTTATTTTATTGATCATAAAAATATATGTTAATTAGAAAAAAAGATTCCCGAAAATTTAACATATTCTTATGGAAAGCATAATTCTTGTCTTGATAAACACGCGATTAAGCTGGAACATTATTTTACAGCTATATAATTGTGATCTTGAGATAAAAGACACCACAGAGTCCGACACTTCTGTTTCATACTTGGATATTTTACTTGAAAAAGACACTAATGGTAATCTAACAACCAAGCTATATGATAAACGTGATGACTTTAACTTTTCTATCGTCAACTTCCCTTACTTATGCAGCAATATACCTTCATCACCTGAAGACGGAGTATATATATATATCTCAGTTGATTCGATTCGCAAGAACATGTTCTACGCACGAACAATTTCTAAAACGCGGTAAATTATTGACAAGCAAGTTGATGAAACAAGAATATCAGCAGTCTCGTTTATTTGTAAGTTCTATGGTCGATACAATGACCTTGTCAGCAAATACAATTCATCATTGAGTAAAGTGCTAACTGAAGTTTTTCATACCAATTGTTAGTCCATTATATATACACAGAATTGACAACGGATTTTTTCCATTATTTCCTGATCATGACAAGGAGCACACGGCGGTCGTGACCGGTCGGCAGGGGATGCTTACTCCTCCATCGTACCTGATCCCACCTCTGATGTTTCGGGGGTCCGTGTTTGCTCTGAAGACGGATAGTGTTTGACTCTTAATTTGAATTGTTTTATGGACTTTGAGATTGAATACTGTTTGTTATCTCCGTATCCTTCTTTCAGAAAATTCTGGATTTGTATTCATTTTGACTTACATGGTCCTTTTTTTCACTTCTCCTTCTGAGGAAATTGTCGAACATAGAGTCACAACGAGACTGAACACAATTATGATATTGACCTAAAATTAAAAATAATAACTAGTATTTCTTAGCAATTGGCTCTTTGCATCAATACAAATTACAGTGTTTGTACAAGATTTCACATACAATATCATCACAAAATAAAACTATTTTAATTGATCAAGACTGAATTAATGACGTTAACAAATCTAGTAAAATGACAACTTCCTACCAAAATAATACCAGCTACGGGTCCAATAAATCCATACAAGGCTCCACTTTCAAATGATAACCAGCAACTATAAAATAATACTATTAAACGACTTTCCCAAAAGATTAGGAAGTATTTCAATATATGAATATTACAATCAATGTGTAAAATAGAGTTTGAGTACCTGGTTTTTGAATGATAGTCCTTGTCCCAGGAATATACAATTCCGAATGTTCCTGCAGTTATGCACACTGGAATAACTAAAAGATACAATTTACGGATTTACGTATTTACCTCGTATTTACGATTATCTTTATTCACATTCTAGATGACTTGTCACTGACATTGTTATCCGTTCTCTTTTCACTTTGCTACACACCTAATGTATACTCACCCGTGACAACTACCCACGTGACTTTACCGACAGCATTGGCATGGCTTTGAAGTGCTGTTGCTTTAGACAGTGATAATTTGACCAGAGAGATACTGCTGAAATAGTGCCACCCAAGGGCCAGCATTAGAAAGAAAATAAATAGGAAAAGATAATGTAACAGTGCTGTTATGATAGTGCATCCGACCTGAAATATATAAAAGAGATCAAATTTTAACCCATTATGGACATGTGCCTCTTTTGAATGAAAAATAGAGATAACAAACAATAACCAAGCTCAAAAGTCTTTGAAAACAACTGAGCAGGCACGGATCTCTAAACTAATGCTTTCATATAAAATTAACCAAATTAATCAAATCCTTACTTCATTCTGTATTTTATCAACTCCGACTAGAAATAACGTATAAGCCATGGATAGACTAAAGCAGAGAAGCACCGTGATCTTATTTACTATTCGGTTGACGTTGACCGTAATGGATCTGTAAAGAAAGAATGTAGATCATGTTTTTCTGTGATATAATCTAATTTACCATATGATTTATATTATAGATAGTTGTCCGTGCGGCACAGTGGTATATCGTCTGCTCTAGAGGGAGGTGTTAATCCATGCTTCGCGGGTTCGAGTCCCTCTTTGGACCGCCTTAGACCGGTCTTTCTGCTAAAACCATGTAAAACGAATTCCCTTGTCACAATAGAAGCTTGCAAAAGAATCAAGCCTCACTGCTACATGGTCCTTGGTGCCACGTATAAGTTAACAAATTGAGGCTCTCCATATCAACGAAAAATATTTTATAGGGATTTTTAAACATTAACGAACAAACAAAACATTGTAAAATATCCAATGTTTGCAGATTGTTTATTAAATCTTCTCACTTCCAGAAGAAGATGTAAATAATGGCCGTCAGCAAAGAAAGAAAGACCGATATTGAGCAACCAATTATGGAAATCCAATTCAATGCATCCTCTTCGTCTTGTATCTGTGAAGATGAAAGGACTTTCTCAGTGATTTATCACAGATCTACAATTATGCACTGCTAGTAAATTCCTTTATAGTGAGACAATGGAAAATTACAAGTAGTAATTGCCCATAAAATCGACATATTATTATATTCAAAAAGACATCTTAATGATTACCCTTGAATATGGTCGCACCAGTACCGCAAAATTTGTCAGATGATTGCATTCACAGTGAAGATAAAGATCTGTAGATAGTAATTTACATCCTCGTGTTGACCACTCACCAGTTCCGTTACTGTAATAAATATTAAGTTTATTATACTTCACTATAACTATTCTACACAACGCCTTATCAGATTGGTTCTAGACTATCACGTGATAAAGCTATAAAACTTCATATTTCACGGTCGTCGGCATGCTTTCCATCATATTTCACCTCTTCGGATACCTAGTGCATTTTCCAGCAATAGTTATCGTTCATTGAAAGAAAACTTCCGAGAGTAGTAGACGTTATATTAGCCTAGTTTACATTAAAAATTGATGATTAGTGATCAGTCAAAGGGTTTAAGTAATTTTACATTTAAATTGAAAGTGAATTTGAGAGCAGTGCCGAATATGAAAGTTTATGTTTGTTTCAAAATGTTTGCTTTTTTCGGTATAATAAAGAATCCATTGCATGAATAGTCGGGAAACTTGAAGATATATTCATCCAAGAAATATCCCATTCCCCTCGCCGAATATGATATTTCTTAGATGAATATATCTCTATATTTCTCTCACTATCATGCAATAATATATAATATTACCAGACGTATGATGAAATAATAACGTACGAATGCTGGTTGAAAATTGAAAAAAAAATCACTGATCAGTACTTACTTGCGTTTAAAATCCCAAAATACACATTTGCTGAAGGAATTTTGAGAATCCTAATTCAGAAACAAAAAGGAACAGAAAAAAGTACAATGAAAAAATGTTTCTTTTTTAAATGGGGCTTATATTTTCATTTAGAATGTTCACAAATGATATTATTTAATATACTACCTGTTTTAAGATCTTTAAATGAATTGAAGGGTCTAATGTTCCTCCAAATAAAGGTTCATTAAGTGTTAATGACATAATATCAGAAGAAATATCGTATCCGGAATTCTTTTTCACTCTGAAAAAAAAAATCGTCGTATTGATGAGAATATTGGCTATAATTTAAGCATACGTACATATCTCGGTGTATCTAGAACTTCTTACCTTTTTTTGTCATTTAAATGTTTCGCTAGTGTTGTGTACTTCACTGCAAGGTAGGGAATACCTAGTTTTTTTTTATTATTGAAAAGAAAGTTGACATTTTGGTTTCAGTAGAAGCAAGAAAATATTGAATGGAAAACATGATGTGTTTGTGAAACACTGATGCCCCCGTATGGCAACATAGCAAAAACTAATTTTTTTTTAAATGAAAATTTATTTTATCGGTACCAAAAGTTGAGTATTCTTACCGGAAATACAATTGAGAAATATGAAAGTAGGCCAAGGTTAAAGTTTTGACATAAGCAAATATGTCATCTTCAAAGTCAAGGTCATTGGTATCCATGAAAGGTCTTGCCACAAAAATTATATATGTAAAGTATGGTCCTAACCGTTCAGAAGTTATGGCCAAGATTTAAAAAAAATCAATGTAGATCAAACTCCAAGGTCCAATTTCTTGTTTTCAAATGAAAGGTTTTGTCACAAGGATTAAATATGAAAGTATGAAAGTACTAGCCCTAACCCTTTAAAAGTAATGGTCAATGTTTGCTTTTTAAAAGTAGATCAAACTCCAAGGTCAAATAGTAAAAGTTCTTAGTAACTTATGAAGGGTCTTCTCACAAGAATTACATAAGTGTATAATGAGATCACTAGCACTTAGCCTTCAAAAGTTATGGCCAAGTTTAAATTTTTTACATAAGTACAAAAAGTCTCAAAGTTCCAGGTCAAAAGGTCAAGATAATTGGTTTCCAATGAAAGGTCTTGCCACATAAAATATATATGTAAATGATGGAGGCCCTAGTCCTTACCTTTCAAAAGTAATGGCTAAGGTTAATTCTTTTTTAAAAGTAGGTCAAACTATCAAAGGGTCAAAAACCTTGCTATCAAATGAAAGGTATTGTCACAAGCATTAAATATGCAAAGTATGAAAGCAATAGCCCCAACTCTTTAAAAGTTATGGGCAACCTATTCTTTTTGGATGTAAATAATATTCCAAGGTCAAGGTCAAAGGGTCAAAGTTCTTGGTATCCAATGAAGGGTATTTCCACAAGGATTACATATGTGAAGTATGAAGCCCTATCCCATAGCGTTCAAAAGTTATGGCAAAGGTTAAAGTTTTTTCACAAGTACAGAAATCTCCAAGGTCAGGGTCAAAAGTTCAAGGTTGTTGGTATCCACTTAAAAGTTCTTTAAACAAAGATATATATGTAAAGTATAAATGCCCTGGTATCTACTGCTTAAAAGATATGGCCAAAGTAAAAATTTGAAATTTTGGTGTAAAAATGGATCAAACTCCAGGTCAGAAGGTCAAATTTGGTGGTACCCAAAGAAAAGCCTTGTCACAAGGAATATACCTTTGAAATATGAAAGGCATAGCTCCACTAAATTAAAAGTTATGGGCAAGGTTAATGTTTTTGCGAACAAACAGACATATCGACTGACGGACACGACAAAAATTATATACCCCCGAAATTTCGTTTAAGGGGGCATAAAAAGTTGTATAAAGAAACTGATATTACTTTGATTAAAACCATTAACTTGTACTGGAAACACTAGCGATGAAATTAGGATGCTATTGTTTTCTGGGAAAATAACGGGCTGATCTGCTGGAATCTTTGCCACTGTGAAAACTAAGAGAATGAAATTAAAAATGATTGATACCTTTTTTTTTAAATAAATCTTCATTAATAATATTAAAGTGAAAAACCAATAAAAAATAAATGTTACTGACTGTACTTTGTTAAGCATTAAGTCACTCTACCGATATTTTTCGTTGAGTTAAATGTGATGCTTTCGTTCTCGTTGACCGTTTCTAAGAGATGCAAACCTATTTTGTCAACGGTCTTGAAGATTTTATTGACTCTTGCAGAGACCTAGATAATAATAAGACGAGTAATGTTTAATCCTAATATAATATAGATATTGTTCATTTAACATTATCACAATAATTACCTGCTTTGCAGAAATGTTTTTCCAAGCAGCAGTGTGATTTTCTGCTAGTATATTGTCAATTGTTGTCACGATCCTCTGAATACCAAAATGAATAATGAAAATTTCTTGTTTAAATGAGTGATGAGATTAAAAAAAACAAGATATATCATTCGCCTGATATTATGACATCTCTGTTTGAGGAGGAATTTATCGAATTGCGTTTAAAATAACAGTCATGAATATAGCATACCGACTTTGGCAGTGTAACATTGGACTTATTGGAGACATCGGCGATTTTATTCAGCAAATCTATGGAATTATCTAAGTCTTCAGGAGATTGTTCGGAGTTTATTGAAAGAGTTTGTAATTTTAGAAGTGCGTGATCGATTGCAAGCTTCATTTCTTTTTTTGACAAATTTCCTTGTAGAGCAGAATCAACCTGGAAAAGAATTATGTACAAAATGCGTAAGCTGCCTTAAAAGTATTTTTATTTAGTTTATTATAAAGGGTATAAAAATAATTCTATTTACCTTCTTGTTATTAATCATATACTAAAGTGGTGCTTAAGATATAGTATTTCATACCATGTTTTTGATTATCGACACACAGTCCATGTTTGGCATGTCTTCACAATATGGAGTTATTGGGCCTAGAAAAGGGAATATAATTTAAAAATCAGCTTTTATATAAAGAGTTTTTCAGTTTCATTCACAATATCACTTGCACATCTTTCTTTTTTATTATTGACACACACTCCATGTGTAGGTTTATGAGTGGCATGTCCTCACAATTTGGATTTAGAAAAAAAAACTTTCACTTAAAAATTATTTATTTCAAGTAGTCCGATCCTCAGATTCTGAAATTCTGGCATTGAGTAATTGAAAATGCTTACAAAGATGACCCAAAATTTTCAAAGTTATTTGTATTTACCTATTGGGATTCTTGAAATAACATCTTTAAAGTTAATCATCAAACATATGGAGATTATGAACAATAGGAGGGTCGAAAAATTCGTGGACAAGTTCTATTGTGAGCGCACTATTTCCACGAAATACAAAAGAAGAAATAATCCTTTTGTTTACTACTAGAAAATTGTGATCACAGTACTCACTTTGACAAACATAGCCAGCAATCTCACTACAAGATACGTCGTTCCAAAGATGATTTCCTTCAAACAACCGAAACTGTAAGCAATTTTCATTTCCTCCGTAATTATTGGGTTCATCTGTAAAATACATAATTATTTTATCATGTGATAACATGGACAACAAAAATGAAAATAAATTAAAAAATGACTTCACATTTCTAATTAAAATGTTTCAAAATTTTAATACCTTTCATAGTATTCAAAGAAAGATATGAAGATAACGAACAGTATTCAATCTCAAAGTCCATAATACAATACGAAATAGGAGCAGAGCAAACACGGACCTTCGAAACATCAGAGGTGGGATCAGGTGCCATGGAGGAGTGAGCATCCCCTGCTGACCAGTCAACCCGCTTAGTGCTCCTTGTCATGATCGGGAAATAACGGGAAAATCCGTCGTCAATTCCGTGAATAAATAATGAACTAACAATTAGTATGAAAACGTCAGTCAGCATTTGACTCAATGATAAATTGTATTTGCTGACAAGGTCATTGTATCGACCATAGAACTTACGAAATGATGACTTTAAACAAAACTGTTGATATTCTTGTTTCATCAACTTGCTTGTCAATAATTTACCTTGTTTTAGAAATTGTTCGTACGTAGAACATGTCTTGAGTATCGAATCAACTGAGATATATAGACTCCGTATGCAGGTGATGAGGGTATATTGCTGCAAAAGTAAGGAAAGTTGACGACAGAAAAGTTAAAGTCATCACGTTTATCATAGAGCTTGGTTGTTCGATTACCATTAACGTCTTTTTTAAGTAAACTATCCAAGTATGAAACAGATGTGTCAGACTCTCTGGTATCTTTATCTCAAGCTCACCACAAACTACGTGAGAAGAAATAATCAAAATGTCCCAACTTACTCAACTCGTAATAGTGTGATCTGTTGACAACTTTTTTTAACCAAAGAAAGCTACTGACAGACAAATTAAAGTAACGGATATTCAACAAACATCTTACAATCCTACACTAGTATTTGTTATGATATAGAGTCACAAAGTACGGTACTATCGGACCGTATTTGCTTTAGCGTAATAGGAAAACTCAAGGGGGTGGCTGTGTTAGATAACTCTTACACATGTCATAGCCACCTTTAAGCAACACCAAAATTTGCATGTAAACTTCTTATAAACATATAAAGTGACTAACAAATTATGCACTTGCTCTAAGGCGGTGATGACATGTCAATAAAAACTTTTCGCTTCATTTTAGCGATATTTGCAGGAAAAACTAACTACTCACAATGAAGGATATGTAGCATATGTAGATTATTTCTATTTTATGAACTTTTGGTTAGAGTACAGTTTTCTGTTGATTTACTAAGAATCTATATAAGCCATGCATGTTTACTAAAAAAAGTCAAAATTTTTACTTAAAAAATCTAAAATCAAAGGACTGAAAAGACTGGATGTCGTGAAATTAAAAGTGGACACGTTTAGTGGAAATGTCTCATAAAAAAATTAGAAAATAAAAAAAACTATAGTCTATAAGGCGTGAATATGAGTTATTTATTTTCATTATGGATATTTAAAACGGTAGTTTTGTTTATCGTTGCATGCTACTTCTTTGTATTCCCTTATGAGTACTGCATATATTCTTTGTATTTCCTTATTAGTACTGTATAGTTCTAGAATTGATATAAGTCGTCTTTGTTGTAGAGGGGAAACTGGATTTCCTGTTTGTGACTTCTTTTAATGGTTACACATATAATTTTTATAGGAACCCTTTCGTACGAGTGACATAGGATCCATATGTTTTGTTAACTCGGACTTAATTGAGAGGACTCAATCTATTCATCACGCTTTTTTGAAAGCATCGATATAAGTTACGAGAACAGAAGCTCTGTCTTAGAAAATAAACTGGTAGAGGGGAGGGGTCCTAAATGTCATATGTGATTGATCACATATGACATTTAGGAACCCCTCTCCCCACACAGATAAAGAGATCATCCACTTAAGGTCAAGTGTCACAATTTTGATTTATACATAGTTGCATTACTGACCAACGCCTACGGCGGGACAGGACCTCGTTTTAAAGATAATATCCAAACGACCCATGACGTTTACTTTTAATGCTAAAGACTTACAATAGGAACTGTCACTTTCCGTGTTTTGAAGTTGTACTGGGAAAGAGACTGAATTTAGCCTACAGGTTTCAAGAGTGCGAAAGGAGCATAAAACCCTTAGGGCCCATTTTGTACCTGGGATGTTGTACAGCTCTGTTAGTCCTTAGATCTACTTAAACGTCTGATATGCATAGGGGAAGAAACTTTTAAATCTACTCCATTTTTATGAAGTGCTGTTAGAATGGGGGGGGGGGTCTAACTTTTATACATATGTATACATATAGTTTAAATGGCATTTTTTATTAAATATATCGTGCACCATGAGTAATTAAATAAAAGCAAAGCCGTTTACGATGTTGTTTCGTTTTACTTGGACATGTACATTTAAGTGCAACTGTACTGAGTTTTATTTATTGACTATTTATTGTATTTGGATAGTCAACATGTACTTGCATTGATATTTTTCTGCTGTTAAATAATTCTTTATATTTTTGCAATGTTGAATTCATTTTATTAATAACTTCTTCAGTTTTATTTAATCAATCAAATTCCATACATTATTTTCAACATTTGATACATAACTTTTATATAGTTCAACAGAAACTTAGAAACTTTCTTTCTTATACGGAAAATTTATACATAAAATAAGTAGCACATCTATATAAATGATATACAATCACAATATAAATATATATGATATAATACTTCTAATTAAATCCTAATGAAACAGATTCATACGGTATGCAAAATGTGGATGCATCCGAATCCTTGTCATAAAAATATTTTGAGCCTTAAATTTAAAACAATTCGAATGTATTACTTATGTCTGATGTGTTTCCGACTAAAATAATTTTTTTGATCATTTACATTCAGAAATTAAACATGATGTGAATGGACCTATCCTCAATTTTTCTTTAGTTGATGACCATTTGTGATCTCCAAATCATGTGACTTAAGGGATCGATGTTGAAAAACAAACATCAAAATCATGGAATGGATTGATTTTAGTTCTATAAAATCACATTTTAAATTGATTCTATCGTAGGCCGGAAAATGGCCTTATAGAGAATCAACCTTTGTGCAATGTAACTAGGTTTGTTCGTTTTAATTGTTAAACGTCCCTCCAGCATCTCTCGGGACTTTTTCACTCATATGAACACACTAGTATTTGCCGATGGAGGTCAATAACTAAACTTGGCACCCAGGACCATTGAGCAGGGAGAGAATATTTTCGTGTCATCGATTACTGCGATACCTCGTGTGATGTAGTTTCATCCAAAGGGCCGGTCTATACGTTCCGCAGTGGATTCGAACCTTATTTTGCGATTCCAGAGCAGACGCTTTGACCGCTGTGCCGAGAAGGCGACTCAAAACAAGGTATGAGGGAAAAAATTTCTTCGAAAGTATCATTTGACAATGAGCCAAAGGAAAAAACATGTTAAACTGAACACGATTCGTAAAAGGAATGTGTACACCATTTTTGTTCGGAGAATCCCTATACCGGCAGACCCCTATGAATAGGGCAGGACTTTGTCACTGCTCAGTGTAATCAGTCGACACCAGTGTAGACAGACATATGCTATGCAGCACTCAGTAGCGACAATAATAACGTAAAATTTCGTATAATGCAGGAAAGTAACCTGATATAGTGTAGCGGCTTAGAATAAAATTTCAGCAAAATAGTTCACTTGTGGATACAAGCATGAAATTGGGTACAAATGTCTATCTGATACTACTTAATCTAAAAACATCGTTGGCCACCGCGATTTCCGCCATTTTCAAGATGGCCGCCACTAAAACAAAATGGCGACATTTTCAGGCAGTTTGTTCTCACATACATTCTCTTACAACCAAATTAATTATACTTTGGCCGCTTAAATATATCTAAAAATTTTAAAAAGACTATAAAAATCATATTCTAGCTTAAATGCTATAAATATAAAGACAAACTGATTTTCTTATAACACAAAATATCGTTCCCTATTGTAGATATTAACGACATTATCACAGTAACAAGAAGCCATTAAAAAAAACTTGTAACAGATATTTTACAAAAAGCCTTGCAGGCGTTCCCTCACTATCTTGGGCCTGAATACCAAGTAAAATTTTGTATTTGAAAGCCCTCAATAAGTAAAATAATTCCTCAAGAAACATAAAATATCATGGAGTGAAAAAGTCATCCAACGCAGGTTTACAGTATATAGATAAGGCTGATTATCCATTTCAATCAATGCCAACATTTTATGCAATAAACTTAATCAGTGGAAAGCATGTAAAAATAACTTTGTACTTTATTTAACTGAAAACATTTTACAAAATCAAAAAAGAAAACCTTATTGTTTGATATTTTTTTCACATTATATTGCTGTTCAATTTACTTGAACCCTTCACAGTAAGCCAAAAGAGTTGTTTGAAGTGCTTGTTATTATACCAGTATAACCATCACATTGTGTAGTGCAATTCTGTCCTACAGATCTCTGTAGCAAAAAAATAAAGTATTTTAGTAACTATAAAGGACTTCAGTTTTAGTTTCACAGGATGCAGAATATATATTGTGTAGCAATATCTGCACACTGGGAAAAGTGGCTCACATGATATTCATGTCATTATCTTTTTATTTGAAAATTATATGAAAATCATGTAAAAATTATATCAATATTTTTATGTATCCAATACAATAAAGCAGTCAGGTGTGAGAATCTAAAGAGCATACCCTGGTGTTGATGTATTGTAGATAATGATATCGAAAATTGCGTATGCCTATTTACGAGTCGTGTTCAGTTTTAAGCCCCGACATACAAGTGAGTAACTATATTCTTTCAAACTTGAAGCTAGGTGATAAAAAAGTTGGAAGAAAACTGAGCCCATAACTTGCTTTGAAAACTTATAGTTAGATCCATGGCATCTAAAATATAGGAAATCAGAGATTACAAAGCTCACTTCGACGAATGTTATTTATTAGCAAGACAAATAGCACATCATTTATTTTCTAGTAAGTGATCAATATCCATGTAAGTTTGGTTAAATTAGAATTTTAAGATACTTGAGAATGGACCTGTTTCAAAAAATACTTTATTCACTTATAAAGAAAAAATTCTGTGAACTCAAACATCTTGAGCAAGTCTGGAAGTGTTCATCATCCATGCAAGTCAAATTCTAAAAATCTACAGAATTTCATCAGTAGTCCCAAAGTTTATCTTTGTCCAGCATTGGAAAAATGTTTTTCAGACTCAGCATCCAAAGCCACGCAAGCCATGCTATAATTGTTTGTATTTTATTCAGCATATACATTTCCTTTGGGAAATCATAAAAGTTAAAGAAAAATTTCATATGAGTGAGCAGAGGGTTTATGAACCTTAAAGTATGGCAAAATTTTACTCTTCTGCCTTAACCTGGTAACTAATCCGGAAAATATTGGTCAGATCCAGCGTCCGAACTTAGTATGTAAGAGTTCATCCCCAGGTGCATCATCCATACTAGTGTGGTCCAGGTGGAGCTTAAAGTTACTTAATAATATACCTGCTTCTAAAACTTTAACCGGCTTCAGGGGTATAGCATAAGCTCATCTTGACAAGTACGGTACGTTTTATAGTACCTTATAGATTTGTTAACAAACTTTTTCGGGTAAAGATTTAGTTTATAAACTTATATTGAAATTAACAAAATAAACAGCACCTCTCGCCCAGTATGTTGGCTGAGTCACTGGGGTACCATCAACCCATGTCCAAACTCCAGAGGTGGATTTTGCAGCTCCAATAGAAAAAGGACCAACACTTTGTTTTAGCCTTCCTGTAATATTAGAAAACTCTCGGGTTACAATTGTTTTAATTTTGTCTCCCTCAACTACACTACAAACAATTACTCTAAAGTACAAATGTTTTCATCAAAGATAACAGTATTTACTTACTAACGATACAATTCTCATCAAAATACGACCGAATAATAGGTAAAGATCCACCGGCAAATTTGCATCGCCTTTCTGCCTCATGCCAATCAACTTTCTGTTCTTCAAACATGTATGAAACTCCATTTTTTGAACACGTTTCCCATGAGCTGAAAACTTCAGATATGGAATAAATGCCTGAAAATGAAATGAAAAAGTAAAAGAGGGAGACAAAATTGGAGAGATGGATGGAGTTGAAAGAGAGGATTTTGTGATAAATGATGAAGAGAATACAAACCAGTAAAAAATAATAATATCGTGTGTTGGATTTTCGGCATGATCTTAAGAATTGGCTAACTCCCAACACATACTCTAAATTCGATGAACTGAAATGATGTCTGTTTTATTTCTCGACAAATCAGGTTTCTTTGAACTTTAATTTTATCAAAACGTTGGCGTTCATTTCTTCCGCATTTATAATAATTTGTAGTTGGTAAGCAGTAAATACAGTTATTGTTTTACTATTACACAATCTCTGAATACCGGTACTTTACGCGCTTTTCATCGTATGGTCGCACACTTTTTTGATAATTTTGTTCTTCAATAATCCTATTTTAAATTTGTGAGGAAAAATATGTGATTTAAAAATATTTGTTGTGAAAGAAAGTGTTCTTACTTGTAGTTTTCTTATTTTATTTGTTATGCACAAACTTGTTTCTAGTACTTAAAGGAAAAAAAACCTAAAAAAAAAAACTATAAAATACTGATTATATTTTTACTAACCTTTTTCGAGTAATGTGGTCTTTTGATCGAATTATTCCAAGCTTCGATCATTTATATACCGCTCATAAGTTATCACTCCCCAGATTATAATCTGGAACAAGAGGACTAAAAACCTTTTTTTGTTATTAAAAACTGATTACTGTCCTTTTCTATACGCAAAAGGAAACATAAGAGTATCAAGGACTAAGTATAAATACATTATTGAATATAACCCTTTAAAATAAAACAAACTGACAAGTACACTATGTTGTTCCACATCGAGAAAAATAAACTGATAAGATAAAGACAAAAGAACTAGTCTGCTCTGATATTCTTCAATGAATGATTATTTTTCTCCTCTTTCTTGCCTATTTTGTCCTCATCTGTGAATATTATCTTGTTAACAAGGGAAACAATAGTATTTAAGCAAATTGGTAAACCCATCTTATTCCCTAACACACTGGATCCTTTAATTTTAGTTTATAAAGAGCAGTTAAAGGTGCATAGACACAGATTTGAAGTTAATATTGTCTATATCATATCACGACTCATATATTGGAATAAGCATTTCACACAAAAATATATTAAATCTAATTTAATCTGAATTTTATTGAAACTTTAAAATTTGAGATGTGTATGCTTGAAACATCCTTGCACTTTCAAATAATTTTATTTTATTCTTTATACTTAGGAAAACTGGCAATCAATTTGTGTATTAATGAAAAAAATATCAAAACTTTAATCCAGAAAATTCAGAGTAGAAATGTTCGAAAACAAAACATACACACAGTATATCACCAGTCCGTAAGGTTGTGGTGAGCAGACTTTCATAAATATTAACAACAAGTTGCTGTCCTTTAAAAAAAAGGACTGCAATACGTAGATCATATGCATATTTTTCTAACAGAAATACAGTTAGAGAAAATTTATAGGTTTAGTGAATATTCAAGTATGTTCGTTCACTTTTCTACAATGATATGCCTACTTTGACTGATAACTATATCCATAGCAAAATTATCAAATTCTATCTCCGATTAGCCTATAGTTATCATTGGAAAATAGATCTGATGGTACACGTGTAGCATAGCTCTGTAGTACGCAGATCTTTTTTTCGGAGCCCCCAAGCCATCCCTCCCACATAGAAAAACCGTTGACACAGGCATCTATCAAGCTGTGTACGTTTCACGGGTTCAATTTGCTAAACTCTTTACACAACACTAAGCGCAGAATGACGATACTTGTGAAGGAGATTTGCATTCGAACATTTCTACTCTGGGTACAATTATTTTTCTGGATTAAATTTTGAATATTTTTCATTACCAAATTACTGACCTAATTGCAGAATATCCTGGTCATTCAGTTCAATCTAACGACCAAGCTCACTTATAAATGTGATGAATTCCATTACTTCTATTATTACGATTAAGCAGCATATTTGAACAAATAAAAAGCAACAGAATTTTACATCCTCAGTTGTTAAATGATGTTCAAAATGAAAGAATTATTATTATTATTTGCCAGTCTACAATATATATACTATTTGTATAAGAAAATTAAATGGCAAAATGTCCACTATGTTTACTGTCATGTTCACTAAATCAGAAATGATAAAAGAGCTCGAAAGATTACATAAACAATATGTTATGTTTTCAGCAGACAGGGCTTACAACAATATAATTTTTGTTTGTAAGATCTTTCATAAAACTGTATTTGAGTAGAGCTTTTTTAAGACTTCCTGGAAATCTAATATATACTGACAGTTCCCTTTTTCAGGAAAATATCAAATTACTCTGTTTAAATTTTTAAACATACCAGTAAATCAAGAGAAATCTGTCCTTCTTTAACTGATTTCTAAACCCAATAAAACATTACAAAGAAAGAAACAACACATCTGGTTTCTCCTTGATTTCTTTATTTGAAACAATAAATATATAACGACACGCACATTTGTGTATAAACTACGAAAGCCCAGAAGGCTCATTCGAGATTCAAGTTTCGAAATACGAGATTCGAAATTCGAGATTCAAAATTCGAGTTTCGAGATTCAAGATCCAGACTAACCAATCAAAAGCGGGTTCAACATTTGATTACTCCCCTTTATTATGTTTTTACTATCAAGAAATCGTTTAATATATATATAACAAATGGGTCATTTGATTAAATTACAATGCAAGAACGATTGTTATATATTTTAGAAGGAAATTTAAATACGCTTTGGATTTTTAATCAGCCAGATATACTTCAATTTATATGATAACTTCTTAAATATTAAATAGATTACATATATCAGGAGTATATATATTTTTGTACTGTCTACTAAACTTAACTTAAATGTATTTCCTCTAGAAAGGAAACTACAGGTACTATTAGACAGGACCCCCCTCCTCCCCCGCGATATTAAATGCCAGGGCTTAATGGGCTTTTTTTCATTACAAGATATATTTATTATACTTATTCATCATCGAAAAAAATCGTAAAACCCCAAGAATAATCGATCAACCAAAAATACCCCATACATCGGAAGAGAGAAAGGTATGCCACTCCAGTCTGTTAACGTTCTACCCCCACTGGTATTCCTATTTTAAAAACATGCATTTATTTTATTTTAACTTAAAACGTCGATTCACACTGTCTCTACATATATTTCTGTGTTAGTCCATGCTATCGCACTGACTCTGCATCTCGTATAATCCCACATTTTCTCCTTAAACAGCATTCTCTCTTATAATGTATACTGGGGTTTTTTGTTGAGCGATTATTCTGGGGGGTTTTCGCCGGAGACTTTTTTCGTATTGTACACATGATGAATAAGTGTAATAATTATAATTTGTGAAAAAATGTCCTATAAGTCCTGGCTTTGAATATCGGGGGGGGGGGGATACATGAAAAATAAGTTTAGTAAACAAGACAAAAATTTATATATACTTCTATATAATTTAAATTGAAGTATATCTTGCTTAGCAAAAAATCCAATATTTATCTAAATTTACTTCTAATATATATAACACTCTTTCTTGCATTGTAATTTAATCAAATGACACATTTGTTATAATTATATTAAACAATTTCTTGATAGTAAAAACAAAATAAAGGGAAGTAATGAAATGTTGAACCCGCTTTTGATTGGTTAGTCTGGATCTTGAATCTCGAAACTCTAATTTTGAATCTCGAATTTTGAATTACGAATCTCCTATTTCGAATCTCGAATGTTGAACCCGCTTTTGATTGGTTACTTTGGATCTTGAATTTCGAAACTCAAATTCCGAATCTCAAATTTCGAATCTCGTATTTTGAAACTCGAATCTCGAATGAGCCTTCTGTGATTTCGTAATAAACTGATGTTTGTAATGACCGAGTAATTTGAAATCTATCCTTCTTTCCGAAAAAAAAAACTTTCTGAATAGTTATATGTTTAAATGAATGATAATATATATATACATCAAAATATACATGTATATATCATGAAAATGGAGATTTTCTTTTAATTTGCAGATTTACACTCAATTAAGTTAAAGTAGGTTTATTGTTACATTAAAACATATGGAGATAACAAACAGTATTCATGTTCAAAAGTTCATTATACGTCTTCACATCATGTCGATTTGGTGTCCCATACAGAGAACAATTCTTAACATAATTATTTTTTCATCAAATGTCAAAAATTCATGATTGCTATCATTATACCTATATTATATCATTGTGATGTGAAATGATCATTACAACAATAAAACGTTTTTCATTATACTCTATCTGAATTTTATTTACATTGTTGAAAAAATGATTACAAACATGTATGGTCTAAGATGGGTAACGAGAATCAAAGCCAGGCTCCGCAGTCACGAAGCGAATGCAAAAGCACTAGTCTTCCGTGAGAGAATCAAGGTACGTATTATTATGTTTTACGGTGTAACCGTTGGGACGAGCGCAGCTTTGTATTTATGAAAGACCTATAAACAGGTTACACTTGTATTGCCTATTCTCGGTTCATTAAAAAAAGAAAGAAAATAAAAAAAAAACACACACAAATTACCTCCCATGCATCAGGATCGAGATTCTTAACTTCTCGGAAGCTTCCGACAAATCGGAAATACTCGACTCGTTTGAGTGACGACAGTATGACGTCAAATAAAAAGGCCTGTTGACTTAGGACGCAAACGATATTTTTTTTTAGTAAAAAGATTGCATTAAAACGTTGTTTGTAATTTTTTAAGTACGTTGTTACTATGTATAAGCCACCATGTTGCTAAGAACCGCAAAGGATTATTGGGGGTTCGGAATATTTTCATGTATTGATCAAATATTCTATGCAAGCGGTGGTGCGTTCGCTATTCAAAGAAGTGAATATGTCAGAAGATTTATAATAAAATGATAGATATTTGGGTTTCCAAAACAAACATAAAAAAGAAAAACATTAAATCATTAAAAAATGAAATTTTAATGTGTGTTTTATAGCAAGTTTTGTATATTTATAATGTCATATGATTTTCAAGAATAAATGGCTTTAAAACCACGGGTTTATATAATGGAAATCTGTGACTGTATATGACTGATTATAATCAAGAACTTTGGTGTTATGGTAGGAAGAAAGTGGGATATAACAAAATCTACAAATCTACCAAATCTTCAAAAACCTGTTTGGAACGAAACTAATTATTTAGAATCAATTTCATACCAATCTTTAAATCTTGTAAAATAATAAGTGTGTTCCAGAGAAATTATACTTCATAAAGTCAACATTTGTAATAAATAGATTTTAATATGTTGAACTTTTCATAAATATCATTTAAAGAGGATAATCCTCTCTTTTACATGTTTGGGATGGAGTAATTTTCTTCGTCATTAAACAAAAATATACATTGACTGTTTATATATGAAGCCAACAGTAACAATTCCCACGTTGTTGTTTTAAGAGAATGGTCAGGATGCAGTGTGGAACTTTTGTTCGTTCTCTGTTTTTAATTTTTACTACCACGACATATTTTCAGCCCACTGTGGGTAAGTCTTTATGATCTAAAAGCAAAGTTCATCAACTGTATCGAAAGATACCTTTGAGTTGTTTTGTTCTAACATAATTTCCATTTTTTTTAAAATTACCAGCTGATAAATATAATATTTATTCAGTTGCTCAAAGAATAAAGTAAGGATTAAATGAGAACGAAACTGGGTATAAACTCACAAAATTAAATTATTTCTGTATTTGAAGTCGTTACAATCTAAATGAAGGCTAAAAGTTAAATAGTTTTAAAACTGTGTTACTATTGTTCACAATAAAACGTGTAGGTAATGTTTTGATGAGACGAGACAACGACAACTCTGAATACACAAACGTTACCATTGTGGAAAACAGCTGTCTGGATATATTTTCGTGTCCTAAAACGTCATTAGACAATACAGACGAGGATGGGAACTTTTTCTTGGGAGAAAATTTTTTCACCAGTTACTGCAAGTAAGCATTCTAGATAAAAATATGTTTGTTTTTTTATAAAGAAAACTATCTCATATCCATAGACAAGTAAATAGAAACACTAGGTATAATACCAGCGTGTTTGTGGACAGGTGAATCACACATCTGTCTTCCCTGTAACCAGTTTATATTTTTTTAATTCGGAATAGTATATATACACCGTATACTTTCCTTCCCTGCACAAAAATCTGATTCAACATGGAAATGTTCCTTGGCCTGTTGATGTCGCTAAACTGCTTTTAATATAATATTTATTACTTTCAACGTATTTAAAAAATATATATATATTTTTTTACTTTTTCCATTTTTTAAAAAGTTTTCCTGAATCACAATTTCTTTCTAATGGAACATAATAAATTTAAAACTGTATCGCTCAAGTAAATTTCATTTTTTTTTAATTCTTACCACAAATTAAAGTAAAATATGTCTGAGCTGGAACATGCAGGAGAGAAATAGTATAAAAATTTTAACGGGCAGTGTTTTGTACATTTAAAGAATTATTTGACATTTTCACATCTTTTTTCAGTAGTCAATATGACTTTTTAATAAGGTCATTATTCAAAAACATTACTTTTTTCAATTCTTGAATATTTAATTTTTCTTGTAATGTGTTCTTTGATTCGTGGCCTAATAATTAATACTCCCCTTACATTATTGATAGATACACACAGGAACTCCTTGACTGTGCAGAAGAACGTGATATTGTCAATGATCCAGAATGCGCAGACGAAATTAATTATCTTGCCGTTTTTTCAACTCCGGAAACAAGCTTATGTTTAAATCCTATGTACCCAAGTAAGTGTTGGATCATGGTGAGTAAGATTTCAGAATTATATTGCAGTGATGCCTGATAAAACTCTCCTTTTCTCATTGTAGTGATGCAAGAGTTACGACCATGTCTTAACAGTATATACGTGAAGCTTGATAACTACTCACAAATATTGCGAGCACTGATGAAACCTGTGGGCCACGATATCACAACAGATTTGTCAAAAGAGTCTTTCTGCACGTAAGTTTAAGCAGTAAGCTTATTATCAGGATATTTTGTAATAACGTTTCAGTAAATTAACATTTTAGCATTTTATCAAAACTTCACCATCCATTTACCGAAAAAGAAACTTTTAAAAATTTGAAAAAAATGATAATACAATTCATGTCAAGCATTAACATTAATAGTATTAATAGTCTTGTTCAAAAATCATCACTTATGATCGATGCAATGACTTGGTCATCAAATACAGTCTACTTTAGTATCATTTAGTTAATTGATGGATTTTTCGGAGTAATTGTTAAGCCTTTTTTGCTCCTAAATTGTGGACGGATTTTTCTGTTATTTCCTTATCATGACGGGTAGTTCACGGGGGGTTGTGGCCTCTCGGCAGGGAAAGCTCACTACTCCATGTCACCTGATCCCAACTCTGATGTCTTACATGTATAAGCCCGTGATTGCTCTGCTCCAAATTTGTGTTGTTTAAATGGAATTGCTGAGCTCAAATACTGTTTGTTATAACTATATATTTCATCATTAACGACATGGAAAAGATGGACAACTGAGTATGAATGTCAAAATGAAAAAAAATGTGTATTATTTTTTAGAGGAGCATTTGTTGCTAATGATAATTGTTGTAACTCCTTTGTCAGTTGACTTCTTGTTGAATCATTGAACACTTGTATATTACATGGAAAGAACAGACAATCTTTCATGAATGACAAAATGAGGGACTATGTATTTAATGTTTCTAATACGCGTATTTGATTCTTTAATGTTTTTTAAACAATCTTAGTGAAAATGCTTCTGAATTAGTAAGATTTTTATTGTCTAGAACATACGATCAGATTTTGGATGCAACAGTCGAAGAATTCAGAAGATGCCCTGGCAGCAGCTTTCAGTGGACACCACAGAATATAAAAATTCTTCGGAGAAATTACTATCCAATTGTAACTGGGAAAATCCCTCCATTCGAATGCAACAAATCCGATTCTTGAAAAATTACACGAGAATTGAAATATCTTTCAATAAACAAAATTAATACACTTGCGAATTATTCATTGTGTTGATACTTTTCACTGTTCCTGGGCAGAAGTAAATACTTCTTGCTCTAATTCAGCTTTTCTCATACAGGAAGATGGGATATGAATATAGATAGTTTTCGATAGGCTAGTATTTAGCGAAAATTACCTCCCGTTGGTCGCCATATTGGAGGTCGACTCGGTGATTTTTCCTCTTTGTTTTACCAAGTTTAAGAGGTTGTAGCAGAAATATTTGGTGGAAAATCTTTAATAAAATTAAATATTTTTTTTAAATAAAAGACGCTTTCAAAAATTTATATACTTCAGAAAAATAATGATTTCTAATTCAAAATAGCAAAAATAAAATTTTTAAATTGGTTGAACAATGAAGGAATATGAGCATTTGGACCTCCAGTATGGCGACCAACGGGAAATAATTAACGCTAAATTCTGGCCTATCGAAAACTATCTATTATGAGTCTGGTTTAAAGTTATCATTCAACAAGTAACATGGCCTACACAATGACCTTCTCAGGAAATGAAATCTATCAATAACTCGAATGTTAACCGATGTTATATTTATACTAGTTGTTAGAACATTGTGTGCACATTGAATTTCCTACAGGTTATTTCTCTTCCCCTATCATGACAAGGAGCATACAGCGGGTATAATTTGCCGGCATGAGACGCTTTCTTCTCTATGTCACTTGATCCCACCTCTAATGTTTTTAGAGGTCCTTGTTTGCTTTGAGCCTTATATGTATTACTTTAATGAACTTTCGAATTTGAGTACTGATTTTAATTTCCATTCTATACTTACACATTATGTACGTATGGATGATATTGTCAAACAAGTCACGTATATCTGAAAGTTTAATTATAAGTTAGCTGGATGTATTGAAGCATTCTTTATCTGCAATTGAAGTTAAAATTATCTTCGATCTATTAAGGTAGATTGGAAAAATTGTCTAATGAATGTGAACACTAACAATTATTTGTAAAGAGTAGTAAATGTATGCTGATTAAAACAAAGAGTTGAACTTATCGTAGGCCTTTCCTCGACACTTTGAACCATTGAGTAGTGAGGGCTCTTTATCGTGGGCCTTTCCTCGACACTTTGAACCATTTAGTAGTGAGGGCTCCAACGTCAACCGTAACATGGCCAGGGCCTTGATTTTTACGTTCTCACCAATAGGACCTACAACTTTCACTTCTAACTGACAAGCGCCCGGCAAATGGGCAATTGCTATCAATTGGTTTTCGACTTAGGTCAGTGACGGCGGTGATTTGAACACACGACCTTCTGAGAACGGGACGAGCGCACTACCAACTAAGCCACTGTGACGACCATTGTAAAATGAGAAAGAAACTTCGCTAAACAAGATGGAGTCAGGTGCCATAGGAAATGAGCATCCACTTACGACAGGCCAGGACTAGGTGCACTACCCTCCAAGAGGAGAGAGATATATATCTTGATGAGAGAGAGAAATATATATATGTTGATGAGAGAGAGAGAGAGAGAGAGAGAGAGAGAGAGAGAGAAATAGAGAGAGAAATATATTTTAAAAAAGAAAAAATATATAACTGAAAGGACATTTGTGTCTAAAAAGAACAATATGATACATTTCAAATAGATAAAAATTATATTTTACGATATAAGTCATATAAGGATTAAGTGTTTAAAAAAAAATTAAAAATACCCTTATCATTCGCTAATACATCATGGAAAGAAAATCGAAGTCTACTTTATGTACTTTTCCAAATATTTTCATGTACATGGACGTTCGTTCGCTCATTGTGCCATGTTTGTGCCTTGACAAAGCTGGGGAACTTTTGTAAAAATATAAGACACACATACCAGAGTAGATACAGACACGTTACAATTAAAAAGAGCTGGTGGTTGATTTTCGATGTAAACAAAAATGTTGTTTTAAATACCCGGTATCTAGGAAATGAATTTGGAAAATTACACAATGTTGATAATCACGAAAAAGGTGGTCAACAATACTATATTTTCTATATCATAAAAAATCCTTGTGAACATTTGAGAAAACATTACTCTCAAGACCATATCCATTTATGTTTCCAGTTGCTTCTGTTTCAATACAATGGATAAACTTGGTGATAATGCACGATTTTCGTTATTTTAGAATTAAATAAGAAAAGTTATTTCAAATTTGAAAATGTTAACGCATTAGAAATATACATTCAAGTTGCGTGGTAATTTGAAACTTATTAATTTGTAAGAAATTATCTTACCAGGTATTCATTACTACTAGAGACCCCGTATACCTGGTAAATACATGCTCAATACATAGCGTCCAAAGCGGTTTTGATCGATCATCATGGGGATGCTTTATATTCCTAGGCACCTTATTCTCTTCTTAGAATTTCCCCGGTTCCATGTTTTACAATTTTGTTCTCATATTTGTATAGTGAATAGAAGTTCTGAGATCGATAATTGTTCGTTTTCATCATATTTTTCATTTCTTACAAACACGTTTCAAAATAGATAAGACCATTTTAATGGCTTGAAAATGAAATAATACCTCAAACAAAAAATTTTTTTCTAAAATTTATGATAAAAAACAGAGTTATGTATCAAACAGAACAATATTATTATAATATTAACTAACTTTAAGGTCTCTAAGAGAAAAGACTTAGTTTTAAAAGCTTTTATCAGTATATGTGATATTTTTTTATGATTTAATCATAAATCTTTTTCTTTTGCCAAGCACTCTCACAGGGCTGTGTTGTCTCTATAGCTGCCTTTGAAGGATATTCCCTGGAAATGTCAAATTTCTCAATTAAATCAGTTTCAAAGTGACGAAAGAATTTTCCGAGTTGGTATATATTTCAACACTGCTTTTGTAATACACATCCCGTTTTAAAATTTTAATTAATCCAAAGAAAAATAAAATTGTATATTTCAACACAAAATTATCGATACATAATAGTTTATCGTATAGAAAAGAATACCTTGATCAGTTTCCGTTTTCCATTTTTACTTTTAGAATCTTCTTCAAGTTGGCTCTTTAGTTTCAAGAAAAACCAGTTAGTTCTTTAGTCTTATAAATTTTGCTTTTTTTTATAACAAGTTACTCACAAATGACTTTAAATGCTTCTCATTTCTTTGAGAATATAAAGTTAAATGATATTAATTCATTGATATTTTTGTTTCGTGATTGTATACATATGAGGAAACTCACTTTAGAGAGTGATGAAAACTCCTTCATGGTCACAGAATGCGGATGGCTGCTCAGTAATGAATAAAGTCTACCTCTCCAACTTCCTGAATTATTTCTGTGGATACTTTCACTAAGTAACTTTCTGATCTGTAGCAATACATTAGAAGATTTTTTCCACATCAATCAATCAACTAAATCAACCATTTTAAATAAGAGATAAAATCCAAAAGCAGATTCGAGTAGACACCTCTTCTAAATTATTAACATGCTTATGTCTTTATAAAAACTGATTTTCCTTACTTATTCTTTCAAAAATATTGAGTAACAAGATAGAGAAAAAAAATTACAAAATTAACAACATACTTGTTTTGTTAAGTAGTCCTACCTTTTTGCTTAGAAGGCATTTTGAGATGAAAATGAAAAGCCCCTTAAAAGATAAACACGTTAAAGTATTATATCATACATTTTTGATAAACAAAATTGTGATGCATAGTTTAAATAATAATATTTAAGATTGAATTGATACCTGAAAGGAGTTAAACAAAGCAAATATATACTGAAAGACGACCACATCATCATTAATGGACAAGAGACCAAACAACCACGTGACACCCAGAACAGGTAACAGGGTACATATTGACTTTATTCCGGCTCTGAAACAATTCTAGAAGTCTGAATTGCATTTAAGATTTTATTAGTAAGCTAACTTTGAAGAGAAAAGAAATAGTGAAAGTTATCCATTAAAAAGTTAATTTTCTTGGTTTTATATTAGACATACGGACACTACTGGTTTTATATTAGACATACGGACACTACTGCTATCCTAAATGTATTTTCGTACCAAAAGAAAACGTTTTCAACCGTTTTTCAAGTTCAAATGAATTGAATTTAAGAATAACTAGATTAAAATCCAAATTGACTTACAATATCCTGTTCCTCGTCTTATCTTGTGGTACGTATCCCATTGAGCAAAGAGTCACTGAGAGGATGATAACAATAATAATATTGATCTGAAATTAGTTGAAAATAAAATAAGTACTGTTGGCTTTATTTTGCACAATGAGTACCGTAGACTTGTCTTTGACAAAATATTAGCTTTGTTGAATCAAGATTGGTAATACATAAATATGTACTTAGATGCATTAAATCGGCAATATTTTACCAGGACAATGCAAGCTACGGGTCCAATAAATCCATACAAAGCTCCACTATCAAATGATAACCAGCAACTGTAAAAAAAAATACCTAAAACACTATCGATGCAATTGCTTTAAGGTATTTATTTCTTCTTTTTTTAAGTATAAATAATTCTTTGAAGGATATTAATGATATTTTTAACCTCGATTTTGAATGGTAGTCCTTGTTCAAGGAATAAATAGCCCCAATGGTTACTGCGGTTATACATACTGGTATAACTGAAAATAAGTGAGGTTTTTATCCTAATGTTTAGAAGTTCAAAATCTTCTCAAAAACAATTTCATTGAAATATTGTATGTTTTTTAACTCACCAACGACGATTCCCCAAACAATTTTATTGAAGAAAGTGACTTTACTTTGAAACGTTGAAGCTTTAGAAAACGATATTTTGACCAAGGAGATGCTACTAAAATAGTACAACCCAAGGGCCAGCATCAGGACGAAAATCAACAAAAACAGATACTGTAATAAAGCTGTTATAATGATACATCCGACCTGAAACATAAAGCAACAATCTAGACCATCTGTCCTTGAAAGGAATGGTTTCTTTTTTCTAACAAACTCAGATGTAACCTTAAATGAACGACCAAATGTACAAATAACAAATAACTAAACATTTTCTGGTTAGTGCACGTGATTTTGATGTCATTTTACATGTGACTAAAATCGAAAAAATGGTGAAAATATAATTATATGTATATATCTTCTTTGTTAACTATCATGACAGTCCAAACATTTAAAGACGTATATTTTGATGGTGATGATCTGAGGAAAAGTGCAAAATTGAACCAAATTGTATTGAAAATTCCATAAGTTGTTTTCAACTTTTTGAAATACGATAGGTTTGGCATATGATCGTTCTACAAATAACTATATACTGCCTGAAATTTATAATCTAGAGTACTGTCTACGAGTACAAAGAAATCATAACTGAATCAACATGGATTTATTTAATTCATAATCATAAAATAAGTATGACTATTAAAATTATGTACTAAATTTTACCTTATGCTGAATCTTGTCCACTCCTATTAGAAATATCGTGTACGCCAGAGCAATACTGAGACAGAGAAGAACAGTGATTTTATTTACCATTCTGCTGACGTCACATGTAATAGATCTGTAAAAGAGGGAAAAACGAAATGTGGGTTTCTCTCTTAATAAATCTTTAACAAAAAAAGACGATTGATAAATGTCTTTTAAAACTACTTGCTTCCAGAAAACGGTGTAAATGATTGCCGTAAGAAACGAGAGAAACACAGATATCGCGCAACCAATGATAGATATCCAACTCAACACCTCCTCTTCGTCTTGTGCCTAAAAACGTTTAAAATATCAGAGAGATATCTGAATCAATATTTACTCAAGGAGAGATACTTATTTGTTGGAACTACTTTTATTTGAAAGCACAAAGATGCTAATTTTTTTTTTATATTTGAAGTTTTAAATTTTTATTACCCTTGAATATGGTCGCACCAGTACTGCAAAATTTGTCAAGTGGTTGCATTTACAATGAATGTAAGGATGATTTTCAGATTGTAATTCACATCCATTAGTTGACCACCCGCCAGCACTGTCACAATTTTACAATTTTAACTTATTTAACAAAACATTGTGAAATGGAAATGGAAATGTATCAAAATTAAGGTAATTAATTACCTTAATAATTACCTTAATTTTGCTTCTTTTAAAGGTACTATTTTCAACGATTTGAAATCAAATTTACAATTTTTTATATTTCTTTTAAAGGTATCATTTTCAACCAACTTGGTACTTACTTTAAGTGAAAATCCCAAAATACACATTCGGGGATAGAATTGAAATCCTAGAACAAAAGCAAAGATTTAGGAAAACTGCATGTAGAGACATACTGGTATTGAAATCAATATTTTAATTTATTCTTAATGTTAAACCTACTTCCTGTTTCAAGAATTTTAAATGCAGTGGAGGATCTAGTGATCTGTCAGGTAAACTTTTATTAAGTGTTAATGTCATGATATCAGAGGAAATTCTGTATCCTGAATTTTCTTCATGTCTGAAAAAAGAAAGAAATCCATTAGACTGCTTCATCTAATTGACCAGTCAAGTTGTATTTTCGAAAGTTTGTCATCTAAGAAAACACTTACCCCTTGATGATGTTAATTAGGTTTCCTAAAGTTTTGTAATTCACCGCAAGATAAGGCAAACCTATTAATTGAAAGTAAATGCATAACCCTTTGAATTTCAATACAGCTTAACATAGAAGCAGATGATAAAACAAAATTAAATTTACTTTGAGGAAATCCATACGCCTGTGCTGGAAGCACCAGTGTTGAACCTACGGTGTTGTTGTTTGCCTTGAATTTTATAGTATCATTTGCCAGAAGTTTTGCAGCCTTGAAAACTAAGAAATTAAAAAAAAGTTATTAAAGAAGTCAGTTACTAGATATAAGTACAAAAATGAATTTTCCTAATTTATTAATTGTTGTTTATTACCTATATTCTTGGTTGTGCTAGAGGTGATGCTTTCGTTTTCGCTGATGGTCTCTAAGACAAGTAAGCCGAACTTGTCTACAAATCTGAAGATTTTACTTACTCGTCTACTTAACTGTGTCAGGAAAATAAGGATAGTGAAGTTTTATATAAAGAACATAATGTTTGATAAAATAAATGCATTACTTGCATTATATTAATCACAGACTTTAAATAACCTGTTCAGTGGAAATATTCTTCCATGCAGCTGTGTGATTCTCAGCTAGGAGGTTGTCAATTGTCGTCAAAATAACCTAAATGACATTATATCAGCATTGAGGAATTTACTAGACAGATGAATAATGGAATAAAATATCCATTTGTAAAATGTACTTACCGTCATTGGAAGTGAAATATTAAACTTCTTGCAATCATCCAAAATTTTCTCTAGAATATCTAGGAATTCTTCAAAATTTTCTGGAGTTAGTTTGTCGTTGAATGAAATATCTCCCAATGTGCTTAGTACACTGTCAATCTCCATACCTCTCTCTGTTTGCGGTAAGTTGTCGTTCAGATCTGTTTCAACCTTGTTGAAAATATTTTCAAAAATCATAATCTCAAAAAAGATAGTGTTCCTGTTAAATATTATTGATATAACGCTAATATTTATACATACTATATCCTGGATATCGTTCTTATTAGTCACATTATTAACCTGTTGTTCCTGGTGGTTCTTGTCCACAAAGAATGGAGTTTCTGTGCATAGTTAAAAAACATGGTTATTTAAATAGGGCCTACATGATTACTTAAACATCTTCACATGTAGATGAACGAAATATAAGGATAAATTTTAGAAAAAAAGATATGTGTGCAACACGCATTGTTGAAACAATGATATAAATTATAAATCGCAAAATGTTGTATAGTCAATTGAATATTTGTTTTCTGATGATAAAGTAGCATTAGTCGTGAAACAACGTCGCCCATTATGTTAAAATATTCCGTATTGATAATATAAATCATTTTTTTGTTTACCTTTAGTAATAAAACGGACGGAAAATGTTTACTAGTACTCTAGCAATTATTGCAACGACTTACGTATTAGTAAACATTTTATCATTAGTGGTTATGACTGCGCGCCAATAATGCTGCAGATTTATTATTATAGAAGAAATTTTCACACACACTTAAACAGCAGTTTTATGACATTTGGAATTTTTTGCGACTTTTAAATTTCCGGTCAAAAAATTATGAGTCAGCAACTGTGCTCTTTCATAAACATCCCTCATAAGGAATCGCTGTACGGTACAATAATATGAAATGGCTGTCATTATGATGTTAACTGATGTTTCTTGAGTGAAAGTTTTTGATTGGCTACTTGTTGTGGAGGTTGTTGATTGGCCACTTGTTGTGGAGGTTGTTGATTGGCCACTTGTTGTGGATGTTACTGATTGGTCATCTGTTGTTGATATCGTAGCTTGTTGACCTGTTTTGTATTTTGTTGATTGGTCATCTGTTGGTGATAAAAAATACTCCTTGATGAAAGATTTCTAGGTTAACATACGCCATGATCTTTGTCAAAGTTGAGAGGTAAAATCAAAAAACAAAGATATAAAAGAATAAGTCCCATTTATTTAAGCATTTTGGTACAATAAACAGAAAAGAAAAAAAAATATCCTTGTTCTTTATACATGTAAACAAGCACTATTTTTTGCTAGAGACATGGCTTATTTAGGATGAAGACTCCTTGCACATAGATAATTAACATTACCATCGAAATTAACAAATGATTCTTCGTAAAGTGTTGTTTGTTCAGGTAATTCTGGTAGGGTTGATTCTGAGATTGAAAAATTAACTGAAAGTAAAACATGAGAATTATTATTTAAAAATGATAAATTATACATAGATAGAAAGAGTGATTGTTTTATTTTGGTATTTGTATTCTTTTTAATTCTTCCAGGTGCAAAATTAGTTCCATAAAAAAATAGTATAGAACACATGCATGGAATTCAAAAATTTCTGGCACGAGACAAAACAATACAAAAAAAGGAGCAGAGCAAACACGGACCTCAAAAACGTCAGAGGTGGGATCAGGTGCCATGGAGTAGTGAACATCCCTTGCCGACCCGTCACACCCGCCGTGAGCTCATTTTCATATAATACACAACGTATCATCTCTACTTTTTTATCACGAAGTTATAATAAATTATCAATCAAGAATCATAATTTTGATATTGTTATTATTTTGTCCTCTTAAGATGTGAATCTTTTTTTTAAAGATTGCAGACCTCTTGATTAAAGCTATAAATTATTTTAATTTGTATAAACTCCTTAATACTACCAGTACTCACACTGACAGATAAAGCCAGCAATTGCGTTACACGAGACATCGTTCCAATGAAAGTTGGCACCATAGAACTTGAATTGTAAGCAATTTTCGTTTCCTCCTACGTTATTAGGCTCGCCTTCAGAAAAAAGAAGGATTTTGTTAACCAAGGAGCTATAGTTTTTGATAAAAAAAAAATCTCCGTTGATACAATATAAATGACTAAATTCCATGAAACCCCTTCAGTATTTTCATATGTAAAAAAAAAAATTTTTAAAGATATCTTTGTCAAAACGAATATCTATTAATTTTTGTTTTCGTTTCAGAAAATTGATTATGTTTCATTATGAAGAAATATCGAACCGTCATGCTCCCTCTGTGATTAGAAGGTCATGAACGTTTTATTAAATTCAGTGAATGTAATAATGAGATAATAAGCTGTAGTCATCGGGCCATTGAAACAATAAAACTTGAAACCAGGCGATGTCTTGGCATAAGATATGAAAAATGTTAGACATAATTCTACCAAAAATGATTCCTTTTTTTAAACAAAGTCGTTCAAAAAACTAACCATACTGTCAGCTAAAATAAAGAATGTAGCATCATTACTATTTTCAACATAATTCGAATTCAAATTTTTATACAAAAACCTCGAGCCCAGTAAGACGGTTGGGTAATTGGAGTATCGTCCATCCATGTCCAGTTTCTAGAGGGATGTTTCTTTCCCCCGATGGAAAACGAACCATGACCAATTTCTCCCAAGGTATCTACAGTGAAAGATGATTTACGGTCAATATCTTGTTTTCGTTTATTTACAGTTACAAGCCCTAGATCTATTTATATTACAATATTATATTTTCAATTCTACTTACTGGAGATACAAGGCTCCAAAAAAAATGACCGAACATACGCTAAAGTTCCACCGTATTCTTTACAATGCTCAGCAGCTTTAGTCCAGCTGTATTTTTTCACCCCTTCAAATTGGTATGTTTTCCCATTTTCCTCACAAAACTTGGATAGGCAGAATGTTTTGGGGAAGGAAAATACTACTCCTGTAAATAAATTATAAAATGAGAGAGAGAGAGGAAAAAGAAAGAGTTTTAAAGATTAAACGTCTTATACGTACCTATCAAGATAAAAAACATCGTGTGTTGTTTTTTTTACTTAAAATCGTACGTGTTGAACAGCCCTTTCAATAGGAACTTCATTTTGCCTATCTATTTACGTCTGAACAAAAATAGATTAACAATAACTAAGTACATATCAGAACTTGGGCGTTTTTACTTCCGTATTTTTATAAAGCGTTTATTCTGAATGTTACTAAGTATATGCTTGATATTAAGTTCAAACATACTCAATCTTTATCATTTCACAGCATTTTTGTAAGATTTGCAGATAAATAATTTTATAAAGTGTTGGGCTCATTCTAAAGTTATGTGCGACCTTTAATTGTCAAAAGGCAATTGTTTAAAAAATTTACCTTCTTAAGATTGTGTTTTTAGCTTTAGGTCCTACGATTTTACTTGTGAGGCACGTGACAATAATTAACTGAAGTACCATTTATGCTTTCTTTTTATTAACCAGCCTTAATGAAACGAGATTTACTACACTTAATCCAGACCATCTAAGATCTGTCCTCATTAAATTAATTGTCCTTTTACTCTTTTAACTTACTGATGATAAGTAGAGCCATAGGGAGAGGAACTTACGTCTGAATACTCTCAGTCCTGTTTATAAATTCACTTTACATTGCATTGGTTGGCTGCTGCTGTTATTGGCTGCTAGCTTCAGTCTAGTAATAGATTGCATACAAATGTTTTGTGTCCCATATCAATATATATAATATAACTCGAGGCAGTTTATAAAAAAGCGTAAACTGCCCCAAGTTTTGTTATTTCGTATAATATAAGTTGAAATAATCTTCATTCCTTATAATTTAATTTCAGTGCAGACAATGAGACAATTTCCCCCCAGAATAAGGCTTCACATTGATTTAATTATAACAGTAACGTCAAGCGGAGTAATACGTTTTTTTGACGTAACTCATTGTGACGTAGGCAAGTTATGTTATACAAAATGGATAAAATCTTTTATCTAATCAAATGACGTGTTACAAGTAAAATTAAATTATTTGAACATCAATGCATTGTTTCTTGAGGTGTTGAAAAGTCCATAATTCCAAAGACTGACTGAAACATATTGCATTTAAAGCTGGAATAGAGGATGTTGGGAGTGAAAAGAAGCTCTTACAACATGCACAAGTGCTAATAATTCTAAAAAGCTAGTACAAAGGGTTCCATTAATTCGGGCAAGAATTTTTTCTATTTTATGACATGGTGGGCTGAAGGATGTTGCAGTAGGGAGCAAGTGGATAATGACAGCTTTTCAGCAGTGAATTTAGGTAGACAGGAGATAAGAGCTTTAACACGATTAAATATGAGAAAAACCTCTGGAAACTCTTAAAGCAATATGAGCTGTATGTTTGACAATCGGAAAAATATTTCAAATTTGTAATGAACTATTTCAATGACAGGAAAATAGAACATTTATAAACTTCTGTTGGTCATATCTGCTATGGAAGAACTTTTTATAAGCTTTGATTGAAGCAAAATTGAATTATTGTCGTCCTGTACAATAATGATTTCTTATATAATACTGTATATGGTTGCACAGAAATATTTCCAAAAAGTTAAAACTTTTCTAGCTTTTTTTTATCATTAAATGGACTAATCAATACAATTAGCAACACCCAGAGCAAAGGAACACCAAGAGATATCCTCTGCCTATTAACTTTTCCTTGGGAAACGCATATTATCCTGTCTCCTGTAACATATGTGTAACCACCCATTATGAAAAACATTGTTACTGCTCGCTATGTGTGTGAGAGGAGGGAGGAGGAAGGGGTGTGTGGATGGCTGAAGATTGAGTACTATGTGAGAATGGTATTGGTTAACGCATTTTGCGCTCTAGTACCGATCTTGAGTACCCTCTTGCATCTCGAACTGTTCTCATACTAGCATATCGTATATCGATGTGTTATTTCTTGTTCCTTCCAGAGATAGATACCTGTAGAATGCAAATGGAACCTTTAAAGCCTGCAATCATTCCTTTTAAATTGTTTCGGCGATAAATATGTTTTTCCACAGCTTCAGAAAGAAATATTAATACAATTTATTCATTGTAGTCCATATCAATTAAAGATTGGGGAGAAGGAAAATTAACTGATAAAAATTCGCCTTTGAGTTGCATAACAAAAACTACGTGCATCGAAAATTATTTAGGAATCCTGCTTCCCTTTTTTGTTATATGCATGCAAAGTGAACACAATGCCAGGCAGTACGTGATATAAAGATAGGCGGATGTAGTAATAGCCTCACATTACTAAGTACAATGAGATGGGATAGATGTTCTTGGTTGTTTGCTGCAAACTTGTGAATGAGCCATTGTATAGATTTTTTTTTCAAAATTTAAATTATAATTTAAATACTACACCATCATTCAATTGTAGAAAAGTGAGATATGGAGGGAAAAAATACCTATCTGCAGTTTATGGTTTTTCACAAATGTAAAATTCTAAACAAAGCAGAATATAGAAACAATAGACAAAAAATAGATAAAATTCGATTTTACTGTAGAAACAACTAAATTTTCTGATGAATTAAAGAAACAATGTAAGCATTCTTTTATCATGTGTATAGTTGCATTACACTCAATGAGATATTCACACATTCTTTCTCCTATTTGAACGGCATTCAAAAAATTAGAAAAATTGGATGTACGCCATTTTGAATCGCCATTTTGACCATTTTAACGACGTTTAAATGAAGGTTTGGGATTTAGCATACTCAAAATAGGTTAAAAACTATGCTGGATCAAATAACAATGATATGCCGTCATAAGTATTTTTTATGCCCGGCCATGAGTATGGCCGGGGCATACAGTGGTTGTCATGTCCGTCTTCCGTCCTTCCGTCACACTTTGCGTTAAGTTCTGTTCAAAGCTCAGTTTCAAAGAAACTATCCAAGATATTTTCATCAAACTTCATACTCCATTTATTGATAGATGTTGATAAGAGCTATGCAACTGCATCAACATTTTTTGACCCTGACCTTTTCTTTCACCTTGACCACATTTTTCTTAAATTAGTGTTTAGCTCAGTTTTAAACATACCATTCAAGATGGTGTTATCAAACTTCACATGTTAATACATACAGATGAGAGCTATTGAATTGCATCAGCATTTTGACCTTGACCTTTCCTTTGATCTTGACCTCACTTATCTTTAATTAGTGTTTAGCTCAATTTCAAAGATACCATTCTAGTTATTTTTATCAAACTTCCATGAGTTGATACATATTGATGACAGTTATTCAACTGCATCAATATTTTTCACCTTGACTTTTCCTTTGACCTCGACCTCACTTTTCCTAAATCAGTGCCAAACTTCATATGCTGATACATACTGATGTAAGCAATTCAACTGCCTCAACAGTTTTTACCTTGACCTTTCATTTGATCTTGACCTGACTTTTATCAAATTGTTTTTAATTTAGTTTTTAAGAAACTATTTATAATTTTTTTCAACTTCATATGCTGATACATACTGATGTAAGCAATTTAACTGCATCACTATTCAAGATATTCTGATCAAATTTCATACACTTATACAAATTTTCATGTTGCATTAGTAATATACCATCGGCGGGGCATTCATGCCCTATGGACATATTTCTAGTTATCTATAAATCGGACCAGACTATTTCAAAATTGGAGCAGAGCCAACAGAGAGCTCAAAAACATCAGGTGCTATGTTGGAGTAAGCATCCCCTGGCGATGGATCACACCCACCATTTGCTTTTAAACGAAAAATAAGGGAAAATTTATGTGTGTGTTTATAACGGCCTAACAATTAGTATCAAAAACATCAATCAGCATTCGACTCAATAATAAATTGTATTTGTTGACAAGGTCATGGTATCAACCATAGAACTTACGAAATGATGACTATAAACGTAACTACTGATATTCTTGTTTCACCAACTTGTTTGTCAATTGTTCATACGGAGAGCATGCTCGAATCAAATGATGAGAGACATAAACCACATTATAACATAAATTCTTTGGTCGAAACAATTAATGCAATCTGTCTTTAAGTCATTTATTGACTGACAGTTGTCATACTTATTGTAAGGTTATTTTTTGCTCATTAAGTTGTCCATGGATTTTTCCGTTATTCCTGAGTATGATATTGAACACATGGCGGATGTGACAGGTTTGCTCACTCGTTTATGTTCCAATTCTGATGTTTTAGAGGTCCGTGTTTGCTCAACTCCATTTATTGTTTAATGGACTATTGAGTTCAAATACTGTTCAATACCTCCATTAACTTTCATTCAATATCATGATCACTTTTTTAAAAACTAGGTCTTCAGTATTCTTTTAAAAAAATTGCTTCTCTTAAAAAATATATTGTATTTTCAAAATGAAATTTCGTTTTTCATATAGTAAATATTTTAAAAATTGAATAAAGTCTTTCCTTTTCATTTCAGTATATAAATAAATAAATACCTTGTGTAATTTGACATAGCGCTCCTATATGTACTCTTTAGACATAGAAAATAAAGTAGGAAGTGTGTTGTTAGTGTGTTGTAACCTCGTGATATCCGTTTTAGAAGTGTTTGTGCTAAAATCTATAAGAAAAGACATGATGGCTTTTTATATATTATTCATTGGAGGTGTTTATTCTCAAACAGGTAATTCGGATGTTTTATTAGGTTTGGGATTTCCTGTAATTCGGCAATTCGCGGGAAAATGAACTTCGTCATCTTTTCATTATCAATATTTAAATGACAATTAAGGTGGAACGATTTGTGGAAACATTAAAAAGATTCAAGTAAGATAGATTGTCAATGATTTATATTCCTCGTCGTTGCTTAATGCAACTGATTCAACTACTTATTCGCTTGATCTGCTCCAAAATAGCATTGTTTTAGTGGACTGTAGAACTTGAAGACTATTGGTTATCTCCATATAGTTCATAATTACTAAATTAGAATACAATCTTAATTTTTTTTAACTTATTATAATAATCTAAATTTCAACTTGATAGGTTTTGTATTATCCTTCTGTGAAAAAAAATAAAATATATAAGAAGTCTTCTGAAATGTACATGTTTACATAATATAGGCTTTAGCCTCAATTTTTTGATATTAGAATTAAAATCTAAAGAGCAAACTTAATTATAATATAAACTCGGTTTATACAAAAATGAATAAAGTGTAT